TTTCTTTGGAACTAGAGAATCCTAAACTCCTTTTTAAGCCCTGTCTCAAAGTCAGGCATTACATTTGGAGTCTTAAACGGATGGATGAAGAAGACATTGTAGTCTGATTGCTACTTTTATTTTCCTCATCTCTGAGGATCATTTCGTTCATTTTACTTTTCCTCTGAAGAAGTAGAACTTACATGGTTCTATAGCCTCCTCCCTTAGTTTAGTTTAGTTTATTATATTTATATACCGCCCTTCTCCCGAAGGACTCAGGGCGGTGAACAGCCATGGTAAAAACAATATACAACAAAAATTTAAAAACTTAATTAAAATAATTCAATCATTGGCCGAATTTAAAACACCCAACTAAAATCATTTTTAAACCCCTATCAAAACCCAATTTAAAAGACTTCATCCCGTCAGACCAGCTTGCTGGAATAATAGGGTCTTCAAAGCACGACAGAAGGCGCGGAGGTCGGGGATCCTTCGTATGTCCGGGGGCAGTTCGTTCCATAGGGCTGGGGCCCCCACAGAGAAGGCTCTCCCCCTGGGGGTCGCCAGCCTACATTGTTTGACCGACGGCACCCTGAGGAGGCCCTCTCTGTGGGAGCGTATTGGTCGGTGGGAGGCAATCGGTGGCAGAATGCGGTCCTGTAGATAACCAGGTCCTAAGCCATGGAGCGCTTTAAAGGTGGTAACCAACACCTTGAAGCGCACCTGGAAGACCATCGGGAGCCAGTGCATCTTGCGCAAGAAGGGTGTTACATGGGAGCGACGAGACGCCCCCATTATTACTCGCACGGCCGCATTCTGGACCAGCTGGAGCCTCCGGGTGCTCCTCAAGGGGAGCCCCATGTAGAGAGCATTACAATAGTCCAGCTGGGAAGTGACGAGGGCATGAGTGACTGTGCGCAGGGCGTCCTGATCCAGAAAGGGCCGCAACTGGGAGATCAGGTGAGCCTGATAGAAAGCCCCCCTGGCCATGGCCGTCATATGATCTTCCAAAGACAGCCGTGAGTCCAGGAGGACACCCAAGTTGTGAGCCCTCTCTGAGGGGGGTAAGATCTCATCCCCAATAGCCAGCGATGGTGTCAGCTGGCTATATCGGGCCGTCGGGAGCCACAGCCACTCAGTCTTGGAGGGGTTGAGTCTGAGCCTGTTCCTCCCCATCCAGATCCGCACGGCCTCCAGGCAGCGGGACATCACGTCAAGGGCATCATTGGGGTGGCCTGGGGTTGAAATGTACAACTGCGTGTCATCGGCATACAGTTGACACTTCACCCCAAAGCCACGGATGATCTCACCCAGCGGCTTCACATAAATGTTAAACAGAAGGGGTGAGAGGACTGACCCTTGCGGCACCCCACAAGTGAGGAACCTTGAGGTCGACCTCTGCCCCCCGTCAACACAGACGGTCAGAGAGGAAGGAGGTGAACCACCATAGCACGGTGCCCCCCACTCTCACCCCTTCCAGCCGACGCAGCATGATACCATGATCGATGGTATCAAAACCCGCTATTGTTGTAAAATTGTTGGCGGCAATATGCTAACTCTGTAAAAGTCTAAATGCTATTGCTATTATATATCACTTCACAGTGCTTTACAGCCCTCTCTAAGTGGTTTTACAGAGTCAGCATATTGCCCCTGACAATCTGGATCCTCATTTTACTGATCTCGGAAGGATGGAAGGCTGAGTCAACCTTGAGCTTGGTGGGATTTGAACTGCCAAATTGCAGGCAGCCGGCAGTCAGCAGACGTAGCCTGCAATACTGCACTCTAACCACTGTGCCACCATGGCTCTTATGAAGAATAATTATTCACACTTTCATTGTTGTCAATATAATTTGTGCTTTTCCATCTACTTTAATAAGATGATGATGTATACTAATAAGTTCATGTGCTATTTCAAAGCATTTGATGCAAGAAAATCCATTGATATGAAGTTCTTGTTCCTTTATAGAATTATTTTAGCCTCACTTGCTTATGATTTTTGCTGTCTTTTAGTATGAAAAGGAAATCCAATCATGTCTACAATTTTGGTGTGGGATTGTGTTGATGGAAGAGTAAATGGACAAAACATCACAAGGAGGAGCCCTATAAAGAAAAAGTAATTAATTGACACTGCTAGACTATTTTTATTCTCACCATCTCTTATGTAAGTGTATCTCTGATGAATTCTGATATATCCAGTGGACTTATAAATAAATAGTGCATATGTAAAAGAAGAATGCTGGATACCTGTTAATTTTGGTTCTACTTGATTGTAGGCTAGTGATTAATATTTTATGGCAATCCCTTTTTTTTCCACCCAATGCTGGCTAATCTCCAACATAAGCCTGGTTAATAATTGCACATAGTCCATAGAATCAATGCCACAAAGCCAGAGATATTTTAGAATTGGTTTATTGAAAAAGACTATTTAAATTATGCAAAACGTTTTGGGAGGTATGCCAAATATTTAAGCTAATGTATTTGATGAAGTTGGCATTGGTCCACACACACACACACACACAGAATGTAAGCTATAATAAATTCTAGACAACCTGGGAACCATTGGGTCATTGTTTTAGGGATATGTCCTTATCTAAACAGAGAGAAAGAAACAGAGGTTAAAAAAAAGCAGTGGGAGCATGAGCAACTTTCAACTCTCTGTCAACTTCTCCATTGACTTTTCTTGTGGGAAGCTGGCAAGAGAGTCTTAGAAATGATGTGGTTGTGGTTGACTGCCATGGTGCAGCAGTACTGAAGCAGCCACAAAATAAGCCAAATTTCAACTTCATTGGTGAAATAGATCCTTGAGTTTGAATGCATTTTTAAAAACTTATCCCATCTCAGGTCTGTTCATTCAAAAATTTGCTCCCCTAGGATGCAGAGTTTTGCCCAGCCGAAGATTACAAACAAACAGCAGAGTTTCAGTAATATGTGTGCGGGTTAGCCTCTTGGTTCTTTGATCTGCCTGTCCAATTTTTAGTTTTGTATGGTTTGACTAGCTTGCCACGAGTAAGCTGTTACCTAACGAGTAAGCTATTATAAATGAAGAAGACAGACTATGCATTTTTCTTGCATTTGTCTCTTTTCCTGAAGAACTTACATTTCTCTTTCCCACATGGCTTTCCAGCAGAGCAGCAAAGATTGGGAGCTGCATATAATAGTTGTGAAAAGTATGCATTCATCTACCCTAAGGTGTAGAATTAGAGGAGCACAGATTATAGGTAGATTATTTTGGGCAACAACTAACTTGGGACAAAACCTTTAAAAGAAAGAATGTGAAGTTCTTATTTTTGAAAAGGGAAGGAAAACTTAATTGATCTCTGAAGATACACCTTATGGGCTAAATTACATTTTTGTAGAGTACGTTTAATTTAAATTTTTTTCTTTTGTAATTTCAGCCCATTACATTTTCCCTTCACCTCAATTACTGCTAATGAGGCCCACAGCATTCTCATTCTGCTTCATGTATTCAGAACCATTTATCACATCTACTTCAGACTTTTTCCTCTTAGCTTCAGTTGGATTTAAATAACCCAATTCTTTAAAAAAAAAAAAAAAGTTCCAAGATGAGCTAAATTATTCGTTTTATTTGTTCATGAAGTTGGTGGGGTAGCTCCTGTACAAAATCATTTTTGGAATATTGTATAAAAGTATTATTGTACTGTAGACAGCAGCACATTACCAAGTAGATATTTTCTCTTCCTGTCCTATACACTGACATGTGGCTTTTCTGTGCTCTAGTTTCTTTATTGTCCTGAGTCAAGAGTTCCCACCTATCCAGAAATAATGGTTAAACCCGTTTCATCTCAGGTGATCTTTGCATCTTTTGAAATATTTTAAAATTTCAAATATTTTAAAACAAACAAAACATTTATTTTCTTGGTAAATAATCCCAAGAGCTGCTGAAATGACTCTCAACTTTTTGAAATCTGTTCTAGGAAAGTAAACAGCCAATCAAAGGTCTCCATGATCAGATGGAGAATAAACTTTGGGGTCCTTGGTGCTCTCCAAGGTTGGGTTGCTCACTTGCAGATGTTTCATCACCATCATCAGTTAACATCATCAGTGCTAATAGGGAGTGGGGTTACTCTCACTGCTCTCAGGGGAGACTGATAGCCATCTTCCAATATTTGAGGGGCTGCCACAGAGAGGAGGAGGGGTCAAGCTGTTTTCCAAAGCACCTGAAGGCCAGACAAGCAATAATGGATGGAAACTGACCAAGGAGAGTTTCAACCTAGAAATAAGGAGGAACTTTCTGACAGTGAGAACAATCAACCAATGGAACAGCTTTGCCTTCGGAAGTTGTAGGAGCTTCATCACTTGAGACTTTCAAGAAAAGATTGGACTGCCATTTGTCAGAAATGATGTAGAATCTCCTGCTTGAGTGGCGGGTTGGACTAGATGACCTATAAGGTCCCTTCCAACTCTGTTAATCTGTCTGTCTGTCTATATTAGTGGCTTGCCCTTTCAGTGTTGGTGGGCGTGAGGTTGGTGACTCTTTGATTAGGCTGCTGTTTACTGTTAGCTTGTTATTCAAAGAACCACGAAGATCATTCTTGTCAACAATGGCAGGACAAGCCACCAGAATATAAAATGAGAACAAACCCCACTCTCTTCCAGGTAACTGATGTTACCTAGTTTGGTAATGAAATGTCTGCAAGAAAACAATCAAGCTCGGAGAGCACCAAGGATCTGAGAAGTCAACTCTTGAGCTAGAAATGTTTTCTTCTATTGGAGAATAAATTGTAAAAGGAGATTCTGTTGCAAATGAACCCATTTTCATATATCTATATCTATACACACATATATATACATACATACATACATACATACATACATACATACACACACACACACACACACACACACACACACACATACATATACATATAGCAGACCAGAATGTTCATTTGAAGAGAAAGGCAAGGATATCATCAAAAAATATACTGTTTTTTTAAATACAGTGTACAGTTTGGAGAGAACTTTTTAAAAAACCCTTTAAAGAGAAAAAGTATAGGCAAAAGTTATTCTTTACAACAAGGTTTTATTTTCTTTGACCAAAAATAAAAACAAACAAAAACAAAAAACCAAAAGAACAAAAAGAAAAAACCATTAAAGTTTTACAGATCTGTAATTTTCTTTTCTTTCTTTGTGGGGTTTTTTTTTTTTTGGACCCAAACAAGCATTTATGTTACAATATATCTCCCACATCAACTTGTAATGCTGAAAGCATCATCTGGCTTTGGATGAGGTGCTCTGCTACCACTGCAGAGAACCGATCCCCTTGCTGCTTCTACTATGAAGTGCATTGAGGACCCAGAAGCTTCATAGGAGTAAACCACATGAAGAGAGACCTGTATAGCGACACCGGCTTAACATGTGCCAACTCAGCATCAATGAAAGAGAATTGGTTGGAGCCTCCATTTGGGGTTTGCTGGCCTTGTTACCAAATTAAGATGAAATGGCTTTAGGAGCTTACTTGAGGCTTGATATGAATACCTATTTCAGGCTTCAACATCTGTTTTCATTGACCGCTGCCCACAGACATCAATTGGAGACATTTCAGTTCCCCTCTGCATTTGGACTCCACTGATTCAAGTTTGGGTTTGTCTCCAAGTTTATCCAGAAGGACCTTTCTCTTGCATTTCACAGTTTAATCAAATTGCCTTCTGTTTGTCCTTTGGAAATATTTCCCTTCCTGTTTGTGCATCTGTTATGTAATTGAATGACATAGGGTGAAAGCTTCAACCAAGGTTTTAAAAGAAGTCCTCTCATTTTCAAAATGCTTTTTTGGAGCACAGTAATTCCTTGAGCCTGACATCAGCCGGAGGGTTAACAATAGCAAATAATGTCAAAGTCTTGTTTATGCCAGGAAATACATGTGGTGTTTAGCCAAATACATGAAACAGAAGTAAAATGTACTTTGAAACCGCAATCTCAACTCAGCCTTTATTCTTATGATTACTTCTTATTCTCCAGCCCCAGTTCAACTCTACTAAATGCTGTTGCAGGTTGGGTTACATATTTGTGTCTATTTACCTCCACACTATAAATATTGCAAAAAAAAAAAAAAAAAAATCTCTCATCATAATGGAACATTGAGAGGAAGCTAAATTTAACTGATGTAATTTTGCATTTTATGTCAATTTATATCATTTGCATAAGAATAGCATTTATAATTGTCATTTGCATAAATTTGCATCATTTGGGTAATTTCATAATTACCTCAAATATATAAATTGACATAAGTGACATAAATTACATCTGCTGTTTGGATAAGTTTGCAAATGAATGTTTTTGTCCATTGACTAAGAGAGAGATCCGAGCTAAAATTTTATCTAGTATATCCTAATGAGGAAAGGGAACTCAGATATAGTCCCGTATCAAAAATCAACTTTATAAGTAGTTTCGTTATGTTAGAGACCACTCAGCAGTCTGATGCAGAAACCTGTACTTAGGGCTGTTGACATGTACAGCTTGCCGCTAATCTGCCGTTTTCCAGTTGTCAACTGCGCTAAATTTTCAAGAGGTAGTTATATCTGGAAGATATATCTATTAAAAAGTCTACCATGAACATCTATAGCTTGTTAATTCAAAAGCAAAATTGTTTTTTTTTTCAGATTAGAAACACCTTTTTAAAATAGTCAACTAATTGCACTTACACTCTTCTGAAAGTCATAGCTAAACTTAGTCCAGTTGGATATATGACTAACCTTCTCTTGGATTGAGTCCATTCAGTTTTATTAAAAATGGAAATATAAGGCTCTCTCTCCTTCTATATAGCATTCTTTGTAGATTGTCTCCATGATACTATTTGCCTGGCTGATATTCTGCAATTAGAGATACTGACCCCCTCCCTTCCAATTAATCATGCTGGAATTCAAGGAGGTGTACTGGGAGTAGAAGGGGAAGATATTAATGCACTTAATGGTGCTCACATAAGGGCTTGGTCAAAATATGATGACACAGTGAGAATATCATTCCACATCCCAAATCTTTCAGTGAAATGAAAATATATAGGAGTACTACTTTGTATCCAAAGATGGTGATATCCACAAATCTCCCAATTACCCTGAACTGTATTAATGTCTATTAGTAGGTAGCTAGTACAATAAATGCATTGGAAGGAAAAACTGGAAGAAATTAAAGGCAAGAATAAATCTCTAAATATATTAGTATTTCAGAAAATGTTACATTTTTTAATAGATGCCTGTCTTCTTCCAAAACTGGAGAGAGCCAAAAACTCATTCTGCCTCGACTTGTTAAGAGACTGTCTGAAAAGGAAGCAAGCATAGAGAGTACTGAGCACATTATTGGTAAAAGCTCAAATCTACCACCACCTGCATATTAAACATAGTATTTGGTTTTTGTTCTTTTGGCTGGATTCTCCTCCATTAGACATTGCATTGCTCTTGTGCCTGCAATCCCTGGTGCTGCTCCATAATCTAATCTAGGGAGATAAAATGCAGCCCCAGTGATGAAATTGGATGCTTCCAGAAGAGTAACCAAAGCATCTTTCCAAGCCAGGCAAATTAATTCTGATTCCTGGGTTTATGCCCTTAGAAGCACCAGCTGCCTCCTAGGTGTCTTTCTTGATTAAAATTAGCAAAGTAAAATTATTTCCTCACTCCAATATTCAATAAACCAGAATCATAGTACACTTTCCACAAACTTATTTCATGTAGCTACCTTTGTTTCTGAAGCTTAGGAGCAGTTAAAGCCTTCATAGAAAACTTTCCGTGGTGGATTTAAGAGGATTCCCCCCACATCCCACAAAGATGGACATATTCTAACAAGGCTTACATAAACTTCATAGATTGATTCATTCTGTATCCATAATAATAGTAATAAAAAAGAAGTTTAAGTGAGGCAACTTTAAAAGTAGCAGGAAATAAGACTGCTTCCTCTACCATTCTCCTTCCCACTCTAATATACGCAAAAAAAAATTTCCTACAGATTATCTCTATTATGTATAGAAAATCTAACATATCAGAAATTTTCCCACATGGAGACTTAAATGCCAATCCTCCTATTTACAATGTAAGAAAGAGGATCTTCCCAGGTTTATAATGTGAAGAACTGCATCTCTGTGAAAGATCTCTGTGAAAGAACTAAGGTTCTAGGAGGAAGATCAAAGATGCCTCTCTTTCTTTCTCTTGGCACAGCTGACCAGATCTATAAAGTGTTGAGGGTAAAGAGATGATGAAAAGGTACTATGTATGCCGTTAGTCCATCTAGAGGAAAAAATAAGAACTGTGCCATTGTGTAAATTGAGATGCTTAACCCCACCATATGGTCATTTCATGCCTTCTGTTTTCCCCTTAATGACCAATTAGTGAAAGAATGCAAATAGAAAAGGATTGTACCAGAAGGACTACCCTAGACAGCTAATTCTCCTTTCCTGCATCATTGTCAGCCAGAAGTAGAAGAAATGTTTCACAGAGAGCACACATAGCTTCATGTGAAGAATGGCTTTTATGGTATTCCACTGCCACAAATATTGACTGAATGAATTTTAATTTAGAAGGAATTCATTTCAGATAAAACATTTCATGGTAAAGGATCAATTCTTCTTTAAACATATGGTACACTAGAACACATGAAGTAGCTAACTTGGGTCAGCTCATTATTTTTAATTGCTAAGTAGAATTTTTTAACAGTGCTTAGTATTTAATGCTAAAATATAAATAGATAAAGCTAAAAACAAATTGTGCCATATTATTTTTGTAACAAGAGAATTTTGTTCTGTTGTTCTCCTGGAGAACAAAATTACTATAATGCCTGTAATAGTGCCTCTTCTTTACTTAATACTGATCTCTTTTAGAATATTAATATATAAATAAATAAAATCCTGGCACAACTAAAGCACCTTAAAGAGAAACTTCATCAGGTGACTTGATGAAATGTTGAAGAAAGATTGTAATTATTTTGCAGATTGGAGGTGGCACCAGAGAAGCAATTTTCAAGTTACTTTTGATGTTCTTTAACCAGCTTTCTAAGTTTTCATACTGCTTCAAAAAACCTTATTTGACAAAAGTAATAATGGAATGAAAGGTGATTATGGCATAAATAGAGCTATTGGAATGCAAAATATTGTGTCACTACAACTATCTATTTGCTGCCATCTGGAGATCATTTGGTGTATTTTTTTTTTGCAGCCCAAATATGATAGTTCAAGATTTAAAATAGAAATGTCGTATCAATTTTAACATTTGTCTTCCCATATGCTTTATGAAGTAATAATAAAATATAAAATAGAGGTAGAAATATTTTGTGAAATGATTTTGAAAATCTGGTATGATTTATATATATATTTTTGGTATAGAACTTCTGCTGGCTATTGTAGCTTTCCAAGAAGATGGGCTAAAATTGTGCAAATTTAACAAAAATATCTTCTAATCCTGTCATGCTGTTTATAGCATGTAGTATAAACGATTATCAATTTTAGTAGGAAGAAAGCTAAATATACATTGTGCTCCATTTTGTAAATCATGTTAATATTTCAGATCCATGATAAAACAGAATGGATTTAATTCTATCAAAGAAAATGTCTAAGATCAACTCGCATAGTGACAAAAATGAGCCAATTTGGTTTTACTACCATTGCTTTCCTTTGAGGAATCCTGGGATATTATATTATCTGGTTACAGTAATTTAGACAAGATCCCGGGAACCTTCTATATAAATTTAATAACAAAACTAATTTTAAGCAGCACAAGTTTTCCCCATTTGAAGTCAAGGTTGGGAATATCCATGAACTTGAGAAAAAGAATAAAGTAGAAACTGATCATCCACATAACTTGGCAACAGAAATGTGAGTCCTATCCACTCAGAGGCAATGATTGTGTATGATGTCCCCCTGCAGTTCAAAGCCAGACATGCATCCTAGTGTGATGAGACAGACATTGATATACTGTACAGAGATACAAAAGGGAGGACGCAGAACATAGGCTAACTAGGCTAAAGATAAATGAAGGAGAAGAATTCTCTGATCTTAATATTGGAGAAAAAAATTGTGTGCTAATTCAGTCAGAGCCACAAACTAAAATAAGAATCCTTGTATTTTTTGCCAAATCTGTCTATGCCTTTCCATAAGCCAGAATGTTCCAGAAGTAAGGGGCGTGCATAAGCGCACCAGCATACTTTAGTATAGTTTATTGAATAGCCCGAAGGCCTTTTCAAACAAAACAGAAAAGAAAAAGGGAAAAAGATAAAACAGTTACAAAAATAGCAATCTAAAAATATATGATAGATGACATTAAAATTTTACAATATCAAATTTCAATAGCTAAATTGCCAAGACTAGATAACCCAAATAGGATAGCTCCTCTCTAACTGAGCTCATCTTCCTTACAATCGATAAATTTTTTTTTGATATAACTGGCTCGTATTGCCGTCATTCTTTTAAGGTATCGAGTGATCGTTCTTACCAGGGGAGGAGAGTCAGCCCTCAACAGAAATGCTAATTTTTGGCTTATATTCCAGTGGGGAAATTTATTTATAATTGGGGACAGATATTGTTTTCTTACTTCTTGATAGAGACTACATTCGAATATTATATGCGCCGTGTCCTCCACGACATTTACCCCACATATGCATATTCTTTTGTCATACGGGATTTTCCGATAACGGCCGAATCTAACGTTGGTATCTAGAAGTTCGAATCTAAACTTAACAAATAACTGTCTCTCCACTGATGGCATTTCTAAATGTAAATACTTTTCCAGAGTGAAAGTTGTTTTAACTGCTGTCAGCAGTTTAAGGGAATGATTAGTTGAAAGGGTTGCCATGTCCATTTGCCCATGTATATCTTTAATCCGTTGTTTAACTTGGTTCAGTGTGTCACACAACGGGAACCCTACGCCATATCGGTTCAATATTTCTGACAGCCGGGTTAGCCAGGAATATCTTTGAGGATTTGAAATCTGCTGTTCCTCTAGACATATTTTAGGGAGTCTGCTGGCATCCATCTGGGTCATTTTTAGCCAGTAGGCTACCGCCCTAGTGATTGTATAGGTGTACAGTGAGAAATGTCCCAATTCAGCTCTGACGGCTGCAGCTGAAGTGGAATTGTTTACCCCAAGCATCCTCCTTAACAAATTATTTTGAGTTCTCTCTAATATGGGGGCCTCTGTAAGACCCCAAATTTCAGCACCATAGAGCATGATCGGAACAAGTTTAGCCTGAAAGACTTTACGAAGAGGTAAAATGGAGGTTGGTTGGATTCGTTTACTTAATTTGGATACAAGGCTTGCTCCTGCTCTGACCTTTTGAGAAAGGTATTGATGGTGCGGAGTCCAACCTCCTGCACTGGAAAAAACAATTCCAAGATAAGTATATTGGGTAACTTGCTCAATTTTTGTGTCAACACCAGCATACCTACCGTCCCTGTCCTAATGTTTCCTCTATTTGTATCTATTTTATGCATACTTTTATATATTACCTAATACGTTCTTGACAAATTAAATAAATAAATAAATAAAATCAGCTTGAAAAATGCACCACCATTGATCCAGGGTATGTTTAAAAACTGGAAGGTCTCAGGTTCCATCCCTGGTAATTCCAGGCAGAATTGGTCAAAGGCTCCACTTGAGAAACCTGGATAGGTGTTACTAGTCAATTTGGAATCAACAGCTTTGCCAATGGCTGAAAATGTATTAAGAAGTTCTTATGTTCCTCCCCAAAGCAACGTTTGAAAAGCACAAACAACACCTATAGCTTTAGCATTTTCTTTTCAAGTGTTATCGGCAAGGAAAGCAAATGAACCTAAATACCCGAAATGAACCTACACATCCGAATGCTAGGAGTAAGCACCAACAATGTACTAGCAGAGTCATCCCATTATTTCATGTCACACTAGGGCCTTCTGCTGGGGGTGAGCAAAAAAAGAAAGATGGCAGCCACAACAGTGAGATTGATTCTCTGCCTGTTTTTTAAAATGTATCTTATCGGGCAGACAACCTCGTGCCACACTGTTAGTTGGTTCACTGTCCATCATTGTTTCTTGGGACTGCTCTTTAAAAGTGCTTCTTTTTCACTGTTCCTCTCTGGAATTGAATAATGGTTGCTAGAGACAGAGGTTAGCAGATTAACTATATTGCAACTCAGCAGTGAAGATGGAGAATTAAATCTAGGATAGCAGGAAAGTATTAGATATTAGTATTAGATATGTATTATGTGAGAATTGATCAGAGAATGTGGTAAATGAGAAAAATAACTTTAGGAAAAAAAGAAATTAGCACAAAAGGGCCACGCTCTTTTCCTCCTTGAAAAAATAAAACAAAATAGGCTGTAGAAAAAATTAAGCAAGTCTTTCTGTATGTGCAACCACTTACACTTTATAAATTTTCCATCAGAAACTCCCAGACATTTTTCAAGTGAAAAACCAAATCAGATTTAGTAACTCCAGAAGTTGTGAGTGCTCCAACACTGGAGGTGTTTAAGAAGAGATTGAAAACCACTTGTCTGAAATTGTAGTTTTTCTTCTTATGCAGGGTGGTGATCTAGAAGACCTCCAAGGCCCCTTCCAACTCTTGTTATTCTGTTAACTGGGCTGAGGACAATTTTTGGATCTAGTTGAACTTCAGGAGGCTGTTGGCCTGCTCTGGAAAAGGATAATGGCATCGTTTTTGCTTCTTCGTAAGGAGAATAATGCTCGGGTTCCTTAAGAAGCTTGGCTTTTTGCTATAAGAGTCAAATGGCCCTTTGGGTAAACATTTAAAATACAAATTATTTTCAGTTATCTAAAAAGGATGAGATCATGTATCCACCTGCTGTCTTAATGGGCTTCCTGCCTTCCATGCTCAGGAAAGAAAATTCCTGCTAAAATAAACAAGAGGATGACCAAAAAAGGGATGAGTGGGTGAAATCACCTCTTCCCTGTGTTGTCTTCTTTCGTGGATGGAAAAGTTACGATCATTAACTACTGAGTTTGCTGGACTTCCCATAAAAATCAGTTGGGATGTTTTTGACTACAATTCTCACTGCTCTCTCTCTTTTTTTTTTTTACTGGGGATGTTATAGAGTGGATCAGAGTTCTATCCCAGAACATCTGGTGGCCCTCAAGATTAAAAACAAAAACAAATGTAGAAACTTTCCCACAAGTTCCTTTTCCTAAGTCAACTCAACTTCCTCTAAAACACAAATGTTCAGTGTTGACATGCTCCCCTCTCACCTTACCAAATTAAAAATAACTTTAAAGCTCATTTAAGGAGAAGATCAGCACCAGTGTTCTCCATAAAGCCCTTACTACTAGGCTGGGAGATGCCAGCAATATACAGCTTTCTTTTGGGTAGGAGGTGTCAGGTAAGTGGAGAATTTGAGTAAAAATACTTCCCATCTCTGAGGTCAGACAACTATAGCCTTAGCACTGGCCTTTACCAATATATTAAAATAAATCTCTACACATACACACTTTCCACTCTTTCTAAACTCAGAACATGTGCCCAAGAATGATGGGTTAAATACATTTAGGACCACAACAATTCTCTCCTTTACCACATTGATAGTGGTACTTTATGCATCAGGTTGATTTCATTAAACCAAATGTTTTTCTCTCTCTTGCCCAGGCTGTCCTCCCTTCCTTTCACCCTATTCTCTTTACAAGTATGTCCCAAGATTCATAGTTTGGTTTGTTTTTGAAAAATGGGCTAATTTGTCTAGAGGACTGCAAATGAATCCAGCAATGAATTCACTGGTCTTATTGGTCAACCTGTAGGATGGGTCCCCAAAAGAGATATTGTAAGGCCTTTCTCAATCCCTGAATCTCTCACATGATCCCACCCACAACCACCATCTTGAAATTCTTCTTTCTGGGGGGAGGAAAATGATGCTTTAAAAACCCTTAGTCTTTAGTTTATTTCTTGCTCTGCTTTTTCAGTAACTTCTACTCTCCTTACTCTTGGCTTTGGGAGACACCAAAAGGTCAAGTGGCTTTGAGATGAAGGTTGCTGTTGCCCTTTTCACTGTCATTTAACACGCCGGTGCACCTTTTCTGTGCAAAAGAAAAGAAGGGAGACAAAGAAGCTGTGAACTGACTTTGTTTTGCACGAAGGCTCTGTTTTTTTTTTCCTGCATTTGATTTCCATTTCATTTCATTTCAGATGTGGCAATCAGCATGCATCATAGGGGACAGGGGAGAGAAAGTAGCTTCTAGCACTTGTCATCTTCTTCCGTATCACTTAGTACTTCGATGCCAGCCCCGTATATCATGCTTTGTGATGCTCCTCTTCTCCTCCTCCGGTAATGCCCATTGGGCATCTGCCAACCATGCCTAGAGCGAGGGCCTGATGCAATTGTGTTGGAGCGGCCAAGGCTAGTGGCCACAGCAGCCTCAAAAGTGAGTGTCTCCTCCTCACCACAGTCTGAAGCATGGGAGTCATCCTGGAGCATCAGGTAAGGCTCTGAGATGTAGCGCTGAGGAGTGGAGAGAAGGCTCTGCTTTCCCTGGAGGGAGCTGGAAGACTCAGTCAAGCAGGTATTGTTTGTCTCCAGAGTCCCAGAAAGCAGAGGGGAGCCTCCCTCACTGTCGTCAGGTGGTGGGGAGGTGTCACCACAGTGCTGCATCATAGCAGTGTAGGAGATGAGAGGTCGTGGCTTTGGTGGCACTGGAGGGAGTTGACGGCGGCTTCGCCTTGGTGTGCTGGTGTCAGACAGAGAAGGGATGGAGCTCTCGCTCAAGGAGCCTGTGCCCTGCAAGAAAGGGAAAAGCCGGATACAGAGTTCTGGGATGTTCAGCAGACACCAGGCCCTGCCTCAACTGAAGCTGGGACAGGCAGAAAGGGCAGAGAACATTTTTGTCTCTGTTGACCAATCTTTCCTGAACTGAAGTAACTGGCACTATGTATTATAATTTAAAGTCCCCATCCACTTATGAGTCAAGTGTGGCACTGGGAAACAAAATTAGAAAAGGCACAATTTAAAATAATGCTGAAGCTTAATATAAAGGTGGCGGTTTCCCCTGTCCAGTCATGTCTGACTGTAGGGGGTGGTGCCCCTCTTGTTTCTTAGCTGAGGGAGCCAGCGTTGTCCAAAGACATTTCTATGACCATGTGGCCAGCATGACTATATGCTGAAGTGTACAGAATGCTGCTATCTTCCCACTGAAGTGGTACCTGTTTATCTGCTTGTATTTGCATGCTTTCAAACTGCTAGATTTGCAGGAGTTACATGCTACAGAGCATGTAACAGGAGCATGGAACTTGGATCTCGAACCTGGGCTGTCAGCTTTCCACTGACAAACTCAGTGTCTTTAACTGCTGAGCCATTGTGCCCCCTGAAGCTTAATACAGTATAACAGTCATGAATTTCTATTATTCTGGATATTTTTGTTGACTTCCTCTAGATATCAGTCTTTTAGTATTATTGTAATGTTTTAAGGGCCTGAACACTGAAATTCAAGGGCAACAGTTTGGTGCTACAATTTAGATAGCCAGTAGAGATTTTCATGGCAAGTAAGAAAATGTGCTTTCACCATAACAGAAATCTTTAGGCTGTCTGAGGTCCTCTTTGAGCTTCAGTGCTGCCTGCAGAGTCACTTTGCAGGATGCACCAACACGTTATGGAGACCCTCATAATATCTGCAGGTTACTCACCCTAGGCAAAGCATTGCATTACAGAGACAGCCAGTGAAACTGTGAGCCAAAGGATGGATCCTTGTTTGCTCTCCCTTTCTTTGCAATATGCTTCTGGCTTGTTCTAGCCTTTTATACATGAATATCTTCAATTTAATTTTTGACAGGATTTCACCCCATGTTAATGAAAACCAATTAGTCTGTCAAAAGCTACTTTGTGCATTTCACATCCCCCCTCTAACATGGCCATGCAAAACAGAGTGGAAGCTTTCATTTACTGTATGTTTAACATACAATGCAAAATATTAATCAAAACAGAAGAACCCTTTTTAAAAATTGTACATTGTTGACTAATTATAATTATAGTTTGAAGCCTGTTCTAATGAACCATAACTAAAACTAACTTTCATTTATCTGATATTAAATATTACAGTTAGTCAAAAATGGAAGCAAGCATTTCTGAAAGGCTCCTTGTAGTATATTAAGAAAGGGTACCAGTTGCTCCAAACATTTCACCAATATTTCCAGATATTTCTCATGATCTTTGTCAGTTTTACACCCACCTGTCTGTTGGGAGTTTGTGACCTGCCTTCACTGGGAGACCTGGAATGATGTCGCTCTGGAGAATCAATATCTGCTTGTGGACTCCTTTCCTCTGAGTTGCAACGAGAAATATCTGGAGAGAGTAGATGCCTTCGTTCCTTGGATCGGCCTCGTTCTCTGCCTCCTGACCGATGTGTATCAGATCGATGGCCTATTTATAAAAAAAATGGCAAGATTACATGAAAACTTCACACTTGGGAACCTTTGATCAGTCTGAATGCCTTCTGCATTCTGTATAATGTTTGATATGAGAAATACTTTTCTCTTCTTTAACCTATCCATCAAAAGCTATCACTAACACTTTATTTTTCTCTTTATATGACCTTTCCACTGCTTTACTGTTTATATGACCTTTCCATCGCTATTGAAGCCATTACTATCTTTTACTGTACAACATTTATCTTAAAAAGTATATACAACAGCCTAAAGCATGGGTGTCAAACTTGTTGCATCACGTTGCCGTCGCGTGACATATCGCAACGTTTTTTTTCCCTTTGCGAAGCTGAGGTGGGCATGACACATCCAGCCCGCAGGCCGCCAGTTTGACACCCCGGGCCTAAAGCATTCTACTTTTGCATTTTTTTGCATCAGCTTACAGCCATTGTTCCTATAGTATAATAACACCATTGTTTGTCATGGGTTGCTCTTTTATTCTAAGTAGCTAGCGTGGTATAGTTAAAGAAGAATATGAGGCTAACACTTGGGAGATTCAGGTTCAAATTTCTACTGAACGATGGAGATTCCTATGGCACTGCTGTTGTGTCTCAGATTGCTGTAAAGACAAGCTATTAGTAGGGAGAATCACATAGGCTGCTTAAAAAAGTAGGGATGTAAGTGTAACTTATAACTAAATTCCTATAGTCCTGGAAAATTAAATCTTCGTTAGCGTTACATTTGGACACCAGTAGTTCAATATTGTCAAATCATGCTTTAACTTCTTCAGTTCTTTCTGTTTGGCCTTGCCAAGCAAGAACAGTGGCCGTACATATTGTTGCAGCAGATGCCTTCTCACACATGCAAAGAAATGTAGTAAAGTTCACAGTTCTTCATACAGCCATTTTAGCCATCCATTTATTTTAAGGGCATATTGGTATTTGGACTGCAAACTCTCTTGAGGCATATTCCAGAATTTTGCACAATCATTTCTTACCTTCTTTTTTCTCAGGTCCTGAACTTTTTTACTGAGTTCCTAGCCCATTTGCAGAAAACTCTGTCCAATTTAATGGAAAAGCTGAATTCACCAATTACAAACCAGAATTTATAGAATTAAATGGATGAACACCGTCCTACACCATGCCAGTGGAAAAGGCCTGCTACGGATCCAGTCTGGTAAGGAATTGAAGCAGGCAAGGTCAAGGAGAAGAGCCTTTGCTGCTGTGATCCCATCCCTATGGAACATTCTTCCGCTGGAGGTGAGAAATGCACTCTCAGTTTTGGCTTTCTGGAAAGGTATTAAAACCTGGCATTGCTGGTTGGCCTGGGGCCCAAAGGGGAGCGCTCACTGCTGGAGGTGGCTGATGGGATAAGAGGACCTCATTCCTGGCCCATCTGTTCCTTGGCTGTTATAGGCATAGTTTTAGCACAGATTTTAATAATATTTTAATGTTAGTTTGTTTTAATCTTTTAACTATTTTTACTTGTTTCTACAATTTGTAAGCCACCCAGATTCACCTTGTAGGGTAGATGACATAGAATTTTAATAAATAAATAAATTAAAGCTGCATGTCCTTAAAGATAATCATCTGATGGCATCTAGTTGAGGGCACCTTATTTTGATTACTTAATGGCTGAATTTAGCTTGCAGATGGTTTATTCCCCCCAAAAAGTCCCTTTATTGTTGAAAGGAATTGTCTCGCCCTGATCAAATGATCTTATCACAAGGCAGAAAATCAACTTTCATAAACTAAGCCCCTTCTTTATACAAGGCAGGAATTAATTCAGTGTGGAAAGAAAGAAAAGGAGCAAGTTTTCATCTACCAATAAAAGACAAACCAGCTCAGTAGTTTAATTGCTTTTAAAATCAAGATGTAAAGGTTTAGTGCTATTTATTTATTTATTTATATATATATATATATAATATATATATATATATATATATACACACACATACTGCCCTTCTCCTAGTGGACTCAGGGCGGTGCACAGCCAAAACTAAAATACATAACAATACAAAATTTAAAATTAATTAAAAGAATTATATACTTTGGCCCGAATTAAAACAGTGTGAATTAAAACCCATTAACAAATTAAAACTAAACAATTAATAACCATTAAAAACTAAAAAAGGGGGGCGGGGTTCACGCCAGCCCTGCTTGCTGGAAAAGAAGTGTTTTCAGGGCTCGGCGAAAGACCCGAAGATCCGATATCCTTCTTATCTCCGGGGGCAAATCGTTCCAGAGGGCGGGGGCTGCCACAGAGAAGGCCCTCCCCCTGGGGGTCGCCAGCCGACATTGCCTGGCCGACGGCACCCTGAGGAGTCCCTCTCTGTGGGAGCGTACTGGACGGTGGGAGGCTATCGGCGGCAGAAGGCAGTTCCGCAAGTACCCAGGTCCTATGCCATGGAGCGCTTTAAAGGTGGTAACCAATACCTTGAAGCGCACCCGGAAGACCACTGGAAGCCAATGCAGTTCACGCAGGAGAGGTGTCACATGGGAGCGACCCCTCGCTCCCATAATCCCCCGCGCGGCCGCATTCTGCACCAGTTGGAGCCTCCGGGTACTCCTCAAGGGGAGCCCCATGTAGAGAGCATTGCAGTAGTCCAGGTGGGAAGTGACGAGTGCCTGAGTGACTATGCGTAAGGAATCCCGATCCAGAAAGGGACGCAACTGGCGAATCAGGCGGACCTGATAAAAAGCCCCCCTGGCCACGGCCGTCATATGCTCTTCTAAAGACAGCCGTGCATCCAGGAGGACGCCCAAGTTGCGAGCCCTATCCGTGGGGGCCAATAACTCGCCCCCAATAGCCAGCGATGGTACCAGCTGGCTATATTGGGACGCCGGAAGCCACAGCCACTCGGTCTTGGAAGGGTTGAGTCGGAGCCTGTTACTCCCCATCCAGATCCGCACGGCCTCCAGGCACTGGGACATCACTTCAAGGGCATCGTTGGGATGGCCCGGGGTGGAGATGTACAGCTGAGTATCATCAGCGTACTGATGGAACTCCACCCCAAAGCCACGGATGATCTCACCCAGCGGCTTCACATAAATGTTGAACAGAAGGGGCGAGAGGACCGACCCCTGAGGCACCCCACAAACAAGGTGCCTCGGGGTCGACCTCTGCCCCCCTGCCAACACCGACTGCGACCGGTCAGAGAGATAGGAGGAGAACCACCGCAAAACAGTGCCCCCCACTCCCAACCCCTCCAACCGGCGCAGCAGGATACCATGGTCGATGGTATCAAAAGCCGCTGAGAGATCTAACAGGACCAGGACAGAGGAACAACCCCTATCCCGAGCCCTCCAGAGATCATCCACCAACGCGACCAATGCCGTTTCCGTGCTGTGCCCAGGCCTGAAGCCGGACTGGAGCGGATCCAGATAGACAGCTTCATCCAGGTACCCAGGAAGCTGTTGTGCCACCACACTCTCAACAACCTTCGCCAAGAAGGGAAGGTTGGAGACCGGACGATAGTTAGCCAAAACAGCCGGATCCAGAGCAGGCTTCTTGAGGAGGGGCCTCACCACCGCCTCTTTCAAGGCGGATGGCAAGACACCCTCGCTCAAAGAAGCGTTGATAATACCCCGGAGCCAGCCTCGCGTAACCTCCCGGGAGGCCAGCACCAACCAGGAGGGACACGGGTCCAATAAACATGTGGTCGCGTTCAGCTGCCCCAGTATCCTGTCCATGTCCTCGGGAGCAACAGGATCGAACTCCTCCCAAATGGCAGTCTCAAGACTGACACCCATCATCCCGTCTGTACCTACCCAGTCAGAGACCAAGCCTTCCCGAATCTGAGTGATTTTATCGTGCAGATACTGGACAAAATCCTCGGCACGACCCTGCAAGGGATCCTCCCGCGCTCCCAGATGAAGGAGGGAACGGGTCACCCTAAACAGGGCGGCCGGGCGATTATCTGCCGATGCGATAAGAGCGGAAAAATAGTTACATTTTGCCGCTTTTATCGCCACTAGGTAAGTCTTAATATGAGATCTTACCAGTGTTCGGTCGGATTCGGAGCGACTAGATCTCCAACTGCTCTCTAGGCGTCTTTTCTGGCGCTTCATCCCCCTCAGCTCCTCGGAGAACCAAGGAGCCAGGTAGACTCGGCGACAGGTCAGAGGCCGCACAGGCACGACTCGGTCCAAAGCCTCAGCGGCCGCCCTATCCCAGGCGGCCACCAGATCCTCAGCCGAGCCATGAGTCAGAGTCTCAGGAAATGGCCCAAGCTCCGTCTGGAACCTATCAGGATCCATCAGGCGCCTGGGGCGGAACCATCTGGTCTGTTCCGCCTCCCTGCGGCGGGGTGTGGCGGTTAGAAAGTCAAGCCTAAGAAGGGAATGATCCAACCATGACAAGGGCTTAATCACTATCTCCCCTATCTCGAGATCATTCTTCCACTGCCCAGAGACAAAAATCAGATCCAGAGTGTGTCCTCCTGTGTGCGTGGGTCCACAAATTAATTGGGTCAGGTCCATGGCCGTCATGGAAGCCATGAACTCCCGAGCCGCCTCAGACGCTTCGCCGACAGACGGCAGATTAAAGTCCCCCATGACCATAAGCCTGGGGGTCTCCACCGCCACCTCGGCAATCACGTTGAGGAGCTCGGGCAGGGCCGCCGACACGTGGCAGGGAGCCAGGTACGTAATCAGCAAGCCCATCTGCCTCCCTTGTCCCCACTTCACAAGGAGGGACTCACATCCGGCTATCTGAGGTACAGTGGCCTCCCTTGGGGCGAGACCTTCCTTTACTAGAACCGCCACCCCCCCACCCCTCCCCTGGGACCTCGGCTGATGGAATGCATAGAAACCTGGAGGGCACATCTCAACGAGGGGGACCCTATGAGTAGACATAAAGAAAATCTGTTTGCAGAACAAAATGTTATTTTTGGTTTACGTCATAGAATTTTTATCATAACTAGCTGTAGGTGCTAAATATATACCACTGGCACGAAAGTGGCCTGGGCCATATTGCTGGAAGTAAATAACGTAGCATATCATCTTCCAACAGAAATAATGCTCATAGCATGTGGAAGAGCAGGGGAGAAGCCCAGATCAGAGTGGGATGGAAAACAGAGACTCACGTATAATTATATTTATTTTTTTAATTGTTTATTTGACTATAGGAAATAAGGAAGGAAAATGTTTCTCTTTAAAAAAGAAGTGAATCAGGAAAACCATACCATCTTGACTGAGCCCAGGTGGTGCAGTGGTTAAGTGCAGCATTGAAGGCAAACTCTGCCCACAGCCTAGAGTTCAATCCTGATGAGGCTCAAAGTTGACTCGGCCTTCCATCCTTCTCAAGTTGGTAAAATGAGGACCCAGATGGTTGGAACCAATATGCAAATAATGCTGACATTGTAAAACTCCCAGAGAGTGTTGCAAAGCAGTAAGGGGTTCTATATAAATCTAAATGCTATTGCTATTGACTAAGGATATTTCCACCCAAAGATTTTTCATGCAGTAAAAATTTTCATGCAATTAAAAATTTTCATGCACATAAAAATATGTGTCTGTATAATGTTGTCTTGCAGTACTCATATACTGTCCTACTGCTTCTGTCCTTTCTTTTCTACAAACATTCTAGAAGGAAGGAAAAAATGTAATACTGAAAGCTTTTTTCTCTGTAGAAGGATTCCAAATAATTAGAACAAGCATACATAAGCGAGATATGATAAAATGTATTTAAATGAAAGGCAGATGAATCACTCAATCATTATTTGATAAAGTGCTTGGCAAAATGCCTTTTATATAGTTTGATTTCAGGAAAGACATTGATGTAGCTTTTATAGAATGTCTGCATTCTATAAATTAGATCCTTATAAAATAGAATATATAAATAGTATTTGGAAGTAGCACACAGAATTCTGCAGCAGGATGTCTCAATTATGCTTTTTAAAATAAAATAATTAACAATTTGGACAAAAGAATCAGGTCTTTTTGCCCAAAAAAACTGTAATTAATATAATTTTCTCCAAACTATTGACATTGGAATCAGAATTCAAAAGGATTTGTCTGCAAATAGCAGGATGTTGTTCATTAGTGACAAATCTGAAGTATCCACATACAGGAAATAAAAAAACTGAATACACATACAGTACACAAAACTAACAGAGTGAAGAAAAAGTCAGCTGGATATCTAATTGCAGTACAGAGAAGAAACTGGGTTGTAAGGGATAATAAGAATAAATTGAAAAACTGGCAGTAACATAAAGCATCAGCTTGTCATGTGTTAAGCAAATGTGGTAGGCAGTCATCAATACAAAAGTATTCGGGTTTATTTAATGGTCAGTCAGCCTATCCCTCACCTCCAAAATAAAAATAGGCATTAGTTGGTTCAAGGAGATATCCAAATTAAGTGCCAAATTTCCTCTGACTCCATCAACCAGTGTTAAAAAGTTATGTGTTTAAAATAGGAACTTTAGTCTACAGATATCCAGTATACTTAGTTCGTATTAAGGATTCATAAGAATTATGTTCATTGTTAAACTGCCTTCTTTATATTAAATATTAAAATTTTATTAAGACTTTAAACACTCAACTTACTATTGCCCCTAGGACATGATAGGCAACCTGAAACCTCGTGGCTGCAGGTAGTTCTTAAATTCCCATTTTGTGCCCGGTGGAGGCATTTTGGACCATATTGCCAGAAATTGGAGGCCAGGTTTCCTGCCATTTCAAGATGGGAAACACATGATCTAAAAATAGTATCTTCCTTAACAGCAGTTACAAAGCAAGGAAAAATGCCAAACTTCCCCTCAGAATTCAAGCGAGCAAACAAAAATCAGGTCTATCCACTCTGCGTTTACTCTTCCCATCATGATTTTCAGTGGTCTACAAAATGTTAAATATCAAGCATCTCTAGGTTGCTCCTGTCTGTCCAAGAACCAGGCCAGGTTTGGTTTTCCTGCATCTAACTAAAATAGACCAGACTTTTTCTCTCTTCACTATAATTTTAAAAACAAAACCAAGATGGACAATTCTCATTGTGTCAAAGTACAGCCAAGAACTATTGTGGAAAAGTTAGAATCAACTGACTTTAAGAACAGCTGGTAATTAGTACAGATAAATTTACTTCATGATTTCAAGAAAATGCATAAACTGAAAAATATTCACTAAAGATACCTTAAAACTATCTAAGGATATGAAAAGATACCAAAGTTCATAAAATAAAATTGCTTAGAAACTATAGTAATGGAAATATGTTTTATGTATCCATAAGTGAAAGAATCTGATGTATGGAGATAGTTTCAAACAACTTGCTAAATTATTTTATTAGACTGAAATAAAAAAAAGTTCTGTATAGAGAGGACTACTTGCATCTTGTCTTGGTCCTGAACCCTAAAGAAAGCCATCTCTCCCATTTGTGCTGATGTGTTGCCCATTTCTCCAATAGGAAATTATTTTTAAACCTCCTGCAAAGGAGCTTTGGTTCGCACACAAAAGAACCCCAGTTCTATCCTTGACATTTCAAAGTAAGACTGGGGAAGTACACCCCCCCCCCCCCAAATTTAAGCACTGAGTAAGATGGACCAGTGGGTTGTCTCAGATTAAGGTTGCTTCCTGCATTCATATTCTTATATGAGTCATAAATTACTAAGAACACTTATGGGGCTATATGAATAAATAAAAAGGCAAAATATAAAAAGCAATCTGAGAGACAACATGTGGCTGCTATAGAGTGACTAACATTTTTGTTAGAAACTACTCATTATGTTAATATGGATGAAAAATTTCCATTTATTAGTGATATTTCAAAGCTGAGAAATTCTGACACAATAGAAATCATACTGGAAAACATTATCTTACCTTTTATATCTTAATTAACACAGTGTCGTTTCTACAAAAAATATTATGGAAAATAAATTCATGCCAAGTGATTGAGTTTATTATCATGTTCTCTTTCTTGTGGGCTCAAAAATCTACAATATATTACCAAAATACGGTACAGAAACATTGGAAACAAAAGCTCCTTTCTTTCTAAAAACTTTCTTTTTCTACCTCATCATGGAGCTTGTTTGTCCACTGTAGGAGCAAATCAACTGGAGAAATCAAGATTCCAAGTATTGCAATCCAATAGAAATCCTGCAAATTTATTACCTTTTTGAAAACTCCATACTTATTCTGAGATTTTGATGAAGAAAGGACTAATATGCATTTTGAGGATATTGTGATTCAAATTTTAGTTTAAAATGGTTGCATACAAGAATTAATTTAGGTACAGAATCAGAAAGAATAAAACCTAAATCCGAAAGCTATTTTTGTATATCAACTACTGTATCCTGCATTTCAGTTAATGCCTTTTCTACATCACCTGTGTTGAAAAAAGGTTATTGTAATTAAGTCATAAAATTTAATTAGAACTTAAGAAATTAGCTTTTAGATGGGTGAGGGCCCATTAGCACTTGAAATGCAATGCTATTTGTAAGATGAATAATATATTTAAATAGTATAGAACTAGCAAAGATGAGTAAGAGATGATGATTTAAAATAGATCCTATTTAAAAACTATCCATGTAAGTCTTTCAACAAGTAGTCTGTATTTTTGAGGCTGTGCAAAAATCTTCACCTGGGATGTGCAGCAGTTGACTTTTGATCCTAGGAAAGATATGATGAGTTCATATCCAGATCTGCGCATAGCCTTAGTGTTTTCTAACTTTACTCAATTTTGGTGGAGAAAGATCATGATTCTTTATCTTTATCTTTATTTTAAATTTATATACCGCCCTTCTCCCTGAGTACAGCCAGAATTAAAAAACATAAAATACAAATATTAAAAAACAATTAAAATATATATAAATTTGGCCCAAAATTAAAAATACAAACCAATTAAAACATTTAAAATTTCTTCTTAAGCCAGCCCGGCTTGCTGGAAAAAGTGGGTTTTAAGGGCACGGCGGAAGGCACTAAGGTCTTGGATTCTCCTTATCTCTGGGGGCAACTGATTCCAGAGGGTAGGTGCCCCCACAGAGAAGGTCCTCCCCCTGGGGGTCACCAGCCTACATTGATTGGCTGATGGCACCCTGAGGAGGACCTCTCTGTGGGAGCGCATGGGACGATGGGAGGTTGTCGGTAGCAGCAGGCGGTCTCGAAGATAGCTAGGCCCGATGCCATGTGGCTTCAGAAGAGTCCAACTCACTTCATCCTTAAGATGTATTTTAAAAAGTCCACCCATCGTCAGTTACCTGAGTCTGTGTTGAGACGGCGTGAAGACAGGTGCAGCGCAGAATGGTAACTGCGACGGCGAGACTTGTAGGTATTTTCACTACTCCTTTCCATTGAGAACTCATCCAGCCAGGAGGAATTTGTCCGTTTGTCTCGGATGGTAGAAAATGAGCGTCTCATGGAGCCAGGATCTGTAACTACCTAGAAATGCATCCCAGAATGGAAGAAGGATTAAAGGTTAGCAAGTGCCTATTGGTTTCAGCAGACGGATTTGCTAATTAAGTATACTTAGTCTCATTTGGCCAAGAATAAAGATATTGTAATACCAGAGAGGTGTGGAGGAAATTCACTCCCCAATTTGGAGCGTATAACACCTTTCTTACTATTTGTTTTGGCTAATATAAACTTATCTATTTTGCCTTCCCCTAGGCTCTAAGGTACGCACGATATTTGCATCTTTGTACTCATGTGAGTAATGAAAGAAGAAGAAGCAGAACAAATTCAGTTTTATAGGTAGGTAATGAGCACTTTCACATGATCAGGCTTTGCACTGCCCAAAGCTTCTGCATTGAAGACTTGAATTGAAATGATGCATGGCTGAACATTCTGCTCTATTTTAGTGATCAGGATGATATGGGAATCAGCATATTTAGTTTTTGTCAGGCTGTATTGTTCACAGAGCACCAAAAGTCAATCAAAACTTGTCTTCCTCAGCCAGAGAGTGTGCAAAGGTTTCAGCCTATCAGTGTTCATCTATTGGACAGTAACTGAGTGCATCACACTCTTCTCTGACTTTCATGCCAAGCAGCCAATCTGCTACCTCTTATTAATTTTATAAATAACTCAAGGTGGTGAACATACCTAACACTCCTTCCTCCTCCTGTTTTCTCCACAACAACAATCTCATGAAGTGGGTTGGGCTGGAAAGAGTGACTAACTCAAAATTACCGAGCCAGCTTTCATGCCTAAGATGGGACTAGAACTGACATTCTCCTGGTTTCTAACTGGTACCAAAACTGGTTCTCATACAGGAAGCATTTGTCTTGCCCATCAAGGTGATATAGCTAGTACATGAACATCATTGGGGAACTCTATTCACTTTTCAGGCAGACCAGAACCCATGTTAGTCATGCTCTTGGTGTTACCTAATTCATTGCCTAGTTACTCAAATCTTCACATCCCAGATCTATTGAGTAAAAACAAGAACTGAGAATTTTGACTCGACAGCTTGGCCTATATAATTTTCAATCTGCTTGAAATGAGAGAGATTGTTAGATCAGGTGTTAAATCCACACAGGATAATGGTCTTACGCTGAAAGAGAGGGCTATCCCTTTGAACTGAATGACTATAAGCCAAACTATTTCATATAATTATGGAATACACTCTAGGGGAGTCTGGAAATTAATTTTAAGTATGTTCTGAAATGCACCATTCACTCTTTCCTACTGAGAGAGGTTAGTAATGGCAGAGAAAAGCTTAATGGCTTCTTTCAATACTAGCAGGCCTATAATATGGCCTAGCTTAGTCAGTAAAGTATGTGGTGCTTTGCTTACTGATTCATTGATTAGTGTTCAGGATTTCAAAGTATTATACATTACACTCCTCCCCCCTATGTTCCTCACAACCACAACCCTTGGGATAGGTTAGACTGAGAGAAAGTAATTAGGCCAAAGTCATCGCATGAACTTCTGTGGCTGAGGGCAGACTAGAATCTGCAATACCTTAACCACTGTACCATACTGACATTCTCTCCTATTAACATTAAAATAAGACATAGAATCTTCACTTTAAAAAAATAATAATCAGTTTTAATAGGGGAAATACTTTACGGAAACAGAGTGTGGTTTTTCACTTTTCACTTTATACTCATACAGGACAATAGCTTTCTCTAGCTTACCTAGGAATAGATTTGCCAGCTAAAATTAAGTCTTGGAACAAAACCTGAACTGCAATAAGTCTATTGACAGGAAGGATAGTTAATATCAAATTGTTAAGTTTGAAAGAAAGGGAAGTAAAGTTAGAAAAGGAAGGACAAAAAGGTATTCTACTGCATTTTTTGCAACAGAACAGAATGCTCATTATCTAAAATTGCTATTGGGCATTATTGTATACTTAAAGCCATCCAAAATTTAGAATATGATCTGAATCACACTCTGAATATGATTCAGAGTATTCAGAGTAACCCTTGTATGATCTGTTTTTCCTGTGAATTAATTAGTCTTATCTCGGTTGTATTAATTCAAAGTAATAATCTATCATTCCAATTAATTCAATTTGTATCTTAGAATTCATATGACCAAATTGTTTTCCATATACAAGCTTTGCCTATACAGAGGAAAATTACATATTGCCAGAAAAAGAGTTTTTCTCTAGTCTTCCTTCTAACATCTGAGTTCTAGATCCTAGGTGCTTCTTTCATATGGAGAATATTTTATTTATATGGCTTCACTCTTGCAGACTCAACTGGAACAATTCAGCCACTATGATACTAGGTCTTTGTTATACTAAATAAAAATAAAACTTTATTTAATATTATTTATTTACTCATCTAACTAGCTATTTCATGGTATCCATTCTCAGCCTGCTTCCTGACTCTTTGCTTGTTCTTGTTTTTATGTTTCTTGAATCTTAAAATTTCTATTTCTTTCATTTCCACCGATTCTAACTTTTTCCAAAGCAATGCTTCACAGAAGCTCTATTTATTTTAAAGTACTGGAATTTCAAGGCAGGGAAACATTTGATTTTTATACAACTGGAAAGCACTAAAAGAGAAAAAAATGATACGTTGTGTGATGCAATATCAATATCAGACTGATAATTTAATAATCTAACAAATCTGCAAAATCTACAAGACTTGAGATGGGAAGATATGAAAAATGCTGCCCCATAGTATAACTTTTACTCTGTCCAGCAACATTGTTGTCCAATGTTTTGGCAGTCAGAATAAGAACGGTCATAGTGTCTTGCAGTCAGATAGGAAAGTGAAGTTCTGCAGCAGGCAAACTGGAACTCAGGATTTCATCTCCCTTCCTCCTCCATGAGACTGACTTTGTGTATATGGAAAGTCGTCTCCTTTTCCTTTCCCAAAGAAAACACTACTTCCAGGTTAGATCATTTATACTGGCTTCAACTTGACTCAGGAGTTTGTGGGTAAATAAGAGGTCAACAGTATGTGGGCCATCTTTGGGCCAGAACATGGATACTGTATGGAGCAGGCCATTATTTCCTACTCAATTTCCTCAATAAACCAGCTCACTGAAAAATTATATAAATTATTATTACAAACCTGAGAAGGTATTTTATCTCTCTGTTAATCAAAACTTGATTACAAGACAGACAAACAGAAAAAAAAATCTGCTCAACAGACAAATACATGAATAATGGCCAAGACTGACCAGGACAGGATGCTAGGCGGCAGGCATGTAGACAAGTATATTAGGACAATGAGGCTTGAAAGAGAAAGTGGCTAAGTTTAAAGGGAAAAATACATCCAGAAGACAGAAGTAAAAGGATTATTTCAAATGGTTGGGATACTTGCTATAATCAACAATAGGTTTGGTTGAAATAGAACAGGAAAATGGCTCCCTCAAATCTCCTGCTGTCCAGGGTCTCTGAAGTATTGGAAGAAGGTTTATGGATTGATTAAGGTGGTAGCTGGGCAAATTAAGATAGAGTTAATTATAATAGAATTCTTTATAGAATTCTTTATTGGCCAAGTGTGATTGGATACACAAGGAATTTGTCTTTGGTGCATATGCTCTCAGTGTACATAAAAAGAAGAAAAAAAATGATTTGCATTGTTGCATCCGTAAAACAGGACTGGAGTCTTCCTTGTTTCATTGGGGCACTGTGTTCAGAATCTGTAATACTAGAATTAAAGGAATGTTCCACGTTCATAGGGAGCCAATTGAATTGGTATCAGTGACAAATTTCAGCCTCTTTCACTATTCAAATAAAGCAACAACCTCCTATAGGAAAGGATCATGTATCTCCTGTAATGATATATTCCTATTGTTAGTCACCATTTCACCTGGTTTTACCTGGGGATCCACAGTCAGGCGTGGCATGGAAGAAGCCCTCCCAGATACAGCTCGTTCCTGAGTATCCACCGGGAGATAACTGCCACAGTTAGAGGGCTGCACTCTTTTAAACTCTCTAATTTCTGGCTCCTGGAAATAAACACACAGCCAAACTCATGGGATTTCATTTGGTTATACTGCTTGCCATTTTTTGCTGGCATTGTTTTTATCCATGTGGTGGGAATTGGTTGAGAATAGGGTTTAAATGAAGCATAGTGAATGCTTTCTGTTGCCCTTCTTAAGTATGCTGAATGTGTTTAACACGATTACAAACAGTAACTATACTTTTAGTGCTAAAAAAAATATACTCATTTCAGTCTAACAGATCAGGGAAATTCAGACTGCTTGCTTTTTCAGCATACATTTTCTTGCACTCAGATATCAAGTTTGGATTAAAATAAATAAAAATTAAGCCTGGTTTCACGATAAAGTGCCTTTCTGATTTAAATCTGGCTCCAATGTCTCAGCGATTTAATTTTTAAAGCCTGCTGGTTCATAAGTGTGATGTGTGTGTGTGTGTGTGTGTGTGTATTTCCCTCCATCAACCATCCTTCTACTTAATCATCAGTAAAAGCTTTGCCAGGAATATCCCCAAATGAATTTTTAGATGCTTATGTAATGCTTTCACTGTTTGTCTTTTGCTATGCTCAATGATCAAAATGGATTTTTATTGTTGTTAGATCAAGAGAAATTAGGAATAGTGTATCAGTCGCCAAACAGAAGTCTGACAAAAATTGTTTGTGTGTTCTTTTCAAGCCAGAAAGTCTAAGAAGGCATAATGTATGTGTGTGCGTGTAATACAAAATTTATGGATAGAGTGCAACATTCTGAGAAGCACACAGAGTGGAAATAAATGCACAATTATACAGCATTGGATTTCAACAAAGGTGGTGCACAAATGTGCACACACACAAAAATAGACCATTTACATATGCAGACGTGAATCCCACCAGGTAATAAGGTGGCTGCAAGTGTGGGTCAGAGGCATGTAATCCACATTTGTGTGATATGATTCAACAATTTGGTTTTTGAACATGAACACCAGCATTGAAGACAAAATGAACAAAAGCTCCAAAGCACTAGTTATTATTGTTTATCGCTGAATAACCCACCTGATGAAATGATTATATGCAATGAGAACAAACCAATTAGTAGAATGATAATTAGAATTAACAACTGTAACAAACATAAAGGGTCAAATTTTCAGTCAAAAATTGCATTTCTAACATTGATAAGTACTTTGAAAATATAACTTGCTTGATGATACTTGAGTATATTTTATATAATATTCTTATTTTACTAAATATTTGCAACATATACTTCTTTATAACTTAAAATATTTACCATCATCATAATCCCGTCAAACCTCCAGCAATGCTTACTCATCACTACAACTTTAGCTGTAGACCTTTCATTATTATTAAATGGTTAAATGTCTCTTAACATCTCCATAGATTGTACACTTCTAGATCGCTAGAAATCTATAATGACAAAGAAAAATCTAACAAGAAAAAACAATAAGTTCTGTATTATGCTTCCCTGTTTTCATCTAGGATACCTAAATGAAATAAATACTACAGTATCTATTTGAGCAGTAATTTGATGAATTATATATGAGGTGACCAAAACTTCAGCAATGAATCTCTCATGGAATAACTGACCAATTTTTGAAGATATGTGAGATTAAACTGACGATAAACAAATCCTTATTGTTTTTTTTTAAAAAAAGTTTGTAACTAATTCTGATAACAAAAGTAATGGCTATATATGTTACTACAGTAGATCTATTCTTCCTATCCGGAATGGATGAATTCTTGTCTACCAGAAATCTTCTCTGTTAATGTCCAATGGGGAAGCAGCACATTGTTATAGTGGAAGTTTCATCAACAGGATCTACAAAGACCTAGGATTACCAGCATTTCAGGGTTATAATAATTAAACTATTTGGAAAGACCCAGTTTCAATGTTATATTCCACAGAATAGCTTTGGAAAAAAGAATAATAAGTCTCAAAGTCAAACATAAGGTATTTTCTGGGAATGTGAGCCTTCCTAAAATCTAGACAGAAAAATAAAGTAAGATTAGTAAAATTAATAAAATAGACATTATAACATATTATACAATAATATAATAGAATAGAATATCATTACATATTGTATATGTATTGTATAATAGTATATACAATATACTGCATGCAATATATGCAATATATTGTACAATATATTTTATAATAACACAACGTAATATCATTATATGATACAATACTATAACACCACTTGCAACCAAGGTTTTTCAACAGTACAGGCACAATTTCACTTGAAATGCTTTTCTGAAATCAATGGAAAACAGAAGCATTTTAAAAAAACAGTACATTGATTTACCAGAGATTGCTGTTCTTGGTACTCTCCGTGGGCTGAATCCATACATGCCAACTGGAATATCTCTTGGGGAGAGAGTGGACTCAGGGAGGGGAACCCACTACGGCTGGTCCTATAAAGATAGTCCAACTTGAAATGAAAAGAGAATACATCTTTCTGTAACTTTCACTATTTTTTTTCTACCTCCTCCAAGATAAAACATCAGTCCCAGGGAAAAAACATATTTCACAATGAACGACATGCTTTTGTTGGAAAAAAGTGAGCTAATTATTACCAATGTCAGAAATGAATATGCCATAAAATTCTTTTCCAAGGGAAAGCTTGTCATATCCCTGCCAGGTTTTAGGAAAGCACATTGCTGTTATTTGCCCATCCTTCTGAAGCGGTAGAAATAATAAAGCAATAAATAACAGTTAAAACCAAGATCAGCAGATAGGTAGCTTGAATTACACACAATATGCAGAATGCCCAACATCAGTCAAACTAGAAACGTTCTACCAATCCATCAATGGAGAGAATGCAGCAAACTAGACAATACTTGACAAAGACAAAACAGTGGAGTTCTAGGCACAGCTATGGAATAAGAATTACAACAATAATGCAGCTGGGATAAAAATGGTGGCTAAGAATAAAAAAAGAAGCTGAAATGAAAGAACTTGTAATAACAGCAGAAATGGTGGAGAAACTGCAAGGAAGATCAAGAACTGATCAGCACCAAGTGAAGATTAACAGCGTGTTTTTTCATTAAAACACCTGACTGGTCTACAGCCACTCAAGGCTGGTGACATTGGAGATTGGTTAGTATCTGACAAGCCTATCTAATAATGAAAGATCCAACAAAAAAGCAAGCACCAGGCAACTACAGGCCAATTACCTGCTTACCAACAACTTTCAAATTGCTAACTGCTGTGGTACAATTCAACAGCATCTAGCTGAAAACAAGTTTTTTCCACCTCAATGTGGCTTGCATTGCTTAAAAGAAGGTATTCAACACCCTGCCACATGATTGGATAATCAAGTGCCTAGAAATAACAGGAGTCAGTAGAAACATCAGAAGCTTCATGAAAGATTAGAGACACAATGGAAGAGACAGTTGCTGGTTAGTGGTGATGTTCTGGGAGAGGTTAATATCAACAGAGGAATCTTTCAAGGAGACTCATTCTCTCCATTACTTTTTGTCATTGCACTGATTCCTCTGTCAACAATACTGAACAAATCAGACCATGACTATCAAATATCAAAAATATCTGCATGGCTATCTTGTCTCTTTATGTGAATGATCAGAATGGAAAAACACCATCTGAAACAGAATCACTGCTCAATGTGCATATACACAACCAGGATATTGTAATGGAGATTGGACTGGATGAATGTGACATCCTTAACAAGGGAAAAATAGTGAAAGCTGAAGAAATCAAAATACTCTATGGAAATAGCATCAAGAGTTTGAAAGACAATCACTACAAATACTTGGGGATCTTTCAAGCTGACAACATCAAGAGTACTAGAGACAAGAAGAAGGTTAGAAGTAAATAGATCATGAGAGTGAAGAAGATCTTGAAATCCAAAGTCACCATTAAGGCAATTAACACTCGGGCAATTCCAGTTATTAGATACACAGCTGGAATAATGGACTGGACTCAAGCAGAGCTAAAAGCCCTTGATAGGAAGACCAGAAAAATAATGACAATGAATCAGGCCCTTCATCCATTCAGTGACAGACACTATTTACCAAGGAAAATAGGTGGGTGTGAAATGTTGCAAGTGCACTAGAAGCTGAAGAAAATAAAAGACAACTGGAAGAATATCTGAAGGACAGTGAAGAAGATGCACTAAAGCTAGTATACCAGTATAGCATACTGAGTACTGGAGAGACCTAACCGGCCTACAAGAAAGACAAAATGAAGATTAGAAAAATAGACATGGCAAGGCAAAGTATTACATGACCAGAACATTAAAACAATCGAAGACATATATAATAACAATACCCGGCAAATGGCTAGGAGCAGGAAAGTTGAAGAAAGAGATGCAAGGGCTAATTCTGGTTGCATAAGACCAAACCTTAAGAACAAATGCATACAAAGCCAGCATTGAGAAGACAGCAAAAGAAAGCAAAAGATACCTCTGTAAAGAAAGTAATGAAACAATAGACCACCTAGTTAATGGCTGCAAGAAAACTGCACAGACTGACTACAAAGAAAGGCATAATAAAGTAGCAATAATGGTGCATTGAAATATTTTTTTTAAAGAAATACCATTTGCCTGCAAGTGAGAATTGTTAAGGCCAGAAAATAGTCAAACTAATTAAAAAGAAAGAAGCTAAAGTGCTCTGGGACCTTAGTATTCAAGCACCTTGCCACATAACACCCCAGACTTAACAATTACTGTTAAGAATGACAAAAAGTCTGGATAGGGGACATTGCATAACCTGGAGAAAGCAGAAGAGAAGAGAAGGGACTGGAGAAAATCACAAAATACAAAAACTTGTAAATAGAAGTAGAATTACACTGGCAAAACAAAGCAAAGATAGTACCGATAGTGACAGGCTCCTAAGGATGCAATCCCAAAACATCTAAAGCACCACTTGAATGCCATCAACATTGATAAAATCACCATCAATCAATTGCAAATGGCAGTTTTAATTGGAGCAGTTACATCCTGTAACAATAACTTTAACCTAAGCAAACATCATCTTCCTATTCCAAGTACATGGGAAGGACTTGATGGATAAAAATGCCATATCCAATCTAAACTTCTGTGTGACCAACCATCATAACAACAACAATAATAATATTTTTATTTACAACAAAAAGAACCAAACAACTACTATCTTGTATTGTTGACATTATTATCAAAGAATAAAAGTGAAAAAACCTGAAACCAGTCAAAATTATATGCTTATGTTGCATTGACAGTATATACACATTTTTAATTCTTGATGATGGAAATAAGAAATGCTTACAAGTGTGGATGTATACCAGTATATCGCTGTTCAAAAATGGCTGAAACATAGGAAGTCTTTCCAGAGGTGCTTATAATCTTCACCAAAAGGTTCTGTGAGTGATATTTTTATTCCTATGCTACATTTCATTTGAAAACATTGTTTTGTATTCAGACTTGGGCTGGTTGGCACATTGCACTAAGCTGTAACTTCACATGTGGTTTATTGAATAAATCACAGTTATGATTCACCCTTCATACTAAATCATAAACCATGGCTGGATTTACATAACACACTGAGTTTCAAGCAAACAAAGCAAATTCTTGGGTAACATGTTCAACGAGCCCAGTCAGAGAGAGAAGTATGCTTTAATAAAGACCAAGACTGTGAAAGTTTTAATGGAGGAATGGATTGGATAAGAATCAAAATGCAATGTGGCTTCCTGATTATTCTCCTCCTTTCATTCTACCTTTATTTTTCAAACTAAGTTTTGAGTTCTGCATTCTTATTGCAATCTCAGTAGTTGAAAATGTGCTGTTAACTAGCACGATTACTTTCTATTTCCTCAAAGTTTATTATCAAGATCTTTGGGTTTATTTGTAATATCTTTCTTAGATTAGATTCCTTACCATTACAGCTTTGTATCTTGAGTAAGATTCAATGAAAAAAGGATTAGGATTACTAGGATTACAAATACAAAAGTCAAGGTGGTATTGTTTATTCAAGCATCTGCACTTACAGTCCTGAAATTGTGTCTTGTTGGAGGTAAGGCAAAGCTTTGGCATTGGAAATGATCTCCTGAGGAAGAGATGAAGGCTCCATGCGCTGGAACATTGGGGCATTTTTCTGAGTTAAGAAAGAGAAAATGACTACAGTTTCAATTAGGTAAAATAATGACATAATGAATACGTGGAATTAAAACTTCCATCGTGTTCAACATCTATAATGGCTAGATGTGATAAGGATTATACTCTTAACACATTTAGAGGGCAACAGGTTTGGAAAGTCTACTCCCAAAGAAGAGGAAAATAATACTGAAACTGCTCTTAATTTTAGGTAAGCTAAATGAGACACTGCTGGGATAGCAAATACAAATCCTTTCAATTACTTTCCTTATGAAAATGTATTACATAGCATAGCTTCATCCTCCATTTTCCCCACATCTCCCCAGTCACTTGTCTCTATATTCAAAGAATTGCTTTGCATAAGTGCTGTATTTTTAACACAATCCATGTTTAGAATCCTTCCACATGCAAGGGCTGTTCTGTTCGGTGTCCTGTGCCATTCCCCCAGAAGAAACAATGCAAAAGCAGATTTTCAGAATTTCCTCTAGAACTCTCTGGTGGCCTCCATGGTTGGAAATTTCCACTTCATCTCAGCTCCTGAAATTTTATCATCCCGCCCGTACTGAAACTCTGTGGTACTTTGTCAACTTTCCCTGTTGCCTCCCTGCTGTTTTGCATGGCTGTTTCTTGCTGGAATGGCTTTGTATGGACATCGGGTTGCTGTTGGTTTGCTTGTCTACTTTTCAGCTCACTTCAATAGCATTGCTGGTGAGGGGGGAAAATAGTGAAGGGATGAAGTTCCAATATATTGCTTTCCTACTGCGACCTGCAAGCAAGCTCTGGCCATCTCAAAGAAGGGAAGCGATTTGCATAGTAGCAACAAATAAATACTCTAGATAGCTAAGGGAGTCACAGCATGCGAGGGGTCTCAGGGAAGTTAAGGATATACATATTGTACAGATTGCTATAAAAAGAACTCATAGAATGCATAAAATTGTGGGAAAGGAGAACACTTACTGTAGATCAGGAAACCTGCCATTGCATTTTCCTTTTTATAAAAATATGTACTGTCTTCTGTCTTGCTACAATGATTCCTATTGGCTGCCCTACACAAACTGCAGCAGAATTTTATATATTCTTGGAAATCATCCTTAGTGCATCATAGGCTGCAAGGTATACCTCTAAATTCTTATGCAAATAACCTACCACATCCTCTATTAATGCTTTCCATACAAATCTATTACCAGAAAATCTGAATGGCTGAATTTTAAGCCACAACAAAACAAGATCAATTATATTTTTCTTCCCACAAAACCGTACCTGTTCTTCCAGCTGCTGTCTTTGCTTTTTAGCTTTGCTCTGCTTATAATAGTCCATTATCATCATGGCTGCATAGATTTTCCCAACTGTCAGGTCTGTAGCTGGAAGTAAAAGATGTAACCATATTAACCAAAACAGAACCCATTTACTTTGCTAAGAGAACTAGAATCAGGGACATACAGTCTTGCACATCTGTGGGGCAGGAAAGAACACATATTTATGAGCTTGGTTCTGAATTTTCAAGCCCTATGATTTGGAGGGAGCTAGCAGCCCTCAGATAAGATGAAGATCATAGGCAGAATGATGCCTTGGTTTCTGCATATATGTTTTTTAAAGATTAATATTTGATTCTAATATCAGAATAGTCTTAGAATAGAATAGCTAGGATATTGGCTATTTTGTAAAAGGGGTGATGTGTCTGAGTATTATTTACATGTGGATGCATTTCTATTTTCAAGTATGTTTTTCTGCGTTATGTCTCTATATAGAGTAAGCTAGAAGTATAAATGATGTAGCAACAGCAATAGCACTTAGATTTATATGCCACTTCGCAATGCTTTACAGCCCTCTCTAAGTGGTTTACAGAGTCAGCATACTGCCCCCATCTATCTGGGTCCTCATTTTATCGACCTTGGAAGAATGGAAGGCTGAGTCAACCTTGAACCTGGTGAGATTTGAACTGCCAAATTGTAGGCAGTCAACAGACGTATCCTGCAATACTGCATTCTAACCACTGTGCCACCATGGCTCTAATGTAGATTAGCACAAGGAATTTGCTTATATTAAATTCCTTCTCTTTCTTAAAAATCATACAAGTCTTGCTTCTTTTATTTTTCTGAATGTCACTTGGCAGCCCTAATTCCTAAACCATAACTTACTTTTTGGCATGGGGACCAATAGATCTAGCATCTTCTGAGAAAGGTGAGGCCAAATGGTCAGTATCTCCTTCTGGAGCTCAGAGTCGAACTGCTGCCAGTCTGCACCACCTATAAGGGAGCAGATCAAAAGAACTCTAAACAAAGTGGAGAGAAAGAGAAGGAAAGAGAAAAAGAAAACAAGGGAGCTAGACTCATTATTTATCCATTTTGTTTCCCATATTCCTCTAAGCTTAATGACACCAGAGATAAGAACCCTTCTTTAATTCCAATTGGCTACCAAGAGCCAAATCTGTGAGGTCCTGGGGGATACCAACAACACTTAAATTTAGCAAAGTATCCAAACCAGAACTCCTCAATCTTTAATTAATTAATCTATCAATAGTACCCTTGCAAATCTGATGATATATTTATAATATATGTATGCACACATTAATTCTTCATTGTTTCACATTCTCCTCTGAAAATGTTGATGATGTCAGACAATAGATTCTCATTACACAATTAGTAAATTTCTGAAATTTCTTATTTCATTTCTTATTTTTTATTTCATGCTTCATACTAGCAGAGTTGGTTTAGCAGCGTTTTCTTCCATGTTTGGGAAAAAAAACAACAACTAGATCTGAAATTGTTCTTAGAGAATCAGATTATTCTGAGTCATGAGGTCTATGTAGATTACAAATTAATTGATTTTGGGAAGTTGCCCATTTCTCCCCCCAAAAAAGTAAATTTCTAACTCTTGGCTATTTTAGTTTCCTTACTTTATTTTCCCATTTACCCCCAGACCCCTACCTTTTGCGATCTTAATATCAAGAGCTGTTCTAATTAATGCCATCAAGGTGGAAGTGAAATGCACCGTGTTGTCTTCAGCCACTGGCATGTTCATCAGGACCAGTCTCTGCACAAAACAGGTGGGGAGAAGGGAATCAGGCAGAAAAGAGTTTGGAAAACTGTATCATGGAGACACAAGGAAAATGCTTAAAATGCATAAACTAGAACAGCCAAAAAGGAGGGCAAGGATCGCCCCCATCTCTTCCAACCTATCCCATTCCCTTCAGCATGGTCTTTTGCCCCTTTTTATTCACCTTGCCAAGGATATGTGCTCTTTTACTGACTTGGAGCAAGACGGACAAGATGACTGATTAGGTTCCCTGACAATCACATTCTGTGATTGTGGGAAAGGAATTCAAACTCTCTGATTCCATTAAAAGGAGAAACAGCTGTAGTTTACTTCTGCATCTCCCATTTAGAACAATTTTTCTTTTACTTAATAAGCTCAGAACTCTTAGCTATATCCTGGCGCCCCCTTTTTGAGTTTTCTTCAAAAGAGGTCTTGTTGGCAGCAAATGATTATCCATGCAATGGTTCCATTTTATCTGAAGATGAAGAGGGAGGAGAGAAAGTGAAAATGAAGAGAAATTGATGAGTTATGTGGGAGTGAGTGGGTCATGCTCCTTTTACCCTTGAAGGGGAAAACAAAATGGCCAAATCCACTTCTCAGAGTGTATATATTGTTTTGTCAATTTTTATGCTATTCTTCCCATCATACCAACCACCCTCTTTCTTGAGATTTCCGGATCTATCATAAAATGGGATTAGTGAGATTAAGACTCATGGAATACTTTTGCTTCCATGTGTACAGAATCAAAAAAAAAAAAAAAAAGAGGGGGGGCTTATGCTTCAGAAACTAAATGGTACCATTGTGGCATGCACAAAGGTGAACATGTTGCCCTCAGCTAAAATCATGGATAATGCAGTAAACGGACAATCCCAAGTAACTATTTAGAGAACCAGGGTTTGCAATCCTGTTTTTTAAGCATTTGAACCAGAACTTTCATTCAGGAGTTTTAGGAAATAGAGTCAAAAAAGTAAAGGTGATAGGTGCATAATAAAAACCCCTTTTTATATACAGGTAGTACTCAATTTACAACCACAAATGAGCCTGGAATTATGATGGTAAATCATGGCAGTTGTTAACTGAGGCACCCATCAGATCCCCTCACCTAACGACCACAATCCCAGCTTTTGCCATTGCAGTCATTAAGTTAACTGCGTTAAGCAGAGCATTAAATGGCTCAGGAGGTGGGGGAGGCTCTGGGAAGCCTGGTGCAGGCCCACACCGCAGCACTTCCCCAGATCACATTTGGCCTTCCCCACCCATTACACAGCTTCCCACCCTACTAGGTTGTATACCACAGGGCCTCCTCCTTTTCCCATTACACCTCATTTCATTTGAGTTTTCTGAAGACTGCCTTTCCCAAGGAGAAGCAGTCAATGTGCTATGCCACGTCGCCTTTCTATACAGAAACCACATGATGCCATCCTGGAAGCAGATACAATTTTGGCAGTGGTTTCAATTCTTGTCATTTAAGAATTCTGGCCACTCCCCAAATGATATCTGCTTCCAGAATGACACCAAACAGCATTTGAAGAGGAAGGCTGTGTAGCACATTGGCTGCTTTTTCTTTTCCTGAAAGACAATCTTCAAAAAAATAATCTTTTGGAAAGAGAAATAGCCAATTTGCCACATGGCCTTCCTACATAGAGGCCGCTTCATGCCATTCCAGAAGCTGGGGCCATTTTGGTAGCAGCTGCAATTCTCACAATTCTGTATAGGAAGGCCATGTGACACACTGGTTTTCTTCAGAAGAGCTAAATAGAGCAAGGAATGGGAGGGGAGCAGGGAAGTCAAGGATGTGGGGCCCAGTGTAGCAGAAAGCAGGCCCAAAGCCTATGGGGACCCAGCTGGGTTGGAAGTGAGCCCAAGAGATTCAGTGTGGAATAAATGAGTGGGGTGAGCTGCAGCATCCCTACAATTGATTGTAAGAGTGGGTTGATTACCAAGTGGCCAGATTTTGTGACTCTGGGGGCATTGCAGCAGCCATAACTTTGGGTACAGGTCATAAGTCCCTTTGTTCAGTGCCGTTATAATGTCATATAACAGTGATGGCTAACCTTTTTGCCATTGCGTGCCAAAAGCAGGGGGAGTGCAGGGGGTCTGTGCGTCCCATCCTCTGTGCATGCGGTGCAAACAGGCCATTTCCAGCCTCTGGAGGGCATCCGGGGGTGGGGGTGGCGAAGGCAGTTTTTGCCCTCCCAAAGCTACTAGAAAGGCTCTGGAGCCTGGGGAGAGCAAAAAATGGGCCTTCAGGTCCCACAGGAAGTTGGCAAACGGGCCATTTCCGGCCTCCAGGGGGCTTCCGGAGGGGGGAAAGGCCATTTTTGCCCTCCCCAATCTCCTAGAAAAGCTCTGGAGCCTGGGGAGAGCAAAAAACAGGCCTTCCTCACCCACCCCCAGGCCCTCTGGAGGCAGGAAACTGTTTCCCTACTTCCAGTGGGCCCAGAAGGCCCAAAAATCAGCTGCCCAGTGTGCACATGCACACCACAGCTGAGCTCGCGTGCCCACTGATATGGCTCCGTGTGCCATAGTTTCGCCATCACGGTCATATAATCACGGAATGTATAGTCATAAGTTGAGGACTACCTGTATCAAAAAGGGACAGTTTCAATCACAGTCCTCTTTACTTCTTTAACCTTCTTCTCCCATACAGTTGCTCTGCTTTCATGATGCAAATACCACTGAAATCAGGCTATCACTTCCACATCACCCCCATTTTCACTCCAAATGCTTAAGAGCCCTTTGGAGGTGAACCATGGCTACCTTCCTTTCTGCTGACTTGAAATCATGAGAAAGAATGTACATCACTGCCACATCCTCAAGTCTTTTTTTTTTTTTTTTTTGCAGAGATAAAGGCAGAGATAAGCCAAACCAGCCAAACATCAATCATACCAAGTCCTGAAGACAAGGACAAAACCAACAAAACTCTTCCCAGTTAACTAGACCTCAGACTAACATTTCTGCTAAAGGTTCTGAAGCTTAGGAGTCCAGAGGAACAGCTATATCCAAACAAAAATGCAGCCACAGCATCCCCACACAAAAAATAAGTGTGTGTGTGTGTGTGTGTGTGTGTGTGTGTGTGAGAGAGAGAGAGAGAGAGAGAGAGAGAGAGAGAGAGAGAGAATGACAGAAAGAAAATATCTTAGCTTCAGTGCAGCTTCCATTACATCTATTTACCTCTGAGTTGGAAATGAATTAACCAGTCCCTCAATATTTTATGAATACTGAGATATTAGCACAGGATTCTAAGGCAGAAGCCCCAATATTTTCAGACTGCTACCTTTTCCAGAATAGAGCTGGACCCATTTTCCCATCTATTCTCTTACTTCCTATAATGAGACACCTAGCAAGGACCTGTTCTGCAGATTACTTTGAACCTGCTAGACCTATTGCGTGCAGTATTATCACACTAGCCACAAAACAGCTTATCACCTGTTCCAGCTCAGCTTCAGGGGTATCACTTCTTGCCTTCCAGGCTGTCAGAGCAACCCTTGCAGAATTTTTTTTTTTAAGTCAAAAGCTTTGCTGAAAGGATTTCAATTTAATGGGCATGTCATGCTCCATTTTGTATTTCAATGAGTCAGTGAGAAGAAGTTGCAGTTTTTAGAGTAGTTTCTCATTTTCTTCTGATGTAGTTGTCCTATTCCAAAGTCTTTGCTTAGTTCAGACTTTTGTACAGATTAAAGTTCAATCTCACATATTAGAAGTATGGTATCATGTTTGGGCTGAGCCTAAGAGCCACACTTGGCCTTTAAGTAGTGTGAGGGGGATTCTGCATTCCTAAAAGCAGGATAATTTCATTAAAATGTATTAAGTGTTATTAATATAAATGCTCTCATGTAGCTAACAATTTTCCATTTCAAACAAATTCCAGAGTACTGCTGGAGGGACTCTGCATACTCAGAAATAAAACACAGAGCATATTCCCAGATACGTTTGTACCTTTAAGTGTGTAAATTACTTTAATACCATGAGCACTTGCTTTAATATAGTTAAGCATATTGGTATAAACTGCCTTATATCTGAACTTTAGCCCAACTAGTTAAAAAATGTCTGATCTAAATGGGAAAAGTATTCCGTGGCTTCACAGAGGATTATATTCAGTTCTGTTACCTGGAACATTTCCACTGAAGTAGCGGGATGGAAACCACATCTGAATGCATAAAGAACATTTGCTCTAATGCTAAACAAAGACCTTTTGAATCTTATTCTGCATCCCTTACCTTTTGCAGACAATAGAATAACTGAACTGATGCCCCATCAATCATAATATTCAGTGCAAAAAAAAAAAAATCTTGAGTATTTGTTACCTTACATTACAGCTACCAATCCTGTTTCTCTTGGATCTACCCTCACAATGTTTGTTGTGTGCCTGCACAAAAACTAACTTTCAACATTACTTGCACTGATCCACAGGCCTTTCTCTTTTATAATGCTATTGCAAACAGAGTTATAAGGATTTGAAACATATAAGCAGTAAATATTAAGCTAGGAACACAATCTGAAATCAAAGAAATAATGGAACACTTCCTTTATCTCCCACCACCCCTTACCATTATTCGTTTCCCATTTCTTGCTAATCAGAAGCCCGTAAAGGAAAGAAGGGTTGTTCTACCTTATAAGCAACTTTGGAAGGACATCTCTTCCCGAGGCCTAGTGGTGGGGACATGAGAGTCAGCATTTCATACATCTCAGTGTAATGGATGCGGCCACTGCTCATGTGCAAGGAGGAGAGAGGATAAAGGAAATGGGGAGGGGGGGAGCAAGATGCAGAAAAAGAAAAGAAAAAGGCATTCCCAGAGGTAAAAGACCCAAATAAACCAGAATATAGGAAACAGAAGAGAGAGAACAAAAACAAACAAACAAACAAAAAGACAGACAGGAAAAGAACAGGAAACCCATTAATCAATGCAAATCATACATGACAGCTTGTGCTGATGTGGATTTATAGCACCCCTCACACAGACCCAGGAACACCATCAAAACGAACTGCCTGCCTTTCCATTTCTCTGTGGATGTTTTTACAGCCAGTTCTTTCAACTGCAGTACATGCCCCTTGTAATTTCCAGGGCTTGTGTGTAAGTGTTATAAATCAAGATACACAAAAGGTGTTGTTTGGAATATGGTGGTGCATACCTCAGTGAAGTGGCATGTCCTCCCTCTCTGGCTGTGCCCATGCAAGAAGAAAGCAGCATCTTGCATAGGAGGGAAGTCCACTCTGCTCACTTCTCAAAGGAATGTTTCTGTTTGCTTCCATCTAGAGCTAGGATGGAGCACGTTCCCACCATGCACTGGTGCAAAGGCATGCCAAGTGTGTAAGAAAAGAAAATGCAGGAAGAAAATTCGACATGCCATGCTCTCCAGCCCTCCTCCCATTTCCTCCCACATGCGAATTCAAGTTTCACCCAGTTGGAGTTTAAAGAGTCTTGACAGAGGCAGCTGTTTTGCCTTAAGGCTTTAGTTGGGTTGGTTGGTATTCCCTGTTTTGTGAGTCTCTGGTTCTGTATTCAGCCCTCTACTCAGTATAAAAGGAGGTCAGATTAAAACTTAGTCTCTTGCCTTGGACGCTTCATTGTGAATCCTTATTCTAAGTGTGGGGAATATTGTGGAAAAGGATAAAGGGTTTCCTCTATTCTTTCCAAGAAGGGAAACACAACATACAAAATGATGTAAGGAAAGAAAAGACTTGCATGGGTTCCAGTGAAAATAGATTTTGATGCCATACACTGGCTATTAAACAGTATCAGATGTGTTTTCAGCTTGTTTTAGGTGAAAGATATAATGACCTTTGTTTACTATTTGTTCAGCTCTTGTATTACTTTTAAGACTCATTAACACAGAGACATCACTGTTAAAGCAACAAGTTTGGTATTTAACTGCTCCTATTTTTGATAAAATGTGTAATAATTTAATAATGTGTTTTTTATTCCTTCAATCTTTACTTAACATTTCTAGGTTGGTCTTTTGCTAAATGCAGTCAAATTGGCTTGTATGCAGCTATTAAAATGCATTAAAATATATTGTTTGAAAATAAACAATGAGGAAGGTCTGATTGAGTTGCTTTTTATTCCAGAAAAAAATGCTCTTAAAATTCCTCCAAAATATGTCTCTTCACAACTGAATTTGAATTTTTAATTTTTTTCCCTCCATTGTAAGTTTGTGGGTATGGCTTGCACAGAATAAAGAAACAAGCTTTTAAAAATCTGTCTCTAACCATAATGACTGCCTCAAAACTGAAACTGACTTACAGGTGGATTTAAAAATTACAGCCTACAAGAAAGACATGAAAATAATAGATTTACAAATGAAATTGAATGATTTAAAAATTAAAAAACTATATACAAACTATATATAATAAATCAGAGGAGCAATGTGGATTATTTTTTAATACTGGATTTACAGAAGGGAAATGCTGAAGTTGCCACAGTGGAATTACAAAGAGGGCCTAACAAAGATAATGACAAGAATTTTGAGAGAAGACATAAAGAGTGTGTGAAAAGCCAGATGTTAGAGCTTTCTGTAAGGAATTGAAAGACTGTTGGGAGAAACTAGACAGAATACAGAATTGGTTTATCTGATCTAAGTTAAAATAATGGGTTGCTATTTCAGGTGTTATTTAATCATTTTTTGATTGGAACTAAATGATGATGGTTATTTCTGAGAATGTTTAATTATAATAAGGCTGGACTTTGATTATTTGAAGAGAGGAAACAGGGTGGATCTGTTTAAATGGAAAGGAAGAATTCAAATTGGGTGTAACAGATATAGTTTGTAATAATTATGTTATTTCTGATAACCCTTGCTGATAAATATGATGAAATGAGGCTGGGGAGATAGGATTATAGAAAATGGGATAAAGTATGGAATGAAGAGGGTTTTGGTTGTATTATAAAATATAGTAATTAGTTGTTAACATAGATTGTACTTTCTTTTCCTACTTTTATATCTTTCCTTTATTTTCTTTTTCTGCACTTTTAAATATTTTTAAGCATCAGAGAGGCTTACAAAACAGATCAGTTTTAACTTACTCAGCAAAGGTTAACATGCTATGGATTAAACTGGAGCTAAATAAGCTTTTTAATATCAGGTCAAAAAACTAAAAAATAAATATAAATTTATAATATTAAAAGAAGATATTTATGTCAATGGAGTTAATTTTGTATCTATTCAATTTGTGAATTTCAGGTATATTAAGCAGGAGACATAATCACATACAATTATTAGCACAATTGTTTTCACCATAGTTTGCATAAATATATTTTAGCCACTAATAACATGAAAAAAGGGAAATCTGAATGGGAAAAAAATCCACAGCAAGACTTCCTGGAGTGACTTTTCCGCATAATCCCTGTCATTAGGGATTCTCTTTCAAGATAATGGCTGTTTACCCAGGCAAAAGATAAAAAACAATATTTGCAAATCGCTTGATATGTAGGTGCCTAAGGAGATACAGATATATTTATAGATATAGATAATTTTATATCTTAATTGTTACCCTCCCAGAGCCTTTGGGAATGAATGTCCTTTGGGAGTGACATACAAATAAAGTAATGTCCTAAAATTAAATAAGAAATAAAATAAATTGAGGAAATTTCTGATACAGCAGAAAGCCAGCTAATTCTCAGAATCAAATTATACACTTTTCGTAAGTAAAGATGTTGGTAGATTTTTCATTTACCTAGAATCTTTCTACACTACTCTTCAACAGATTATAAAAGGACAAACACTTGTTATTTATAATATGGCATAGCTTAATCAACATGGCACAGTTAGAAATATTAAATCAGCATGGGACGTAAATCTAGTAGTTAATATTTCAGTGTGTTCTAATTAATTTTTCTGTTCAAAGTAATCATAAAGATAATTATACACACACGCACACACACACATATATATTGTGTGTGTGTGTGTGTGTATAAACTGACAAGTTATGCTGATGGAAAAAACAAATATAAAGTTTAAAAACAAAAATAAGAAAAATTCCAAATGCTGGTAAAAGTTTAGCATAGGTCTAAATGAGTCACAGGAAATTGTCCAAAAGCCTTCAGTTGTCTTGATTTATCTGGGCAAGTAATCAAATTCAGGAAAGTTTTCTTTTTTGCAAGTCAGTGTGAGGTTAGGGGGAAAAACAACCAAGCACTGTAGGAGAGGCAAAAGACTATGCGAACTTAATTTGCTCATGGTTTCTTAATTATGCTATGCTATTACTGAGAAATAGGGACAGTTCTCTATTTCCAAAGTTAATTTGGAAGATTCTCTGTGGGTATGTTCACTGCTGCTTGTGGTATTCACTATGGAAGTTAATTAGTACGTTTTAATCCTTTCTAAAGCAAAACTGAACAAATATACTTCAAAAGGGCACATCTCATCTCTGGCTATGAAAAGTTCAAAAATGTTTAAGATCCAGAAATTCAGAGTGCTTTACATTGCAATTTTCTCACATATTCATGGATCCTTAGGGGGCTGGGGGAGAAGAAACTATATATTATATAATAGTTTTAGGAACTGTTCAGCTGAAAGCACTTTTACTTGGAAAGAGAGTGTGAGGAAAGAATTTTTTTGTGGAATCTGAATATATCTAGAGGTTGTACAACATTTTTCTTGGTGAAACTTTGGGCAGGCAAGCAATGAAGGATCATGAAGGATGACCTAAGGAACTATATTATGAAAATGGTGCAGAAATACTTAGAGTTTCTTGGCTGGGACAAAATCTCATAGAAGCAGCTTTTCAATTAGAAGAAAACAGAAGTTCATTCTTTTTAAATGGACTTTAAACAAATGGACAGATTTGTTAGTAAACTTTGAATTCTAAATGACCTTGTCATGAATATAGTCAGTACTGATGAACAAAAGGAGACCAGCAAGAAGAAAAGAATTACTATTAATTAAACAAAGCTGTAATTTGTTAGTCATTTGCCATAGAGATTAATTATCAACGATGTTCTTTTGCTTACAAAACCCATCTATCTATCTATCTATCTATCTATCCATCCATCCATCCATATTCATATTCATATTCATACACATACATGTATTTGAATTTACTACATTTGATATAACTAGGGTTTATTTTTTCTTAATATCAATACCATATAGAGATATTTCTTTGTGTTTATCGATGTGTTTGTACAGAATTAACACTCATAAAATAGGTATAGGAGATTAATGCCTTCATGTAAACACTCGCCTTATTTTTTTATTAGATGTGATCTCACAATATAACACTAAACCTATATCTGAGCTCAGTACCAGACTGTACTGAAGACAATACTTTTCCATACAAAAGTATTTTTCATTCCTAAAATTAAAGTTTGCTGGTTGCTCTAGCTTTCTGCTTGACATGCTAATTTCTCATTAACTAAATGGCTTTATTAAGTTAAACCCAAATAGCCAGATGAACTCCTGCCCATCATATCAAGTTTCTGGCATACGTTTTTCATACAAGTTAAGATGCTTGAATCTAGTTGCACTATTTCTGAAGTAGAGGCAGAATGTTATTCTGGATGAATGGATCTTCCATGCCCAACAGTGTAATACCTTTAAAATTAAGTCTCTGGGCACAACTGGTGAGCTTTGTTCATTTCTTACCATATCTGATTTGATTTTTAAAAAATTAAAATTAAATTCTTTGTTCCCTACTTTTGCTCCCAAATTAGTGAGAACCAAATACAATACCCCTTTCAAATGAAAAAATGTAGGTCCTGAAAGGGGAAGCAGAAAACAATGGTTCCAAAGACTTCTCTATGCAATAGGAGACACTCTAAAACCTCCAGAGTTATTCATTCAAGATGAGAATGAATGTGTAATTTCAGCTGTGCCCTGAAATCCATTTCTTGATCTTTTCCAGGTAGAACAGCTGCTGATTCTGAGAAGGTTTGAATCTCTTTAAACTCGAGGGAAAGCAAGTCAGGATTCCCTTGTGAAGTACAATAGCGAGGAGGAGAGTGGGATTTAATGGGATGTCCCTATTGCCAGGTTGTGGCTGGGGATTGTGAGGCAAACCTTGCAAGCCACCCTGCAGGGGCACTTCTCTCCCAGGCCCAGAGGAGGCGAGATCACCCGTACTAATTTGTACATATCCTTATACAGGATCCTGCCACTGGAAAGGAAGCACAGGTGAGTTAATAGGCCCAATCAGGAAATGGGAAAGAAGAACTGTGTGCAACTGGTAACGCCAGAGATGTGCATTGCTTTTTTTCTAGGAGGGGGTTGAAGGCTCTGCACAATCACCTCCTTTGAAGATATAGCTATTATTGTCTCTACCATGTTCCCATGGAGGAATTTTCTATCACCAAGAAGGAGCACATGGCCTGATTTATAATGGAATGATAAACTTCAGTCATTCTACCAAGTTTTATTCCATTTAAAAAACAGCAGAATAAATGGTTTTTCATAATCAACTATTCATATCAAGTGGATATATGGTGTCTTATTGTATGCAAAGTTTCAAGCCAGGGTTTTTTTGCCCCGTCAAATCCTGTCTTCCCACTTTGTCCTTTTTTCACAGTGGTGATCAATCTGTACTGTGAGTTCAATTTCACCTAGGATAAACAGGTGCTCCAAAGCCATATCAATAGCATGTCAGGAGATGATTAGACTACAGTGCTTCCTTTTGATATCCCAGGGTTTGTTTTTTGGGTCTCTGAAAACTAAGGTTTGTTTGTATCAGCCAGAGATAATTTCTTTTGGTCACCACAGTCTAGCAGTGGAAGGGCAGGAGGTGAAACTCTTACAGTTATAATGATCAGTTTTATTTAGAATGATAATTATACTGTAGGCAGTATTCTAGACAGAATGGTAGGTATTATTTTTTAATGCAGTGATAAAGTGCAAAAGAAGAAGTTGAATTCTTTATAATCCTATTTTTTCATGGCAAGGTTGGATGATTTTTGAAAAACTACAGTTTTAGTATAAGACAAATTTAGTGGGCTAGTTATAAAAATAATTATAGGAAGGCGAAAATAGGAAAATAAGAAAAATCTGTTGTGTTCTTATTTAAATCCTAAATAATTTTTCCACAAACTGTCTTTCTTCACTTCTATGAGACTGCACTGAGAACTGCCAGTCACTATGGCTTTTAGCTGCAAAGAGTGACACTGACATTTCTTGACCTTTCAAGAAAATAACATGAATTTCCTTGCTACAGATGAGTTATTAAGCCAGGGCTACAAAATTAATGCCTGCTTCTAACAGCAGAAACAAGTTCAGAAGAGTAGCCATGTTAACTGTGTGCTCATCTTAAAGGCCAACATATTTATCATGTAAATCTTTTAGAAGGCAGAGGTTTCATTCATTTAGAAGAGTGAATTCACAGAAAACAATACATTTAGTTTTCAGATCCTAAGGTAAAGCAGATACTATCCATCTGATGAACTTCTAGGATTCCAATATCTCCAGAAAAGTCATGAACATTGACACATATATCAATAGACAATTAGGCAGACAGGTAGTGCTAATTCAAGCAGGAGAAAAATAATAAGAATTTTTTTTTTAAGTTTTCAGATTTGAGATCCATAAAAGATAACCTAAGGTATTACTGCCAGTGGCAGTTCCACTTCAGGCTAAGGACCATTACTTAGGAATTCTGGAATTAGGCAAATATATTGAAATGCCCCAAAGAAGATATAATAGAAAACAATATCTCCAAAGCACTTTTGAAATGTATGGGTAATATGAGTGAAGGTTTTTAATAACATGGTGGTCAATTCACTTCTGACATAAATTATATGTGAAGATTTTTTTTCTCTTAAAACATTTTAGGTTGCAGGCACAAAAAGATAATATAGTACAAAATAAAAAAAATGTGTGGGGGATTTAATGTTGGACATATATGGGTAAAATCCTCTTTATACATATATCTGAGACTTCAATTTCCACAATGGCTCATAAGTATGTCCGTATGGTCGATATAGGAAAAATCATTTGCTGCAGGAAAACTGCAATCTACAGAATATTCCATTGTCATGAAAAGTGCACAGCCACTCTTATTTGAAAGAGCTCTTGCAAAGCTGTGATGATAGAATAAAAAAACTCACAAAGGATATATACTTCTTTTTAATTAAAAAGTGGAAACTGGCTAAATTGTTAATTTAAGTAAGACTATTAGGTTGTTTAGGTGCAGGTGGCCTTTGTATAAGAACTTCTAGAAGCCCCAAAATGGAGAAGGGCATTTCCATTCTATTTGTACTTTATTTGGATATCACATCTAAACAGATTTTTTAAAGAAAATTTTAAAAAAACCAGATATGCCTACATACCATGCAGCTCTATCATATTCTGCCCAAATCCGGACAAATTCATCAAGGTGATGGGGTCCCAAGATGGAAGAATCTCGAGTCAGATATTCAAAATTGTCCATAATGACAGCCACAAAGAGATTGAGCATCTAAATATGAAGGAAACAAGAAGAATGCATAATAAGGGGAAAGCGATAGCCACAGATCTATAAGTAGAAGACCAGCAAATGAGGAAGCACAAAAGAGCTGCAATGTAATTCTGCACACGATAGTGAAATTCTTTAATTGTGTTTACAGCTGCTTCTCTTGTAACATAATAGCTCTTTGAGAAATACCATAAAGAATACCATACCATCTTTTAAATCAATCTGGTGAAAACAATACAAAACAATAAATCTATAGAATAATGGAAAGAGGAACTCACTAAGAAGGAGCAGAAGAAGATGAAAGAGACAAAGTAGACATATGCTAGTTCTGTGCCACATTTCTCATTCTCATTTTGTCCAGATGTTGCCGTAGTGTCTGGCTCACAACCTTTCCCTTCTAGGCATGAAAGCATAATCTCCTGCCATGCCTCCCCTGTAGCGCTTCTGTAAGAAAACAAATCCATCTTGTGGTTGATTATTATGTTCAACAAATCCTTCCTACTTTCAGAAAGTCTCTGTTTAAGCTATACTCTTTTAAAACTAGACTTCAGTGTGCTTTAAGGAGTTTTTTAAAAATATAAGTTGAGGCAAGGTCTTGCTCTTCTGCAAAATGTACTACAAACATCATACTAAGCGTAATTTTTCCTTAAGTTGAGCTTGTCTCCTGGTGACCATCTAGGACCAGGGGTGTTAAACTGACATCGTCACGTTGTTGACACGTGACATATCGGAACTTTTCACCCATTTGCTAAACCGGCAGTGGGTGTGGCCAGCATGTGACGCATCTGGCCCACGGGCCGTGATTTTGACATCCCTGATCTGGACCATGTAGATTTCTTGGCAATAGTGTAGAAGTGGTCTGTCATTGCCAAACAGGCTGGTGGTGGCAGCAGCCGCAGAAAGCAGTAATTATCTCACTATTGTACATAATACACATTATTTAAGATAGTTTCAAAAGACACATTTCAGATAGTTTCTTAAATGTAAATTAAATTATTAAATTAAGATATATTTGAAATCCAATAAATGGTTCAGAAATCATCCATGACATCTAGAGGTTGTCTGAGGTTAATTCCCATCATGGTTACCAAAGGGGATATCACTTCTTACTAATCATACTGAACAAACAACCCGATATGAAGTGCTGTATTTTACTGAAATTCAGTTATAACATCGAGGAGGACTTTTATACAATTTATGATTCAGTCCAGTCAGATCTAAGTATGACTTCTGCATCAAGTGAGAAGCTAGAGTGGGGATTCCAATAGGAAAGCTCAATTTCCATTTTGGCAATGAAAGGGTTTATCAAGTTTAAAGACTGGTGACATTGTAGATGCACTAAGGAAGGGAGAGGTGCTGTTGTATAATCTGCTTGATAATTAAACTAGGACAAAGATAATAGTTTTGTTCATGAATCTCTTTGGAATTAAGCTGCCTATTAGAAGTTTTATCTGACTTCAGAAAATGGAGGTTCTTCACAAAGATTTTTTTAAAAAAGGAGACACAGAAAAGAAAAGTTGTGGCCCATTGAGCTGAAAACAATTCAGTCTTAAATTAAAACCTACTAAATAGTCAGTAAAAAGGGAGACTTTGAGTCCTTGGTTTGTAGCAAGCTGTGTAAAACTAGCTAGCTGAGTATTGGCTCATTACCAGAAGCTTTTGAAATCTTAAGGGAGACAATTCTTTGCTTTATATCAAAGTGTGAATGGATCCCTGTGTGAATATAAATGTAAATTTACCTAAACAGTAACATTAGAGAACCAAGAAAGCTGCGGAAATTGTTGTGGCGGTTAATGTGGCTTTCCTCATCTAGCTTGATGTTCCCAAACACCTGAAAACATAGAAATGAAATTATTATCTCTGACTTCATAAGGTAAAAACACAGCAATCACAGCAATGGGTGATAACCACATTGTATAGCATTTGTATTGAACACCAACAATTTTAAGGGATTCAGTATTTAGTCACCATACAGACATTGTTGAGTAATTAGCAGTAGATTACCTGTTACATTGCATTTATTAATTTGACTTACACCTCACCTTTTGATCAGCAGTTCAAACCAACATATAGAACACTCGTTTCTATATTTCCAGACAGGAACCCGACAGTCAGACGAACTAATTCTACTCTACTGTAAGGTAAGATTAGCACTGATGATGTTATCTAGTTTGGGTAAAGAAATGTCTGCAAGAAAACAAGCAAGCTCAGAGAGCATCAAGGACCTTTCATTTCAACCCCGAGGTACAAATATTATCCTTTATTGGTATTGTAAGGTTATATTAACAGAATCTTGCAAGACTGAAAGTACATTTCTCTACATTGCTTTTACAGCCCAAGAAACTAGGGATTGTCCCTTCTGAGGTGCTTGCCATGCCCACATTTGTTCTGTGGGCTCAGCTGCCGCTTATCTGACCATTCCCATGGCAATGGCTCTTTCACGTCTCCCAAAGTCACCACACGCCACTGCAATATTTCATCACAGTAACAATTGTGTCAGATAAATTGGTTTGAACAACAGCATGATTGAGGCAAACATATCTCAGGATGAAATAGAACTTGAATATCCTTGTTCTTAACCCAATATTTTAACCCCTTTGTCATATACCAATTTTCCTGTAGTTGCACATAGCAGATGGTGTAATTGTTCTATCTATCAAAATTAAAGAATAAAAATAAAAATCTTATAGTGTTTTTATATACATATCATCCATTGAACATAAGACAACATTGCTTCTTAGGGAAATTGAATTAGTTCATTTTTTTTTTTCATTTGACAATTCAGAACTGTGAGCAGAAAAAAAGGTTCATAATTCATGCAATTTTTTCTTCACAGTGTGGATTCTTTAGAAATAACACTGACAGGTGCATGTTACGCATCAATATGGAATGTAACAATTCATATTCCTGAATATAAGATATTGTGAAGTTTCCGAAAGATGCCCTAATTAATTAATGAGCCATGAGCCGAACTTCAAAAGAAATACAATCATTTATTAGGAGCACCATTTCGGATGCAGTTAGAACTAATCCCACGTAGATTTACGTTCCCCTATGACCCTGTCTCTCCCCTCCTCTCTGGCCATGTCATAAATCACATTCTCCAATTAACCACTTTGGCTGGCTGTGAAATCCAACACCCTCTTTCAGATTGCAGTCAGGAAGAATGTATGGAATGTACTTCAGTTAGGGAAATCAATCAGCTCTATCAGTTCTCCCTCCCTCCTGCTCATGGCATCTTGAAAGCTTTGCAAGTTGACAATTGCATTATTTTTTTCTTCAGATGCTAATAATTGTTAGATTATAAATAACCTACTTCAGCCTTCTCCAACCTGTGTACTTGGATATTCTTGACTACCGACTAACTGAGCTAATGGGCCTCCTGCCTGAAAATGGGAGCTTAAGCTTAATATAAGAGGAAGACTCAAGGTTTTGTTATTTCTATGTTGGGTGGACCCAACATCCTAGACCTTTTTAATTCTTTGCTTACCTGCATCCCAATGATTGCATAAATGAAGAAGAGCATTGCAATGAGAAGGCAGACATAGGGGAGAGCCTGGAAAATGCAAATAATAGAAAGTACTGTGTTATTACAGGCATAGTATTTATATGCTTAAAACAGTAACATCCGTATGTACTTAAAGTAGTAATAAATAAGTGGTGGCAGAGAAGATAAGAATCACTGTTTAAACTAACTAAATGGTTTGTGAACCAGTGAAGCTATGATGCTAAGTTTAAGAAATATGATAATAAAAAGATTCGCACCAATACAGAACAGAGTAACAGGTGACTTAATTACAGCTTCTTTAACAAGCATGCAAGTGATCAGTGGGAAGTAAAAACTAGAAAAATACAGAGGGAATTAAGGCACCAAGTATATTTTTCTGCTATATGTGAGGAAGTGCACAAAATAAGACAGAAGACTTAAGAGCTAAATAAACAATAATATACTTTACCTTTGCCCTCCTGTGCCATTTCCAGATTGACAATTTTCATGATTACTATAATCTGACAGCATGGAGTCCTTTTATTTTAAAACCTATTTTAAAACCTAAACCTAAACCTTTAAAAATTAAATTTGGTAATTGTATTTCTAACCTCAAATAGGCCTTGATTGATTATGTGCCATCAAGTCATTGTCAACTCTTAAGCAACCATATAGATAGATTTTCCTCCATCTATCCCTAACCTGATATTTCAGATCTTCTATTGCATTTAAAGAACCTAAATCTCAAAAAACCCTGCTCCATGAATATGGCCAAGTAAATTTTGCAAGCCTCAGACTCTAGTGAGGCCCTCAGCCACTTCTGCATAGGTGTTTAGACATTTTTACATATTGTGCATAATAAATTTGATCTGACTCTGCAAAACATCCAAATATAGGAAGGAATAAACTAAATTAGAGATATGAAGAAGGATGCAACCAGACAAATGGGAGACAGGGGAGTATAACAGGGGTGAGAAAGGAAGAGCCAAGTTAGATAACCAACAAAGAAGCAAAACAATCTGCACAAATATAAAGAAAGAACAAGTAACCCAGTTCTATCACTAATGATGGTTCAAATTATTGTTTATTTGATCAACACATGCTTCTTTCACCACTAATTGGGGTTCAGAGCATTGTTGACTTCTCCCTAAAGACTGGAAGACTGCCATCAACCTTTCCTCACAGCATATTTTTGGTTATAGTGAGCCATGATCTTTTGGTTTTAATAGCCTTTCTTGTGGTTACAATATTGTACTTACTAAGCTAGCTTTTAATTCCTAGTAAGGAATACATTGTTTGTATGTAATACATTATAATAATTTATGGTTGTTGTTGTTGTTTTAATTTTGGGGCCTAAATTCCTGGTTCTAAGTGCATGGTCTTCCAGGTTCCAAGTGATCTTTTAAACTATGCCAGCTTCTGCAATTGTTTGGTTGACTTTAATCTAGATATTACCCCCATACAACTATCAGACAGTATGGAAAAAGATATCCTTAACAGGTGGAAGCCCTTAGCCAATCTTGTAATTTCCCCAAAACTAAAAAGGATTACTTAGATGGGAAATGACTGGGAAATCCCAGAGTTGTAAGTTAGACTGGAAAAATGAAAAAAAAGGATGTTGGAAGAAATTATTGGCTAATTATTTTCAAATTACTGCCAATACATGCTTGTATGTATCTCAACGGAGACTTGCTTTATTAACGGATGAATAATGCATATTTGGAGAGTGCCAGGTTGTGACAGGTTATGAAAAGGTTATATGCTAGCTTCTGAAAAGCTAAAACTAATAATAAATGAACACTTTTTATTTTATATTTTTTTTCAAAAACCTAATCTAAATTTTTGTAGCACATTTTGTTGCATAGGAAGAAGAAAAAAATATGGCAAGGATGTATTGTTTGCTGTGATGGAGGAGGCTGAGGAAACCACGGAACAATGAATACTATTTTTAATAATGAAGTGGTAAAGACTCCAGATTGTTACAGCCGCATGGAAGCAAATGAATTGGCAGAGGGGGATTTGATCCTAAGTGAAAGCTGCATCCCCACTGGGTTTGCAATATAAAATAGGCAACAGGGCTTTAGATTCATTTTGGAAGAGGTGTTTGGAATGTGTGGGAGTGTGAACAGAGCAGCACCTGTCTGTGACTCATCAAAGTAGCCATGTCTGTTTCCAGACTCACATAGTTGTCGCACATTCTGAAGCACCCCTTCTGCATCAGAAGCATTGCACAGCCATAGCAATTAGAGATATCTGAGAGATGGGGAAAATTAACTGTAAGTCTTTTAAAGCAGAGTTCCTCTCTCCCTGAATAATAGTCTACATACATCCTTCTTAAAATGTTTGAGCCTTGTTAGGTAAGTCTTGCTGGTGATATAAAGGATGCTGGAATAGTGAGGTTTTCAGTTGACTGTACCACTATGTGTTTATGCCAGATAGTTAAGAGTATCCAATTCTTTCTTAAAGTAGATCTCCCAAAATTTCCTCATCTGTGAAACTTGAAGAGATGGTCATTTATATGGATAAAGGGGATGAAAGCTTGCTAGCTCTTTCTCCAGTATCTGTGTTTTTGTGGATGATTGATGGTTTGACCTAAGGCATCCATAAGGCTAATATATCTGCTTGGATGTGCCCTAAAATTGTGTATGCAATGGTTGATGTTATTCATTGTCCTAAGCAATCCACTGACCTTGGAAGGAAGACAGGAGTTCAGCTTTTACCTTGAATGACTGCACAAAGGTCCAGAGCAGAATTCGAATGGTATACCCTTGGCGAAGCAGTTTGATGAGACGGGCAGCCCGGAACAACTTCAGAAAGCTCATGTTGAAGCTGCTGGTAACTGTCGGCTTAACACAATGCCAGAGAGAAGGAGGAAACAGTAAAATGAAAAAGTAAAAAAGAAACATCATATGCAGCTTTCAGTCTTGATCTTCCACTAAAGGAGAGCAATGGAGAAAGAGATTCACCTTACTATCCGTCAGGATAATTTCTGTAATACTGCCAATCACGGTGATGAAATCAAATATGTTCCAGGTGTCACGGAAATAATTCTGCAGAAAGAAGAAAGAGGAATATGCAGATTAACCTACTGTATAACATAAGCATCGATGTAATAATATCCCTTGAAAATTTGCCATCGTTCAGACTATATTCAGATACACAAAGAATAAGGGCAGCCTATCTTTGGTTATCTAGTCTGAGGCCTCAGGACTCTCTAGCTCCTCCTTGTCCTAGAACAGGAGTGTCAAACTTGCTTTGTCACATAACGTATCACAACATTTTTCCCCTTTGCTAAACCAGGCATGGGCGTGGACAGTGCGTGACGCATCCAGCCCATGGGCCACGGGTTTGACACACCTATCCTAGAGCAAATGCTAAATAATGAAAAAAAAAACCTGGAGGCATAGCCTCCTGTAATTTTCAAGCAGGTAAGTCAGGTAAATGTTAGCATATTCCCCAAAAGAGTCTTAAATATGTTTTTAAAAGACCAACTTCTCTCTGCCTGCAAACCAGGTAAAATTCTGTCTCATACTTTTGTATCACCAATTAGCCAACAGAAATGGGTACAACTTCCTGTACTTTCCTATACGGTCCACAACAATCTAATGCATTTGTTTTAATTTCCCTGCATTAGATTGTGCTATACCTTACAACATACGCCAAGAATGGTTTTTGTGAGCCAATTCAAAGTTCCCTGTTATGTCTTGAAATTGGGTTCCTGACTGATTTTCTTTATCACCTTCTGCTCCGTACAGTAAAAAAAAAATAGGAACCCCACTCATCTGACCCTAAGGATTGGGCTATGTGTAGGATTTTGAGTCAATCTAATTTTTGACAAATCTAGGATATTTATCTGGTTTCCAATTCAAATAACAAATATTCTAATGAATAAAATTTGCATATAGGTCTGTCAGAGTGGATAATTCAACTTTAAATTGAATCACTCTTTCTATATGTCTTTACATCCATCTAGGCATCAGCTTCATTTTCCTTTAAGGCTATGCTTTTCAGAAGAATTTCAGGAGCCAAATTATTACTGGTATTCCAATAACTTCATAAAATGGATCACTCCAGAATTTATAATCAGACACTGAGGAATTCAGGAAGACACATAGTATCCATTCATGTTGCCTTCGACTTCCAAACTATTGGGAAACTGCACATTTTGGAGAAAGGATATCAGGTTTGATTAACCATTAGTTTTATTCAAATGGTATTTCAGGTCTACTCATAGAACTAGGTAGAGAAATTGTGTCTATACATCCTTCACTGGCATCAAACATTTTCTGCAGCTCTATGGAAGTTGGAAGAAATCCCCCCCCACACACTTTTTTTTTAATGCTAAGACATATCTGGCTATTTCTCTTTCTCTCCATATTCAATTATCTGCCTAACTTTTAATACTTGGGAGGAGAGGCTGTTTATTTTAAAAAGCATAATATATGTCCTTTGGAACTTGTATTGGTGCTTTAAGGTTACTTTTTAAAATAGGATTTGGGGCAGGGCATGGTGGTTTAGCTATAGGAATTGTCAACAGAAAATTTGGGGAATGACCTCAAAGTATTGAGGAAGATGGAAATGATATGGTGAAAACATAACTAAGCATGAGGAAAGGTGGCAAGGTGAAATAATAAGAGAATACTCTTAGAAAAAAATTATACAGAAAGACAATAGTAACAGCACTTAGACATATATACCTCATAGAGCTTTACAGCCCTCTCTAAGCAGTTTACAGAGTCAGCATATTGCACCTAACAATCTGGGTCCTCATTTTAACGAGCTTGGAAGGATGAAAAAGTGAGTCAACCTTGAGCCGGTCAGGATCAAACCCTTGGCAGTGGGCAGAGTTAGCCTGTGACACTGCAGTCTAACCACTGCGCCACCATGGCTCTTGGGGATTGAGGAAGCATTGAAAAAAAAAATTTTTTTATATAAAAAAAGGTTTTTTTATTTTTTAAAAACAAAAACAAAACATAAAAACATTATCATTCCAAACAGTTACAGACAGCTTGTTGGTCAGTGACATTTTTTGTGCTCCTCCTCTCTTCCATTTATCATGCTAGTTTATTTCCAAAAAATTCAACGTCCATTTATTTCATAATTATCTCCAATTCTTATTCTCTATCCATTGATAAAATAAATCCCAGATCAAATAATATTATCTATCTTCCTGCTCTCTTATTTCAAATGTCAGTTTACTCATTTCAGCACATTCCATCATTTTCTTGATAATTTCTTCATCATTAGGTAACTTTTCTCCTTTCCAGTTTTTAGCAAATGCAATTCTGGCTGCAGTCAAAAGATTCACTATTAAATATTGCAATTCTTTGTTATATGTCTCCGGTACGATCCCTAATAAAAATATCTCTGGTTTAAAGTCAATATGTCTCTTTATCATTTTTTCCAACCACGTGTGTATCTTAATCCAATATCTCCGCATTGAAAAATATTGAATGATCATGAGAATCTAGTTGGTTTCTAAGGGGAAAAAATAGATTTTGTGCAGGAGGGAAAGTCATGGGAATGACAAACAAATGTTGGGATTGGCTGGTCAGCATCATAACAATAAATTATGCTCAAATGAGCAATCTGTTGGTGAAGTAAATAATTTTGTTTCATCTGGAGTTTCCTGAAAAGGCAGCCGTTAAGAGGCATTTGAGAGGTTTGGTACCATAGAGGCTACGTCTGTCCCCATCAAAAACAATGTTTTTCTGGGCATCAATAACTTTAACTTGGGGTGTGCAGATAGCAATTCCTATAGGCAAGGACTGATCCCTAAGCATTCTTACTGCATGCAAACTACAGTGCCTATAAACAGAGTTTTAATATTTAATGCTGAATGCATTTTACTCACCAGGAAACCAAAAGCTATGATTTTCAGGACGCATTCCAATGAGAAAACCATGGTAAAAGCAATGTTCAGATACTTCAAAGCCAATTCATATGTATATGGAGCAGAATAGTACTACCAAAAAAAAAAAAAGAAAAAGAAAAAAGGACGAATTATAATACTCTGAATTTCAGAGTAGTCTAATATAAGAATCCTGGAGGTTTGCCTATATCTTTAAGATTTGCACATCCTAAATAGTGAGATGAATGCTAAATACAGTTACCACTAAAAAGAAATAGCTCCAATATCTTGGAGAGAGAGGGAGGGAGGGGGAGGGAGATAAAGAGAGAGGGAGGGGGGGTTCCATTGCTACTGAAAACCATCATTTAAATGGTTACTTTCCCATAATGGAGAAAGGCTAAAGAAAAGTTCAGTGGGGAAGACAGGAATGGTTTATATTCGCCTCTTTCAGTAACAAAGTATTATAATAAAATAGTAAGTAAAATTATGAAATTATGAGCACTCAAAGTTCTAAGCATTATTGATTAAATGGGAATTTGCTGCTCGTATCTGCTCTACTGCCTTGTCTCTCTTTAAAGAAAGAGGTTCTAGTAGCTTTCTGGAGTTCAATCTGTAGGTAATCTGATTTCAGGAAGTGAAGTCAAGGAGGGGAAATGAGAAGCCTCAACCCCTGAAGAAAATAATCCTTAAATGAAGGGCTCCAGAGCAAGTCTACCCTTCCTGAGCGCCCACTATTTCAGTAGGAGAAGATGGTCCCATAGAGAGCCACAATATATATTTAAGTGTGAAATATGCAATTTTAATTCCTTTAGATGCATTTATAACATGTAATACCTGGCACGGCTTCTAATTACAGTTCCCAAGAAATGAAGAGACATCACTAAGTGACAGAGCATTTACTTTGTACTTGTATATATTTAAGGTGTTTTCATCCTACACTTCACCTGAAAAAATCTCACAGAGCAATTCAGTTAAAAATCAATAAAAACCTCTACTCTTAGGCTTACAAAAAAACCAAATAGAAAAGGAAGCAAACTGAGACATCATTTCTTAAAGTTGCATTCAGAAAGCTTTTTTCCCTGTAATTTTTAGTTGAAAGCGCTTGACTTGAGAAGAACACTCCCACTTCCCTGAAATCATAAAGAAATACTTCAGTCATTTTAGACAATACAGGCAGTATTCATTCAAAGGCAGCTTCATCCATTCATGATTCTCAAATGCTCTGTTTACAACTAGCTAGCAACCTTGCTTTTTTTTAAAATGATGTTGACTTGCAATTGCAATGTCAGTATGTCTCAAATATTGATTCTGTTCATCTCACCTTCATCATTAGCACCACAGTATTAAGAGCTATCATAGCCATAATGGTGTATTCAAATGATGGAGAGACCACAAAGTGCCAAACTCGGTACTGAAAGGTGTGTCGGTTTTGAGGCATGTAGCGGGTGAGGGGTTTTGCACTGATAGCAAAGTCAATGCAGGCTCTCTGGAAGGAGAAAAAATAGAAAATCAAGAATATGTCATGCATATTATTATAATTATTGCCAATAATGTGCAACTATGTGGTACAAAAAAGTAGAACAACATTTTTCATGGGTTATAATAGATGAAAACAAGGAACACAAGAGAAGTAATAGTTTATAGTTATTTCTGGAACAAAACTTCATTTGTTTTATTTATTATGGAAAATAAGATAACTTTCATTCTGCTTTCAACTCTGCCTTCAACATTTTTTTCTTTAATTCTAGGGCAATAAAAACCTATTGATTTTTAGGATTCCAAGTATCAAGATTCTCATAAAAAAGAAAGCTTTTATCCATTTGCCCGAAACATGCTTAAATAGGTCAATGGAGAGGTTAATATGAGCGGGGAAAAATAACTCACCCAGCTAACACCCAGAGTTAAATCTATCTCTAAGCAGACCCAGTCATGCACAGGATTAAATTAAGCTCTAGTTAGTTCTTACTACCTCATTTTTCTCAAGACTACATTCTTCCATCATTTTGTCTCCTTGCTCCTGGAAAGTGATGATGATGAGAGCCACAAAGATGTTAACAAAAAAGAAAGGGAAAACTACAAAGTACACCACATAAAAAATAGACATCTCCATGCGGTTGCTACGGCTGGGGCCACGATCTTCCTCAGTCACATCTACTGAATGTTGTAGAACTCTGGGGACACAGTGAGAAAGAGAAAACGTGAGTGAAAATCATATGCTAATGATTCCTTGTTATTTTTATCAAGTTAGTTTTACTGAAAGAGTGTACAAACTCTTTTGATATAGTATATTTATCAAAAGTAGAGTGAAATACACCAAAAAATGACAAATAAATTGACTGATGGCTGTTTGGCTTCTGATAAACCAATTTAATGGAAGTCAGCTGTAAACTCCCTCACAACTTCCTCCCATAGAATAGTTCAAGGATAGTAATCTATGATTACTCTGAATGTATGCATTAGCTTTAAATTTGCTTTAGAAGACCACTTTCCTACAGCAAATGCCTCAAGAAGCCCTTCTTTTTCTATGTGAGGTACTCTTCAAACAAGAGGGGAATTTTGCCTTTGCAAAAAAGGCATCATGACTCAGAAATCTGCCTTTGTACCATAATAAAAATACATTCATTTGCCTCAGAAAAGGAAATTGCATTTATTATTATTAAAAAGGAAATACACTAAATATTCTGATTATTCTCATAATTTAAGGGTGAACTAGAACAATCCATTTCTAATATCATAGTACAGCAGTTTTTCAATATGTGTGTCAGTGATGATGTGTTTTGTGACATCTGATGGTGTTCCATAAGAGACCAAAGTCAAAGAGGTGGGGGATGAAACACAGCAGGAATGTCCATAATATTTTTTTCTGAAGTTCAGTGGAAAGGGTGGAGCTTGTTCTTTTAGCCAAGTAATATGGCTATCATTTTGTGATCAGGAGATCTTGTTTTTTTTTCCACTAACAGTTTTTGTATCTTTTGAAAAGCTAGAAAAGTCCAGTTATAGGCGAAGAACGAAAATACTCACTGAGGCCATCCTTCTCCAGTGGAAACAGTGAAGAGTGTAAGCAAAGCCCAAATGATATTATCATAGTGGAATTCATGACGCTTCCATTCTCGACATTTTACTTCCATCGTGTTTTTCTCATGGTCTATATAGTTTCCACTACAGTATAAAAGTGGCAGAGAATAAAAGGCTTTTGTTATACTGTCACAATAAAGAAGGCAGGAAAAAGGCTTAAAACGTAGGTCCAGGGACACAAAATACAATTCCTAGGGTAGACGAGAAGCATTGATCATGGCAATCCAATCTCTCCATATCTTTCCTTCTGATATCACTTTTCCATCAGTCTGATGCTAGAAATAAGCTTGACCGGATGGGAGAAGCAAGGCAGAATTTAGAATAGGAAATAATAGATATTAACCTACCTACTGTTGTATCTTTATGCCCCCTGAACTTACCTTTTTCTTTTTCTAAATGATCATCAGAAAATGAATGGAACAGTAGGATTAAATACAAATAGAAACCAAGGGGTCAAGAAGATTAAGAAGTTTTTTATAGTAATTAAAAATAGGGACTTAAGCTCATGTTTCTCTTTAAGTTTTACCATATAATTTTCTATTATAATTCAGTGTATTATTAAGCACCTATCAGTTTGGAAGTAGAACAAGGTCACCTAAAAATAAAATACTGGTTTCTACATAATCAGAAAGTTTCTTAAACATGCAAAAGCATATAAAATAGAAAATTAGAAGAAAATGATTAAAAAACTAACATGAATTTAGAAGCACCTCTAAGTAAGTACATTAACTGTGAAAGGCCATGACTGAATGCTGTGTGCTGTACTTACATACAGTCTTTCTCTGTATCCTTTGAACTGTCTGTACAGTAGAAGAATTTCCCCTTGAAAAGCTGGACTGCGATAACGGCAAAGATGAACATGAAGAGCTTGTAGACAATGAGTATGTTGAAGACATTTTTCAGAGAAGTTACAACACAGTCAAAGACTGCCTGAGGGAGAATGATAAACCATGAAGTGTGATTCATCTTAACGAAGCAAAAATACTCTTATCAAAGATGACATAAAGAGTCTCAAAGCTATAATTAGTTAAGGCATTTGTCAAATCTTTACTGTACAAAAGGCATCTACTGTATTCATTTGTTTATGAAACAATTTACAAGGATACCAAACAAATGAGGATAATTGGGTCAGTCATGCTATATAGCATCTTGTGCAATCATGATTATTTTCCCATGTACTGTTTAATGCATATCAGCTGCAACAACTATAGGGTGGGAGTTTCATGTGGACATGCAGGTCTGTTCTTGTTCTCTGGATCAGTCCCTCAAAAATCATTGTGCAGGTCTGCATGAAAGGCAAGGACAGGCAAGGACTGGATAGCACAAAGACAGGAATGTTGTCCTAGAGTTTTCCACCTCTTCTTTAACTGGAGGAAGGAGCCTGCAATAAGTAATACTTTCAGGGCTAAGACATAATCAGTATCCTTTCCTTAGAAATAAAAAGCTGTTTCTTCTTCCAAGGCAATCCTGACAATTGTAGTTTTATAGGGATATATACTTAACTGCCAGGACACGGTGGCTCAGTGGCTAAAACAATGAGCTTATCGATCGAAAGGTTGGCATTTCAGTGGTTCGAGTCCCTAGTGCCACGTAACGGGGTGAGCTCCCATTACTTGTCCCAGCTTCTGCCAACCTAGCAGTTCGAAAGCACATAAAAAATGCAAGTAGAAAAATAGGGACCACCTTTGGTGGGAAGGTAACAGCATTCCATGCGCCTTTGGCATTTAGTCATGCCGGCCACATGACCACGGAGATGTCTTTGGACAGCACTGGCTCTTTGGCTTTGAAACAGAGATGAACACCGCCCCCTAGAGTTGGGAATGACTAGTACACATATGCGAGGGAACCTTTACCTTACCTTTATACTTAGGTGCAGCAGACATCCTGCTGGGTTGTAAAAAACCCCATCTTCTAGTGACTATGAGCTGCTAGTAGGTGCATAAAGAAAGTGCACTATGCCACTCATAAATCTGGGGGTGGGGATGGGGAAGCAACCTTCATGGAGTCTTTGGTTCTCTTTGAGCTTGATTGCTTGCTTGATTGCTTGTTTTGTTACCTGACTACGTAACATCATCAATGCTCTGATGATGTTATCTAGTCAGGCAGGTAAACAACCAGGCTCAGACAAAACCAATTACTCCACAGTTCAACCCTCAGCTATATATATTCTCTTCTATTGGATCCAGTTTCCATTTGATTTTAAATTATCTCTCCACAGCTTTCCTCTGACATGACTGTGCCATCAATCTGTGATGCTGAACTGAACTTGGCTAGATGATGGCAAGAGGTTGTAGGCAGGGGTGGGTTCTAAATTTTTTACTACCGGTTCTGTGGGCATGGCTTATTTTGTGGGTGTGGCTTGGGAGTAATGTGAGTGGGTGGGCGTGTCCAACTTTTTTTTTTTTTTACTTTTAAAAGCATTTTTTCTACAACCTTAAGAGGTTGCAGAAAAAAATGCTTTTAGAAGCCTCTGACGATCAGGCAAATCTGCTGGGATCACCAGAGGCTTTTAAAGGGATTTTTTCCCCTACAACCTCTTCGCTGAAGAGGTTGCAGAAAAAAATGCTTTCAGAAGCCTCTGACGATCCCAGCTGAGCCGCGCGATCATCAGAGGCTTTTTTTTAACTTTTAAAAGCATATTTCAGCCGAAGAGGTTGTAGAAAAAATGCTTTTGAAAGTAAAAAAAAAAAAAAAAGCCTCTGATAAGGTGGGCGGGATAAGCGAGTGGTGACTGGGCCGGGGACCGGTTTGGGGACGTGGCCAGCCAATCTTATTACCGGTTCTCCGAACTACTAAAAATTTTTACTACTGGTTCTTGTGAACCGGTGCGAACCGGGAGCAACCCACCACTGGTTGTAGGGAAATAAACTTATCTTCTACATTATGTATCATTGAAACAGACCCAACTATTTGGGAAATTATAGCTTTAGTTACAGGCCCTGGGTGGAGGATATTCACAGATGCTGTGGAAAGGGGCTGAGATTATTGGGAATGGAAGGCTGGTTTATGCAACTTCATCTGTCTGCATTTGAATGCAAGTTTGAAGCATTAAACTACAGTAGCTTTCAAAAGCCAGCCAAATAATACCTTGCAGGATTGATTGTATCATGAAGCACTAGAGCATGGGTCAAACTCACGACGTCACATTGTCATTACATGACATATCACGGCTTTTTCCCTCTTCACTAAACTGGGGGTGGGCGTGGCCAGCACATGATGCACCCGGCCTGCGGGTTGTGAGTTTGACACCTCTGCGACTAGAGGGAAAGCTAGCTGCTTCTTACCTACTTAAGATAAGGAGTTTTGGTGGCAGAGTATTTAGAATGCGGTATTGCAGGCTAACTCTGTCCACCGTCTGGAGTTCAATCCTGATGAGGCTCAAGGTTGACTCAACCTTCAGTAAAATGAGGACCTAGATTGTTGCGGGCAATACGATGACATCTTAAACTGTCCAGAGAGTGCTGTAAAGCACTGTGAGGCAGTATATAAGACTAAGTGCTATTGCTATCTACTTCACTATGCAGCTCTGGCCAGTACACCGTACCCTCACCCTAGAGGGCAACTTGTCATTGCAAAGATTGCCACTCATTCTTCACATTTGATACTCTTTAAAAGTTACTTTTAAAAAAATAGTGGTCACTGCCTGAAATTCTCATGCAAATACCTTGAGTTTGGGCAACCGCTTGATGGTTTTCAAAGGTCTCAGGACGCGTAGAACACGAAGGGACTTGATTGTTTTAATATCACGACCTTTGTTGGACCTGTACATTTGGGAGGATAAACAAGCCACCCAAAACATTAAGACAAAAGGATAAAAACAAAAATTGACTTCTTAAACAGAAACTAAATTCACTGTATTTTTGCCATAGTAAACATTACTTTTTTGTATAGACGGTGAAAAGCATGGGCCACATTATTGGGTTTTTGAAGCCTGATGAATTTGAACTATTGAGTGGATTTTTTAAAGAAAAAAAAAATCTGAACATTAAAAAGTGTGTTTGTGTCTGTATGTGAGAGAGAAAGAGAGTGCAAGCCCAGAAGAATTCCCTTTTCATTTGAATTGACTGATGATTTCAAATCCTATTATTGTGAGAAAGACTGTGCTAACAAGGTTAAAACAGGTGATTTCACACTCTTGCTGAGTTGAACCATCTGTTGTAAGGCATCATGCCACTATGAATCATACATTAATGTACCTGGTGAATCCCAGCAATCATCTTGCTCTGTTTTCATCCAAAGGTGGCAGTAAAATACCTCTTTTCCTGGGATGGTTCTACTATTGTAATAAGCTGTAACAACGTACCATTCATACACAAGTAAATATGTGCATGCATATAGTGTATTGATAAGCAGACGTATATGATAGAATAGAATAGAATAGAATAGAATAACAGAGTTGGAAGGGACCTTGGAGGTCTTCTAGTCCAACCCCCTGCCCAGGCAGGAAGCCCTACACCACTTCAGACAAATGGTTATCCAACATCTTCTTAAAAATTTCCAGTGTTGGGGCATTCACAACTTCTGCAGGCAAGTTGTTCCACTTATTAATTGTTCTAACTGTCAGGAAATTTCTCCTTAGTTCTAAATTGCTTCTCTCCTTGATTAGTTTCCACCCATTGCTTCTTGTTCTACCGTGCTTTGAAGAATAGTTTGACTCCCTCTTCTTTGTGGCAAACCCTGAGATATTGGAACACTGCTATCATGTCTCCCCTAATCCTTCTCTTCATCAAACTAGACATACCCAGTTCCTGCAACCATTCTTCATATGTTTTAACCTCCAGTCCCCTATGATGCCATAACTGAAATGAAAGAATTTTTGATACACTGCAAAGACAAGGTCGTCATAACTAGGGTGTCCTCAGTCAAATTATTAAGAAAAAGATCTTCATTAGTCATTAATCAGCATCTAGGAAGAACTGAAAAATTGATTGAAGCCTAAAAGATGAACTTCAGGAAGTACTGTATATGAAAAGAATTCCTGTGTGTCCTCCTATGGTCATCTACATAGTTCAACAGGACTAGTAGCATCAAGAAATGCTCTGGAGGTATCTTTTTAGCTTCAAGGAAAAAGTAGGGACAGGAAACTTTTACTTGTGTATTATCCCTTACATTCATCTTTTAGGATATCTAGAATTAAAATTAGATCCTACAAGTTGATTTTAAGAAACTCAATTTTGAGAAAAACCTTATCTCCTCCAGCTTCACTATACTGCTTCCTAATATAAATTAGGAAGGTTCTTTGGTAGTGAGGCCTATGGCGTCACCCATAGGCACCTGATTTACAGTCAGAACCCGTTCTGGAAAAAGCAAGGATTCCTTAAAACATATCAGGATTTATTCAATGAAAAGGTTAATAGTGGAGAACAAACTTTCCAAAAGAAAGTTTGTCTTCCACTATTGAAACTCCCTTATCATCTGCAAGTTCATGATGCGTAAGTTCTTAAACTACATAGAACTAGCCACTTCCCTCTAAAATTTTGTATAGATTTGATTCACAATGTTCTTTTTACAAATTAACAATAAACCAATTTAATATTTTTATGAGAGACAGGGAGAAAGAGAGAGAGTGAAAGGGAGATGCAAGCTTTGTTTGCTCTGCTAGCAATTACATTCTAAATTATAATTGATGCTAATATCTAGCTATTATTTTATCTGACATATTATTTTCCTGCCCACATTTACAGAGGGGAATATTATAGAAAATTAAAACAAAACGACCATCAATAAATTCCTAGGAAATGATTAAAAAAACCAGACCTGGTATATTTTATATTACCTACCTTTCAACAGCATTTCTTCTTAAACTTATAAAAGGTTACTCATACTGTCTTTTCTATGTTCTATTCAAATAGATGGTGCTAGTACAGCATTGGGCGCTTAACGGCTTTAGCAAATGTCAGACTGTGCCATTGTATCAGATGATGCTGAAAGCAGGGGACTCGGTATATGTGTCTTATTGCTCAAACATACGAAGCAATCATTGCTTAGGCCTCTCAGATCACTACCAGCAGTGCTTAACATGCAACTGGTGTTTTTCCAACTATCCAGAGTTATGATGGTTTCAGAATAGGTGGTTTATGGCCCATAAAGCCCTTCTGGCCATCATAAAATGTTGCATACTCACCCCTGTCATATGACTGCATTTTAGGCACTTTGCAACCAACTTGCCTTATGATTGTTGCACTGCAATGTTGCAGTGTCCCACAGTCACAGGACTGCAATTTGTGACTTTTTCTTTTTTTGCTGGATTCTGGTGTTTTGTTTTGTTTTTTTTTTTAGGAAAAAAACCCTCATTTGAAAGAATAGGTTCATTTTATGACCACGCTGTCTGCTTAAAAGACTGTACCATTTGCTTAATGGCCATGGTGATTCATTTAATGACAGCCACAAAAATGCCCCCGAAAATGGGTCTGGTCCTGTAATTGACTTAACTTTCTAGTCCCACTTGTATCTTAAGTTGAGGACTTCCCGTATTAATCAATGTAAAAGCAGCCTATAATCTGATTCATTACAAAATGAATCTGCATTCCTACTCCGTTTATTGATCCTATGTTCAACACACTAAGCTGTCAAAAACGTTTTGAGATGAAACCCTGTAATGTCCTGTTCCAATACTTTTTGACCTTACAGTGATCACATTGCAGAGTGATAACAGCTAGTTTCAGACCTAACACTATGTAATCCATAATTAGATAATAAACCGTATTACTTAAGATCCCTTACTATATACCTATGAGTCCTAGATATCATCTGCCACTTTATTGCTCAATCACTTTATGAAGTTCTACAACTTTCTATGATTTGTTTTAGATTTTCACATGGAATTTGTACATTTCTATAGAAAATATGAAGGCCACTTAATAGCATGTTCAACATGCTCCAGATCTAGAAGGCATCTTTTTTTTTTTTTGGTCCAGCAGCAAAAATGAGCTTTGCGTTAGTTTTGGATGACAAACAAGAGCCCTGGAGGTGTTGGCATAATTTGGGTTCCATTTTAAATCAGTAGCTACCTTGTGAGAACAGTGGGTAAAGCTACCTTTCAATAATTCATGGGGCAATTTTACTAGGAGAAAGCAAAATTTTAATGAACCTACATTTTAAAAAGTATAATTCACTGCCAGTTGTGCTGCTATAACAAGGAAAATATTAAAGTTGGTTGGAAGCTGTCTGGATAAGAAAATGCAACTTCAAAGATACACCCCCCCCCCCATAATTCTTTTCTTTTATTAAAAATAAACACACATTGGGAAAGAGCTACAGATATTTGTTTGTCCTTTTAAATATGAACAAATATTGTTGTATATGATCCATGTTGTTATTGTGGATCCTTAGTGCTCTCTGAGGTTGATTGCTTTCTCGCAGATGTTTCATTATCCAAACTAGATTGCCTCAGAGAGCACCAAGGATCTCTCATTTCAACCCTGAACTACAAATATTCTCCTTTCTTGTTATTGTCTTTGGTGAGCCAGTGTTGCAGCCCCTGAGATATTGGAACACTGCTATCATGTCTCCCCTAGTCCTTCTTTTCATTAAGCTAGACATACCCAGTTCCAGCAACCGTTCTTTATATGTTTTAGCCTCCAGTCCCCTAATAATCTTTGTTGCTCTTCTCTGCACTCTTTCTAGAGTCTTAACATCCTTTTTACATCATGGCAACCAAAATTGGATGCAGTATTCCAAGTGTCACCTTATCAAGGAATTATAAAGCGATATTATCTTTTCACGTGATCTTGATTCTATCCTTCTATTTAGGCAGCCTAGAACTGTGTTGGCTTATATAAACTTCACCTATCCGTCTCCTCTCAAAATGATAGGGAGAGAGCCAAAGTTGTGGAGTGGTGGTGGAGAGTGACATGGCATTAAAAACATTCTTCCTTTCAGACTCATATTATCTTCACAATTTGTTTATTCTCTTTTCCTATCTATTTTGGCTCATTGATAAGCAAACACCAGCTATGGTCTTCCCAGTTTGTTATAGGTCTATAAAGTTGTAGTAATGTGCACTGCACCTGTATAGGAACTATTTACACAAAACTATACCTTTCAAAACTCTCTTTGGAAATGAAAATCCTCCTTTTTGATGGAGTATACAGAGCCAACATGCTCTCTAGATAGCTTTTATGTCTTCCAAATATAAATAGGAATGATTATGAATTTCTAGTGAAAGAACATTTGAAATGTTGACAGCTAATCACATTATTATATAGTTTATCTCTCTCTTACATATACACAGATCTCACTGTTTTTCAGCATTATGTAACCTAAAAATTATTTTTCACACATTCATTTTATCATTTATGGCAATATGTCATGACTTCACACAACAACAGCTTTTAATGATCTTGGGAGATGAGTCACAATCTTACAATCAAACTTAGATGCTAGGCAGAAAAGCAAATTATGATCTCTCTTCCAGCTTTCATAGAGTTCACATTTGATAAGGATAGTGTCAGTGGGGTAAGGATCAGATACCCTGCCTTGGTTTTAAGTTGAAAACCACACAGTTACTCAGTAAAGCCACAGATGGCAATCCTAAATCATCTCTCAGGGTGGTTTGATATCAGGGGGCACCAAAATAATCAAAAGATTTTCAACAACAGATTGGCAGGGGAGAAATGAAAATGGAGAAACATCTCTCTCTCTACCCTTCCCACTATTTTAAAATAACTCTTCATAATCATTGGTTTAAATTTTCCTCAGAGCTGGGAGTTAGATGAAAGACTAGACCCTGGACCTTTGAAACTCTCTCTTCTGCTTTTGGGACTTCTGCTGAAGTTCCCAACATCAGAAAAATCAGCCTCGGAGACTGTCACTAGAAAGTAGAGTTCTACATCTATTATAAGATTGCAGCTTTAATGAATCACGACTGCTGTATTGTTGAAGCTTAATATTATATCCATCAAAGACTGCATTTGAAATTGAGAGGTTAGAAATGGAGATCCTTGTTCTTTAAAGCAGCCAAATCTGGCACTGATCCCTGACACAGTGCTGAAGTAGCTGAAAGATGAACTACTGCTTGCTCGTCTACCTTAACTCTGTAAGTTCCCCTCAGCTGCTGCTGAGCAGCATTTGCTGTTGCTTTTGTGCCAGCAGCTTTTATATGAGAAAATTGTCCTGAGTTGCCCTTCTCTTTGCTTCTTCCTCATCAATGAAGCATACTACGGTCCCTGTCTAGGAATTTGCTTTTATAACACAGTGAGATAAGGAAGGATGATCATTTTGCAGAGTGAGATTGGCAGCACATAAATTAAATAAAGATTACAAAGTCTTATTCTAAGGTTTAAACAATGGCAAGAAATTTTAATTTTTAAGAATTTAGCATATAAATCGAACCAATGAATAAATGAAAACCCTCCATTTTAGATGTAACAGAATGCTTATTCCTTATTTTTATATACATATATATACACAGAAATACACATACACACATGTATATATACACATATACACACTCCTATACATAAAACAAGAACTACCTTTTTGTTTTTGTGTTCATCAAAATTCCATTCTTAAATCAAGCCATCCATCCAGGATGCATCAGGTTTACTTTTATATATTCCAAGTATTTGGATGCTAATGCTGATCAGGCTGCCTTTACCTAGTTAATTTGGGAACTTAGTTGATACTTCAGATTTTGAAATATGTGTTTTGTATGTTGACTTGACTTCAAGAGAGTACACAGTATAAACCCCATAATGAAACAAACAAACCAACAAACAAACAAACAAACAATGGCCTCTTAGCAGATAATAACTCAAGTAGTACCTCATTCAGCCTCATAAGGTCCTTTTGTACCCAAGACTGGCACAAGAATTTGGGTGTGTTAGCAGAGTAGTAGTAGCTGGTGGGTGGCTCCATCCAATGAAAGTGGCATATTAAATGTATTCAAAGGGTTTTGTTTTGTTTTTTTGCATATGAGGCAGAAAGTACTCCATTTCTTTGACAGTAAAAACACCACATTAACCAATACATAACCAATGATCTGTGGCCTATGCCGTTCTATTCCCTTGATGTAATGTAAGCGGTGTTCTGTTTTTATCTCATTTTAGCTACGGTGTTGTGAGTAGCAACTTTTCACACTCCTCCATGAAATGATTTTGAAACTTCTGCTTTTGACACTTTGCCAGAAATAGCAGGAAATTGATTTCTTTTAAACAGCTTGACAATCTCAGTCTTTGGTGCAGAGTCAATATACTGTAGGCTGAAACTGTATGCATAGAATGCTTTGTAATTGTACCTACTCTCATCAGAAGCAGAGATTGGAAACAGTACTTGTCTTGGAAAACTTTGTGAGAAGCTAGTTGCGTTGCACCTTCTCCTAGTGCTAACCCAAGCAGCCTTTCTGATAGCAATGTAACAAACAGATAAGCAAACCAAATTCTTCCATTCAAGGCCCATTTCCCTCACTTGGGTCCCCCCCAAAGATAAACAAGAAAAATAATTACCCCAAAGCATTCCTGTGAGTAAAGGCCCAGATGTACAGTCACAAAGCCAGATCGATAGACAGGTGGAAAGAAAACAGAAAAGATCAGGAAATGGGCCATCAGCAGAGAGCAAAGGAACAAGGAGACTGTTGGAAGAAGATTTGCATCTGAAAAGAGCAATAACCTCATCTCACAGCCTTGATATCCTGGCATTCCATTATTTTTTCCACCCCAGAACCCATCTTCCTACTCTCATTGGTAGCTTAGTTAACAAGAGTCATTTCAGATATTATATTTTTGTTCTTATATACATGTTTAAAATGCTTAATGTGATGGTGACAAACATGTATTTACAAGCCCAGATGTACACATGCATTCATCAGGAGGAGTGACTGGCTGTTATGCCTTGATTTTCAAAGCAGCAGTTGCTACTTGGCAGCATTAATTAGTGAAAACAAACAAACAACAACTGCAGGAAACCCTAATCTCTCTAATTAAATTCAATTTGGCCCCAAGTGACAGGTGAAACAGTCCTTAGCATCTTTCCAAGTGGAAAATTATTTTAGGCACCTTGGTGCAATTATGAGTTTGAATGCAGGGCAGTCAACAAGAAACATGCTGGTTACCATTTGTTCAAACTACATGGCATAGTAGTAGTTCAGATTTGCAGACAAGGACAATTAACACATGTGGAATCCCTTGAAAGAAAGTGGCTCTGGGGAGAAATGTTCAAGTACCTTCTTTGATCCAAACTGACCCTTCTTGAAAACCAGCTATCAGGGTTTTATTATATGCTTTACAATACTCTCCAATTTAGATCTATGGATTTAAAGTTGTTTAGTTTCTGTGATTTTCACTCAAGGTACCCAAAGCACTGGCTTCTATAGGAAGGATCATAACATAGAATTCTCCAGGTCTTACAAAATGTCAGTCCTAAGGGATTCTTGAAAATAAACCATGAAGCTCAAACATATTTTAAAGAATTTGGTAGTGAACCTGAATACCAGAAGCAAAGAAGATAGGAAGTTATTTAGATTGACTGTTCTTTTAAAATCAGAGGCACAACTCCAGAGAACCAGAGAAAGAAATCGCTGCACATTTCTTGAATAATTCTGATAAACATCTGTACTTATCCCCAAAGACTGGGGACAATCTAGGGAAAAGAGTCAGAGAGTTTTAGTTCAGAGGTCAATTCATCTCTAAGAAATTAATAATTACTGTAGGCCAAAACTGTGTTAATTTTGTTCTTCTTTTGTTTTTGTGTGCTTACAATCAATATCTTTCACATTTTTTTACAAGCTCGGTGATAGTTTCATCTTTTATGAATGTATCAGATTGTGCATGAAGATGGTTCCTTTCTTTCAAATCTCTTGAGATAATTATTTTTTCCTGAGATATTCTTTGGGCTCAGTACAACATGGAGCCTGGGGAACATTTTAATAAGTCAATACTGTCTTGTGATCTTTTTTTTTCTTCTGTTCCATAGTGTTTGATTTTTCAAGATTGCCAAGACAAGTCCATGCAGTATTCTTGACAAGGTTTTTCAGAAATTTTACGCATTTTAAACTTTTTTTTTTAGTTTAACCTACTTGTCATGTGCTGTGTATTACAAACTGGGTAGTTCTCTACTTACCTCACACAATACTTCATACAGTATTAATATTTTAATATTTTAAAATTAAAATGTGATTTTATAGGTTTCTCTTCTTTACATTTTCCTTTTCTTTATCTCTCGTGAGATGAGTCAGTCTCTCAAAAAAGGAGAGGGTGCACATCTTAAGACTACCCAGGGTCCCCTCAAAAGATAGGTAATGGCAAATGGAATCCCAAACCTCTACTCCAAACCAGTAATATGAAGACCCAGAAAACTATAAAAAGCATTTTAAAAAGTTTGATAACCCTAAAAGATGGAATTTGTGTGTATTCTGTGTTGTTGTATTGTGAACTGAATGAATTGCATGATTGTAAAGCTCACATTGTATGTTCAGCGATACTCATCTTAATATAGAGAAAATAAGTCCAGAAGTTAGGCAAAATTCTGGATCAATCAAGATTATTATTTTCTTCATATATCTGCACTACTTTGTCTGCAGTTATGTCTTCTTACCACCCATCCCTTCAGTTGGAATTCTTTTAATCACATAAAATATATTTCCTCATATTTAATCATTATAAAAATGTCTGTGATTGATGGCTAAACCAGCAAGGGAAACAAGCATGCTATTTTAAGTGATATGATGTTTTTTGAAGGAGCAGCCAATGAAATTTTGAGCATTGGTAGCATGGTTCTCATGTATGTAAAATGATCTGAATCCAGCCAAAAAATGCAAGTACTTACGCCAAGGCAAAGGCCATCAGCGCTCCAACAACCACAATGAAATCCAGGATGTTCCAAAGATCCCGAAAATAAGAGCCATCTTGCAGTATTAATCCCTGATCAATCATCTAAAGAAAGGTAAAGGCAAGTTCTTATACTTTATACTCATAAGAATAGAAGAATAGAATAACCTAAGCTCCAATTTCTGATTATGAGCTCTTTACATTCAAATCCCATTACTGAGGCTGCAGTAAGCCTATACTCAAAACATATGGACAAAGATAATTCACTTAAGGCTTAAGAGGTATTTTCAGTTACTGGTGGGGTTGTGGGAGATGGATGTAACAATAAAATTACTTATAAATTCATTTTAAAATTAGTAAATAAAAAAATGCCGTCAAAGGTTTGCTTAGGAAGTTAATTCTGTCAAATTTGTTTTACATTACAGAACTGTTGAATCAGCAGGAGTATCGCCAGAAGAGGGCATGTCAGATTGACCAAACCGAAATTGGGGCACTGTAACACAAATCACACTTCTTTTTTTATATGTGTTACAACATTGTATGCATGCCTAAAAAAGGGAATGAGTTTGGACTGCCCTGCTTTGATATCATTCTGACACAAGCAGCAGGATAAAATGAATAAAATGATTAGTTTGGATAGATCTGTTGTGATGCTAGAACTTGCCTAACTAGATTATGCTAAATATGTGCCCAAGAAGTGAGAGCTAGCGATTACTTCTAGTTATATGATAAAATGAAAAAGCAGACTGAGGCAAATACATACAAAACCTATTTTTAACTGTTTATAAGACATGATTATCAAAACGGAAATGAAATCTGCTCAGCTAACTACCGACCATCAGCTGCTGAAAAGGATGCCTCTTTGTTGTCACGCAGAAGGCTTTTTCACACCATATAAAATCTATTACTTGAACAATACAACTACTGTGTGAATTGGTTAAGGTGTTGGACTGAAAAGACTCAGGTTCAAGTCTAGAAAAGCTCAAAGGGTGATTCTTTCAGCCCAATAACTATCTTTTTGCTCAGCTGACCTCACTGGATTGTTTTGACAAAAAACTAGGGGAGAAAGTGCTACCCCGTTTTCCCCAAAATAAGACATCCTCTGATAATAAGCCCAATCGGGCTTCTGATTGCATGGCAACAAGGCCAAGCATTTATTTCAGTGTTCAAAAAAATATAAGACAGGGTCTTATTTTCAGGGAAACATGGTAGATACACTGCCTTGAGCACCTGGAGAAAAAGTGAAAGGTAACTTAAATAACACAAATTAACAGAATACAAAAGTTTCTTAAACAATCATTATAGAACTAAAAAGGCTCAGTGCCTTTCAGTTCTATTAGAATTTATTTGGGGAAAAAGAATCAGAAGGACAATTTTGCTTCCTAACGCTGTGTCTTCTTTTAGAAACTCTATTCAGTAGGAGTGACATTTGAGAAGTGATAGGGATGTGCAAAAAGTTCTGCTAAAAAAAGTCCAATTTTCTCTTTTTGCTTAAGAAACTGTTTTATATTCTGTTCCTATAGAGGCCAACACTCGTCACCCACAAAGAGGAAGTTACCGTGTTTGTCATTATAAACTGAGATTCCACTAACATCTCAGCTACTGCTACTCCCATATTGAATGATGTTGGCAGACTCGGTTAACTGCTGAAAAAATTAGCTTGGTCTTGGATAATTCTACTTTTTTAATACAAAACTTTTCACTGTAATTTTATTATCATTATTGTTGTTGTTGTTGTTGTTGTCATTGTTAGTGTGGGTTTTGTGCATAATTCTCTGACATACCAAGAACTGGAAGAGATGAGGGAGAGAATCAGAAATAACCAAGGAAAGACAAGCTGAAGAAAAGGGGTTAGCCAAATTGTAGAATGAAAATGCTTTTGACATTACTTTATTGAGATCACAAAATTTCCCAGCAGGAATGAGAAATTTCTAGAGCAACTTCTCTAAACTGGTGTCTTCCAGAGGTAATGGATTGCAACTCCCAGAATTCCTACAGTATTTGTTGAAAAAGCTGTAATAAGTTTTAAGAACCAACCGACTTCCTAAAAGATCAGAGCTCCTTCATTTATTGAAGTTTCAAAAATATTTAATCATATATTAAATCATGTATTAAAAATATATAGTAACAATCCTGCAAAAATCTCTCAGGGTCCAGCAAGTGGCAGTCTAAGGAAAACTCAGTCATGACTTTAACTACAAGGCATTGAAGGAAGAAAATCGTCAAAGGAGAAATTGCTCTCAGAAATGTTGCATCTTAATTAATCTAGACATTCTAGATAATTTATTTGGAAGGTCCATTTTCTTGAAAATATATTATAAAGCTCTATGAATATGAAACTGTCCACTGTCTTCCAGTTGACTCAGGAAAACACTTCCCTTCTCACTTACCTTAATAACCATCTCAAAGGTGAAGACTCCAGTGAAAACATAGTCAAAATACCTCAGAACCTGCAAGGATGGAAACAATGGAACAGTGTGGAATCAGAAAGTATTGTCACATTGCAGAATAAAATTGGAGGCATATAAATTAAATAAATAAGTATAAAACAATATTATTCTGAAGTTTAAACAATGGCTAGGAATGTTAACTTTTAAGAACTTAGCTATAAAATTACAAGCCAGATCAGTGAAAACCCTCCTTTTTAGATGTAACAATGTAAAACCAATGTCCTTAACGTGACCTAGCAAACAGGTTTAGCACTTTTAACTGTTTTGTTTTGAAAGGACTTATTCTCATTAATAACACATATGTTTAACATGTGTTACGTTATGACTTTTGAAATGAATAATGTCCAGGATGCAATTCATTAGAAATATCTCCTCCATGTCCCTTCCCTGCCATGGATTGCAGACTAAGGCTACCTGAAATTCTTGGTTCAAGACTGAAACAAGAAGAGGCTGATGGCAATAAGATTTTTCAAAATGGGAGGAAAAGGTGGGAGGAAAAAATGAAACCTAGCTTTCTCCTGTTTTAATACTTGGAGGTGATTATACCAAGAAAGCGAACAGTATTAATACTACATCTGCTACCCACATTATCAAATGTAAACTGCTGTCAAAAATGATAGCAATACCGTAGAACCTGCTTTAGAAGTTAGCAACCTCAGCTGTCAGCTTGGACGACAAGTTGAGGGGATCTTGGTACTCGCTGAGCTTGCTTGCTTTCTTGCAGCAACAGTCAGATTTGGGTAATGAAACATCTGCAAGAAAGCAACCAAGCTCAGAGAGCACCAAGGACCTTTCACTTCAACCGTGAGCTATAAATATTCTCTTTTATTGGGACAACAATTTCTACAATCTGGCTGTACCTTAAGCTTTGTGTACTTTCTGTTATGTCTGCTCTGGTCTGTTTTCTGTCTGCCGCTGGCATTTTGCCATAGCAGCAAAATGATGTTATTTGCTAAATCAGACTAAAAGACCACACAGCCCAGTGTTCTCTTTTTGCAAGGAGCAGCCAGATGCTTGCAGAAAGCACATGAGCAGGATCTGAACGCTATTGCACCCTCCTGCTCATGTTCCAACGTTTGGGATTCAGAGGCATGTTTCCACCTACGTCCTGGCACACTCTTTGGCACCATCCTGCAGTTATTACTGTGGAGCTCTCACACAGGCATTAGCTGGAACTGCTGAAAATGTAGCCTACACAAGCAATGTGCATATCCTTTGAGGCCCCCTTTTCATCAAACTGAGAAATGCAGCTGTTTTAAAAAGTCTGGTTCTCCCTGCGTCTAGGTACAGAAAATCTAAAAGCCACTATTTTAGAAATCAGTAGTGCTGTGCCTTCCCAATTTCTACATAAAACAATTGGCAATAACAGTAACATACCTCTTCCAAGTTAATTTGCCACTCACACTGGTTAACTAATTATTGCCTTTCGGGACTAGAGAAATCCATTCATCAAACTGGAGATTGGAAACTAAGAGCAAGCATTAATGGCCTCAGCAATTCAATGTGTAAAATGAGGCAAGTCAGATGTTCTCAACTCCTGCAGCACAGAAAGTATAAATAACCACATTTCCCTCCCCTGCCCATTTTAAATTCTATTTCCTATTCTTGCTTTTTTAGTTCTCTTTCTTTCCTTTCCATAAATTCTTAATGTGTTCTTCTGAATAGTTTGAGTGAATTTCTTTGTTACTAAGTTCTTGTTTTCTCCTGATTCAAAGGCAAAGTGGGGGTCATTTTATACACATCTACCCAAAGGAGTGGAGCAGAAGGGTCAAACTTGATTTCATTGAGGGCTGCATCAGGGTTGTGTTTGACCTCGGGGGGGGGGACATGGCCAGGGTAGGCATGGCTAGCTTGACATCACTCATGTCGGGAGCACCTGTGCTGGCCCGAGTGCTCTGTCAGCAAAAAAGGCACACGGCCCTCCTGAGCTTCATTTTCACTGGCAGAGGATGCAGGAGGCCATCACAGCTGAAAATGGAGCTCAGGAGGGCCATGTGCAGCCCTTCCAAGCTCGATTTTTGATGGCAAACACACCATGGGCCAGTCCTTCGCTGTTTCCAGGGCGGCCCTGTGGGCCAGATCTAAGAACCCCCAGGCCTAATCCAGCCTGCAGGCCTTGAGTTTGACACCCCTGGAGTGGACCATCAGCACACAGGCTGCCAGCATCATGCTTCCTGTAAGATGGTAGGTGTACTGGGTAAAACTCTCAGATATTAATTATGGTTAGTGGGTCATTGCTTGATAGTGATAGTGATAGGCAATCAGAAAGCCAGTCCTTGCCTAATCCCAACCATCTTCTACGTTTTTCACTTCCATGCTTGGTTCTTCCTATCCTCCACCTGGGTTTAACAACTATGAAGTATTGTTTGTCAATTTCATTCTTTGTACAGCTGTTAAGAACATTCTTGTCCATTAATGTCTCAGTATGAAGTTTGTATGGCCGCTCAAAGTGACTTATGGAGCTGGGTTGCCATATAAAATAAATGAATAAATGCATGCTTTACCTTTTTATTGGTCAGATTTTATGTCTATGGATTTCAGCAAGGTATTTAAATAGGTTGCTGGTATGTGTGACTGTTCCAAATCTTAATTCCCATGGTAAGGGCATCATAGGCAAGAACACTGAAAGGACAATTTTCACTATTGGGAAGCAAGTAACTACTTGGGGAAAGAAGTTACTATGACTAGCTTTAGCTATAGAATAACATCCTCTTCACCACTGTATAAATAAGCTTCTACCTCTCTTATTATGAACTGAAATTAAACAATTAGTAGAATCTTGTGCTACAATTTGTCGTGATCTAAAATACTCAAAAATCCAGATTAGGAAATTGGATGTTTGATTCCTCCTGCCCATTACAATTAAACAAATTCAGATAGGACAAAGTCTCTTCGCTTTCTCTCTCTCATATGCAATGGAGAATTCAAACATGTAAGACCCAATCAAATCCAAAATAGCCAGCAAGAGATGAAACATGTATATTTTCTGAGCCTGTGTTTAGCTTTATGAATTATAAAGTAGATGCAGAACATGAATCCAGGTACACTAAGACCCCAGAGCAAAACAGAATTGTCAAGTAATTACTGAGTAATTACTTTATTTCTCTCTGAGTTGGTCAGGACAGGATCCTCTGCTGCCAAGGCGATGCTGCTTGCTGCAATCACAAGAAGGATACACATCTCAAAGTAGCGCAGATTGACAACGTAGTGGCAAGCTCTTCGGATTCTGTCAAAGAAACCACAAACCCATGCAACGGCCACAGCATTAAACAGAATTCTGATAATTTAAAATGGAGGCATTTATATAGCAGTTGTACTATCTCTCTAGTCTTATAGCAATCCTATAAGCCAGAAGTGGACAACTTCTTCTACCGCTCTAGATGATGGCTAAATTAAAGAACTATATAAACAAATATTTCTACACAGAATGAAATTAAAGAAGTACTATAAATCTTTTAATTCTACATGATCAGTTCCATAATAATAATAGTTAAGAAATCTATATCAATTACACAGAGCCTTTGGTTAGATGTAACTGGTCTGTTTGAACAAGAATGGAAATAGGGTGATAAAAGATGGTATCACAAAGTCAACTTTTTGTTATGACACAAATTCCGCAATAGGATCTTCTAAAGCTATAGACAAGTTGATCTCTACCTAAAAGTGTGAAATAGATGGAATTCTCATTTTGTTTTTCTCCCTATGAAACAATTTCTCTCGTATAATCCTTTTTATTAAAATAGTATGACTGATGAAAGCTAGCCAGTATCTTTATCATCCAAGTATGACTTGTTAAGAAATCTACTGGTCTTAGCCAGTTAGATAATTCTGATTTGCTAGATAAAATCCAGGGCATCTGGCATGATACTCTTTCTTGATTGGCAGTAGCAGTTAATGTCCTCCCAAAAGCCAACTTTCCATTATCCTTCAAATTCTATAACCTGAGGATGTAGTTGGAAAATAAGCTAAGCTGCCACAACACAGAGGGGAGGGAGGATTCTCCTTTGTAGCTGACAGGAATCCTTTTCATTTTCCATTATGTTTCTCTTCTACCTTTAGTGAACCCTTGCTGTGGGATCTCCTGCAGGGGTTTCTATGAAGTGATTTACAGTAGGTGCACAATCAATTTATGCAGTGTGTAATTCAGATGTTTTGGCCTATGACTCATATAATTCTATGCACCCTGGAGTTTGCTGTATATAATAGATACCCCTAATGGGTAGCAATGGGGCAATCTATTTGCCTGTGGCATTACTGAACTTTCTGTTTGGAACATGTGATCACATTAACACCGCCCCCCCCACCCCCAATTCTCTGAAATAGACCAATATATTCAGCAATTCCAGAAAGAAAGAAAACTAATGGAATATATCTCACGGGTTTGTGGTGCTGAAAATAAACATGGAGCTGTGGGGCACCATTGGTTTGCCTGTCTCAGAGCTCTTCTCCTTTTTTCGCTTTTTATTCTTCTTCTCTGCCTCCACCGCCTCCTCTTCCTTGGTTTCTGCCTCCTTCAGTGGACTGGCCTCTCCATCTGTCTTGTTGCTAACTGTAAAATGAACAAATCTTGTTAGTCCTTTGCCTAGGAAGAAGAATGCAGTGAACGAGCCTTTGATAGCAGGGCCTCTGGAAAATAGAAAAGAATTACACACCACAGGGGGGGGGGGGAGGGGGGGAGGGAGAGAGAGGGGGAGAGGGAGAGGGAGAGAGAGATTGCTAAAGGTAAGAAAGGAATGACAAAAGCAGATAGAGTGCCCAATATTACATATGTGAATAAATATGAAAAAAATAGGTGGCTTTGTAGGGATAGAAGATTCATTACATAAAAGAAGCAACCCATTCTGAAAAACTGAAAAGTTCAGTCCCGAGTAGAAGGAATATGTGCATACAGTTTTTACAAAGATTACATCCTGCACACTAGCAATTCAAATTATGGACCAAGAAAAGTAAATTCTGCAAACTGTAATTTGCATATTTTAACCTTCAACTGTCACTGTTTCATATAACTTATTTTTGTACTTGTAATTCAGTGGAAGAGAAAGGAGCACTGCAATGGAATAAAGAGCTGCTCCCAACCACTTGTAATCTTGTAGTTGCGTTGCCCGGTTGAAACATGTGCAGAACGTACAATTCTCCATTCCTCCCCGACCAGGTGCAAGAAAATAATATGAATATCTGGTTTATCCTATGTGTTGTGTGATAAGTTAACATTTGGTAAATCACCATCTTTCTTCATCTATTTGAGTGCAAGGGCTAGAAATATGGCTCTTTTTAAAAATAAAAATGGAGACTTTCAGAATTCTGTGCTCTTTAGCACATTCTAGACTAGTTTAGTACTGCAGGCAAATCATAGCATGTACCTAACCCTGTCTACTATTCATTTCCACAGCTGCTGCAGTGCAAATTCAACACCTCTGGAATTGCAGTTTAAAGATATAATTTCTTCCAAGAAAAGCATGCCATTAATTGCTATTTTATATTCTCAACACCTGGCTATGTAGCTAGTTAGATGGAGATCAGAAGAGAGGAGAGGGCATAAAAGGGTGCCAAACAGAAGAGACAAAAGTATTTTTGCAATAGTTTTGTGTAATTGATATCCAGATTTCATAGGGAGTTTTTAATTGTGAAGACACAGAAAAGCACTTTGTAGCCTTTGTCAAGGGTCAGACTGAGAAAGCAGTTGGATTGAATACATTGAAATTATCATACTGGAACGAGTATTCTATTTTTACAACTCCTATATCTAAGGCATCAAAATTAATTGAAGTTTGGAATTATCCAGACATTATTTTTAGGCCTAGCCTGACAACTCTCTCCCTCCCTCCCTCCCTCCTGCTCTCTCTCTCTCTCTCTCTCTCTCTCTCTCTCTCTGTGTGTGTGTGTGTGTGTGTGTGTGTGTGTGTGTGTATGCAAAGAATATATATTTATATATTATAGAAACAAAATATGGAGGGTTTTCTTTTGGGTTTGGTTGTATTTCTTCCCTGAAAAAAAAGAAATCAGTAGCAAAATATTCTCTCAGTGGCATCTGTCTTTCTTTGCAATAGCTGCCTACTTCCACATAGTACCAAAAATAAATAAATGTTTATTTAAAAAAAGAAAAAGAAGGGAGGGAGGGAGGGAGGGAGGGAGGGTGGGGGGGAATGTACTCTTGACTCATCATTATTTAAAGAAGAAATGCTTTCTTTAGTGACCCATGGAAGGCTTTGCCAAAAATTAACAGAAAATTCATCCATACATGAAATGGAGAAGGGGGAAAAAAAGCAAGTAGGTAGAGGAGATGCATCAGGAAAAATCAAGAAAAAGAACTGAAAGTGGCTAATTAAAAAAGGCTATGGGGCAGAGGAGCAGCAAGAGGGCAAAGCTTAGGGCTAAATGTATACACAGACACACACAGACACACACACACACACACACACACAGATTTCATGACAGGGCTCAGTTTTTTTGGCTTACAAATTCACAGTAAAAACTGTACAGTACTGTAATCAGCAATAAAATATAATCAAAAGTGATAATGTTATATTCATAAAAATGTAGTTCCATATTTCATCAAGGTACAGAAATTTATCACATCTTTCCACTCAATCTTGCCTCAATCCCTGAAAAAAGCCATGTTTTTAAAATCTTCCCGAAAATTAAAAGTGATAATCTGGGCATCTCTCTGGTAAGAGGGTGCTCGGTATGGGGAAGAGTTTTGCAGAAAATGCCCACATCCAAGGTTTTGGATGCAGAAGATCCCAGATTCACATTTCCCAATCTGTGAATAGGGGGGACTAAGAAGGATCCTTGGACCTTTGGGGAGCTGGTGTTTACTGGAATACACAACATAGTGCTAGGTAGCATAGCCCAATTTGTAAATTACAGTTTTGTATTATTTGTTTTGTTTTATTTTATTATTCAATTTCTGTGGCCGCCCATCTCAATCAATTCAGCTTACATTTCAAAAATATAGATTACAATTAAAAATTAAAAAAAAAAACTTTTTAAAATAATAAAAAGAGTAAAACCAGTTAAAAAAACCTTAAAAACATTCAATTTAACATACTCAAGAACAAGATTTTGGCCAGTTAGCAATATAGCCAGTAGTAAAAAGTATATTTACTAAATACTATGGGATTAGGGTATATAGTAAAAGTCTATAATAAGAATATAGTAAAAGCTGCACATTACTCTGAGGCCCATGGCTCATCCTACAACTAAACAGTTGCTATTTAGACCTGTGATACTTTTGCTTCTAGTATAGAGCAACTTCGTTTATTGTAAACCCAATAAGCCAATTTCAAATGAGAAGTTTATAGAGCTGGCTTTTACCAAACTGATAACAGTAATCACAACTTCAGATTCCAACAAAACGCATCAACTATGGTTAATTTAAATCAGAAGGGAAAGATCATGAATTCCTTGCATCAGAAAATGGTGAAGGAAGAAATGCTTGAGCCCCATGGCTTCCATGGCTTGCTCTTGTTACCCTAAAACAAGCACTGCATCACTCTTCATAAGAAAATATCACATATATTTTTGCTGGTGTTAGAGATAATAGCAAAATACCATATTCTCATCTTGCTCATTGAAATAGTTGTGCTTTCCCCATGCTACTCTTGGTTTCTCCAAGAGTAAGAAGGTTCTGCCAGCAATCAATCCCTGACCCTACAAAATAATATGAACAGAGAAATGGGAAATTCATAGAACATCATAATAATAAGCAATATGCAAATGGTTCACATTTCAAACGTGTTGTTTTAAATGTGAAAGAAAGTTGTTCAAACCTCACCAGAAGTGTTCTGACACTGTTCTGAGCATTTCTGAAGCATCCCAAACTCCAAATAGACCTCTTTCATGTTCAAAAAACCTATTTCAAAAAGGGACTGTTTAAACTTTGGAACACTTAAAGAGGATCAGAAAAGCAACAGAACACATATGGTCAGAACAACCTGCTTCCAATACATCACGAATACAGGTACTCCTCGAGTTACGAATATAATGGAGCCTGCCAATTACATTTGTAACCAGAGGATTCTTTGGATTCCTTTGCAAGGCCTTTTGCCATGGATCTCGTGCAGGCCTCGGTTTATAGAGAACAGAGGTCTAAAGTACTGTAGTGCGAGATCACACAAGATCAGTAGTGCAAGATCTCGCACTACTGATCTTTTGTGATCTCACACTACTTTAGGTCTCTGTTCTCCGTGAATGCACTGAAGCAGGCAAAGGAACCGACGGCTTGCTAGAGTCTCCACAGGCCCAGTGCCTCTAGAGCCCCGATGGGGGAGGAGGGGAATAGGCAGGGTGAATGTTGCAGTGCCTCTGCCGTCATTCATAAGTGTGAACAACTGCCATGATGCTGCAACATTCGCAACTTTGGGATTGTGTTGTAAATACTGGGTGGTGGTGGTGCTATGTCATAACTTCAAACTGTTACTAAGTGAACTGTCATAACCAGAGGATTACATGTACTTCAAGCTCAAAACAGGCTTGAAAATCTTCACATACTTCCAATATCTTGTTCTATATAATATTGTATTGTATTGTATGATTATATTGTTATATTATTATATTATATTATATTATATTATATTATATTATATTATATTATATTATATTATATTATATTATATTAGTCTGTACATGTTATAATGGATGCCTGGATGGCTGGACAGACAGACAGACAGAGATAGACAGATAGATACGACAGACAGACAGACACAGACAGACAGACAGACAGACAGACAGATAGATAGATAGAAAGAAAAACTGGCAATGGAGAGAGAGAGGGAGAGGGAGGGAGGGAGGGAGGGAGGGAGAGAGAGAGAGAGAGAGAGAGAGAGAGAGAGAGAGAGAGAGAGAGAGAGAGAGAGAAGGATGGAAAAAGTAAAAATGGATTGTCCTCTTTCTAGAAGGCCATAATGCCATAATCTACCAAGAAGTTGGGGTGGTTAGCAATATATTATTTTTAACAGCTAAACAGCAGTGGCCTATGGCTACACAATATGCTTCAAGTGATACATGCCTGCCTCCAGAAATGTTTTATTTGAATAGCAGGAACTAACAGATAACACTTAATAGCAAGATACATTTGTTCTCAAAATATGCTTGAAAATCTTTGTGAGACAAAAAAGCTCTGCATAATTTGTTGGAGTTACATAATAAATATTTTAGTACCATTACTTTGGATTTTTGCCTTCCTTTGCTTGAAGATGGGTTACAGAATCCTTTTCATTCGTTGGTTTTGTGGCCAGATAATAAAAATGGCAGATCATCTTTGCTGTCAAGAGGCATCACACTCACACCACCAAGATTTTTCAGCTTTGTTTTCCAAATTTAGGGTGTAAATAACAGCAGAGCTAAATTTCTGATAGCAAATGGATAGGATGTTGTCAGTTTTTAAAACTTAATTTTAATTTTTTAATTTTAATTTAAAATTTAATTTCATTATTTTTAACTATCTAGAAAGGACGTAACAAAAACAAAAACTAAGCAAAGTTGCTTAGTTATAGTCAATGCTTCTTCCAGTTGAGTTATAGTTATAGTTATAGTCAATGCTTCTTCCAGTTGAGCTACATCAGAACAAAAAATGTTGAACTAAACATTTGAACTATGAACTAAAATTAGGAGACTGCATGGGTGTAATAAGAGTTTAGTACTCAATTCTGAATTATTTTTCCCAATGTTGCCCTCTTTACAGGGAGTTAGCAGCAGATGCAGTCAGTGGCAATCATGTACTCTTGATACTTCCATCGACATGACAAAATCAGCAACAGGGCACAAACCACACACCCTGGGGGGGGGAGATGACATCATAACACCCATAGAAAAGGGGCACTATGCTGAATGTCACAACTTTCTAATCCTCTCATCCCTGTCCAACTTTCCATGGATGCCACTGGAACCAGTCTGCTCTCACCATCATCTTCAGCAATTTATTTATTTATTTATTATGCCGTCCATCTACTCATATAAAACGACTCTTTATAATTCTCATCTTAAAACCAGGCCTGTTTTAAAGTTCTTCCATGTGAGAAAAGGGATGAATAATTTTCTCATCAACTATAATGACCTGAGCAAGTTCTCCAAAATTCAAAATGTGATATAGGATGCGAAAAGAAGAAAGAGACTCTCAAGTCTATGAGGTCTCCATCTTCCATTTCCCAGTAATTTTCCTGTAAACTTCTTGCCATCCTCTAAATAACCTCCCTTTCTCTCAAATGTTCGCCCTGGGATTGTATCAAATCAAGAGCTGTAGTGGCAGCATGAAGATGGAGACAGACAGACAGATAGATAGATAGGCTGTTTCTTTCTTTCTTTCTTTCTTTCTTTCTTTCTTTCTTTCTTTCTTTCTTTCTTTCTTTCTTTCTTTCTCTTAACATTGGGGAGTATTTTGGACAAAGGCAGTTCTTCTGAGAGTTGCTCTAAATGACAAAAATACTTAGCAAACCTTTCTTCCTCTGAGATTTGCAGTCCCTTCCAAAGATAGCCCACATGTTGGGTCAAGAGAAAAGAGCATCATCTCCTATCCTGTCAACTGTTAATATGATCATTGTTGCAATTTAATCAGTAAGGAAAGGAAGGTGGCTAGTGTATTTGGAGCCAAGCCAGAGAAGAATTTGGGAGGGGATTGCATCTCATTTCAGATGTCCTTTTATGACATCCCCCTAGAATTAATAAATGAATCTGGTTCAGAGAATATCAGTTGATGCAGGGGTGAAATGCTCCCGGTTCGGACCAGCTCATGCAAGTAGGTAGCGGAGATTGAGGCTAGTTCACCAAACCGGGAGCAATGGCTGGCTGGCCATGCCCCCAAACTGGTCCACGGCCCGCAGTCCTGCCATGCTTGCCTGCCTTCCATGCTGCCTTCCTGGCGTCCTGGTGGCCACTTGCGAAGGCAGGCAAACAGAAGTCCACATGGAAGGCAGGCAAGTATGGCAGGGCTGCGGGGAAGGAGCTAGCAGCTTACTGCCCCCCCCCACAAGCAGCGGCTTCCATGCTCAGCCCCGACAACCTATGCATCCATAGCAATGGGGTTGTTTTGTTTGCCGCGGTGGTGCTTTGGGAAGGCAGGTGGACATATTCATTATAGTTGTCAGCTGCAGACATCCGCCTGCCCTCCCGAAGTACCACCTTGGTGAACAAAACAACCCAATTGCGCTGTGCCTCCTTCTGCAGCCAAACGCGCCCAGCCGTGCATGCCCTTTCCTCAAATGGGTTTTGCATGTGGCCCTTGGAGAGCGAGCAAGCAAGAGAGCTCTTCAATCTCTGGTTAGTGTGTGTGTGTGTGTGAGGGAGGGAGGGAGGGAGGGAGGGAGCGATCTGAAGCTGAGGTACCCAAACTTCTGGCAACGGTGCGGGTGGCTTCTGAGCAGTCCTGAGTCAGCCAGCTCCACCTGACCTACTCCCTGAGTCTTGCCGTTCTCCTCACTGCCCCCCCACCCCACTCAAGCAGCGGCAGGCTCTGCGGGACAACAGGACCTCTCATTTTTCCCACAGCACGACGTACATTTGCTACCTCTGCTTGTCTGCTTGCAAGTGATGACCTTCTCTGCTTCTCTTGGGATGCTTGTTAGGGCTGAGCAGGGAAACCGCTGCTTGAGTGGGGTGGGGGTGAGGGCGAAGAGAACAGCGAGACTCAGGGAGTAGGTCAGGTGGAGCTGGCTGCTCAGAAGCTACTCCCGCTGCTGCCAGAAGTTTGGGTGCCTTGGCTTCAGATCGCTCCCTCCCTCCCTCCCTCCCTCCCTCGCACACACACATACACACAAACAGAGGTTGGAAAGCTGTCTTACTCGCTCTCTTTCCAAGCGCCCCATCCACAGCAGAGTGACGTGAATGATGTCAAACTGGCCACGCCCACCCAGTCACATGACCACCAAGCCACGCCACACCAAGCCACACCCACAGAACCAGTAGCAAAAAAATTTAGATTTCACCCCTGAGCTGATGGTTATTTCAATAATATAGTACCAACACAAGTCACACCACAATAAAAACCCTATAACTGAATGTTTCTTCAGTCAAACTGTTAGTCACTTCTTTACGAAAGCACCAACAAATCTATAAGACACTTTGGCCCAACTCAACACAAAGGAGCAGAGGAATATTTTTCATTTATTTCTTGACTACATTTCTCCTCTACTACAATTCAGAGACTCTTGGTACGTTTCACAGAGTATAAAACCATATGAAACATCCATTGTTAGTACAATTATAAAATAATAAAACCACCCCACCCAAAGAAAAGGTACAAAGGATAAAAATAGAAATAAAGATGGCCTGACAAAATCAGGGGAAGGCTCTCTGGAACAACTCAGCTTTAAAAGCTTCTAAAATCTTAACATGGAGGGGGATATCTTGATCTCAACCAAGAATGACAAATGCTGCATGGCAATCTGTATCTCCCTTTAACAGGCTGAGATTTGGTATCAAATTAGAAAAGAGAGAGATACTTACTCTGTACCACAGTGGAGTCTTGAACATCAATCATGATGGTAGTGCTCTCTGTTGCTTTATCAATGTTGGCAGTGATAGATGAAAGATCAGGTTCACTCCTGCTGATAGTCCTCTCTGTCTCCATTGATAGGTCACCCAAAAGCGCTTGCTCACTTGTCTCTAGGCTGCTGCCATCTTGCTTTACTGGACTGGCCTCCTTGCTTTTATCTAACATCTGGTGACCTTCTGAGGGACTTGGATCTTGGGTGGGCATGGGAAGCTCGGCATTATTTGTTGTTGCTTCACTGGTACTGGGTTAAGAATTTAGAAAGAGAGGGCCATAGTAAGGGATGGAGATTATGGACATGTGTTTGTGAGCCAAAGCAAAGAGAGGAGAATAAGAATAAAAATAATAGCTAGGATATCACAGTGTTTTAAATAACTTAGATATATCAGTAGTATCCTAAGCACTGCAGAAAAAATTGCTTTTTTGTTGTAAGCTACAAGCAATTAAAGTGAATATACAATTTTCAGAAAAACTTGCTTTTTTTCTACCACCATCATTAATATCTTCTTTTCCGGGTTTTAAAATTGCACATTGTTTGCCTAATATGGTTCAAAGCCTGGCCATGAGACTGCTATAAATCTCTTCAACAATGTGATCCCTGTATAAATGAATAACAGCACATTTTGGCTTATATGTTTATTTGCATTAATCTATTATTCTATTATTATACACTATTCTATTATTATACACTATTCTATTATTATACACTATTCTATTATTATACACTTAAAAGGGCTAGAAGATTACACTTACTTATAACTAAACTTGAAATAACTCCAAAGGTGGCAAATTTTTTTGCTGCAGTCGTGGCTGGAAAAAAACGGGGGAAGAGACGGGTAACCCCTAGGGCAGAGGATCACTAGTATTGACAGTACAGATTGTATCTGAGGCAGTAGATGGTGTACTGTCACATGATCTATCTATAGTTGTAAAATATACTCCCCTTCTATATGTATTTTAATTTGGTCTCTGACCGCAATAAAAAGCTTACTTACTTACTTACTTACTTACTAAACTTGAAGAAAATGACCTGTAAAATCCATTAATTTTCTGGGAAGATGCCTATTTCTGACGTAGTTAATTTCATACTAGTCAGTTTTACAATGCAAAGATGTCTGCTTGATTTCCCTGGCTTATATGAGTAGTGTGCATTTCCCTTTATACCTGCATTTTGCTTTCAGGAAAAGCCACATTCAAAGTAAAGCCAATTAAACTTTCCCTTTCTATTCACTGTTTTCCTAGAAAGTCTGACATCCTTCAGTGTGTTTAGAGAAATGAAGAGAAAGGAGACTCTATCCATGTAGAAGGAATGAGATTCCCTGGTTCACTTAATTACTTTGCAAAGGGAAAGTTTCATTAGCCCTTTCTCAGAGTCACAGTACAGTCACAAATGGCAGCTTTTAACAAAACCTCTCCAACCTCATTGACTTTTCTCATCTGGAAACATTTTCAACTACTGCATGTCTCAGTTGTGCATTTCTCTCCCATCTGTCCAAAAGCTTGGTGCTATAATTTCAATTCTGCTTTCCTTAAATTATTTTCCATGTTAAGAATTAGGACTGAAAACTGGCAGGAATAAATGAGAGGATTCCAGATTAGAAACAGCATCAATTGGGCCACCTCCCTGTCAAATAATACACATACTGGTATGTGGCTCATCTAGAAATACCTCTGATTTCATGAGCAAAAATTCTGGCAGGGATGACCAATTCTGTATTTATATCGTACATCAAAGGAGATTTTCAAAGGGAATACCATATCAGCAAAAACAACATAGAACCCTCAGAAAATACAATATTTGCCTTAGCACAGTCTTTTTTATAGAAAAGACAAGACAAGGACTTCTGGCGGTGACGTCAGCGTGTTAGGGACGAATAATATCTTACTGAAAAGTACCTGAACAGGGGATGTCCAGGCTCACAACTCAATAGTCTTAACCACAGTACTATACCTGCTGCCAAAGTTAGTTATGACTTTAAAAACAGCCAGCAAAGAGAATTAAATTTAGTCTTCCAAAGTAGATCAACACTGAAATAAATTTATTTAAATAAAATGGATTGGTTGATTATTTTGTGCCATTAAGTCAGTCAGTGATTGCATGGATAGATTTTCCCCATTGTGATGAGTCCCTAACTTGATCCTTCAGGTCAGTGCATTCATTGTCCCTGTCATTGAGTCCATCTATCTTGCTGTTCACCATCCTCTTCTTTTCGTTCCTTCTACCTTTCCCAGCACTAGAGCCTTCTCCTGAGAGAAGGCTCTAGAACACCTGAGAGCTAGGTGTTTTCAAAATGTCTCCAAAGTAGGATAATTTGTGCCTTAAGTGAGGATTGAATTCTTTGATGATTCATTTGTTTATTTTTCTAACTGTCCAGAGAATTCTCAGGAGTTTCCTGAAATACCAGATTTCAAATGTGTCAATACTCTTTCTAACTTGCACAACTCCTAACTTTCCTTGTCCCAAGTAACACCATTGCCTGTCCTTTGTAGATATAGACACATCACAGTAGCTGAATATCTTTTCCAAAGCCTTCATGGTTGCTTTTCCAAGTGTTAGTCTGGGGTATATTTCTTAATTGCTGGATTCTTTTCTGTTGATAATTGATCCTGAAAAGGTAGAAGTTAACTATAATTTTAATAACTTGATTGTCAGTTCTAAGGCTGATTGTTGTCATTTGGTTGGTCTTCTTTATATTTTAGTCCCATTTTTTTCCCATTCTATCCTTTGGCTTTTATTACTAGAACTTGCATATAACAATAGAATTTAGACTTAGGTACCACTTCATAGTGCTTTACAGCCCTCTCTAAGCAGTTTACAGAGTCAACATATTGCCCCCAACAATCTGGGTCCTTGTTTTACTAATCTCAGAAGGATGTTAGCCTGAATCAATCTTGAGCTGGTCAAGATCGAACTCCTGGCAGTGGGCAGTTAGTTAGCCTGTAATACTGCATTCTAACCACTTGCACAACCATGGTTCTGCATATCCTTTGCATTTTCAGCTATCAGAATACTGTTGTTTGTATATTTCAGGATATTGATATTTCTTTATCCAATTTTAAAATCAGCTCACTTTTTTCTGGTCCAACTTGGAATACATTAAGCATATTGGTTGAATAAATATGGGGAGAGTATAGTCCTATCTCACTCCTTTGCCAACCTGGACGGAGTTTATTTTCCCATGTTCTGCCCGTACTGTGACTTCCTGATCTGTCTATAGGCTTTGCATGAGGATAATGAAATGTTCTGCAATTCCCATTTTCCTAATGTTTGGCATGACTGACAATCAAATGCTATTCTATAATCAATATAACACATGCTGACTTCTTTTTTCTTTTTGCATTCTTTGGCTTCCTCAATCATCCAGCATACATCAGCAATAACGTTTTGTATTAACTGACTTTTCCTAAATCCAGCTGGCATCTCCTTTTCCATTGTATGGCTCCAATCTGCATTGAATGAGTCTAAGTATTATTTTGCTAGCATGTGAAATTAAGAATATTGCACAACAGTTTGCACACTATTAAATCTCCCTTTCTCAACCAAGGAATGTGACCAACCTCTTCTAATCTATTAGTCACCGTATTGTTCTCCAGATTTGCTGGCATAGCTTGGTTAAAATCTGTATTGATTCTTCTGTTGCTTGCCTTATTTCTGTGAATATTCCATCAGGACAAAAAATAAAGCTAGTATAATGAAAACGTCTCACTAGCAGAAATAAGAGCAATAATTCTATACATTGTTAAATAGAAGTGTCCAGAACTGGGCAGTAAAATTTAGATGACCACAGGATAGCAATAACATTTTTGTTTGCAACTTTGATCTGATAACCCTAATACACTGTAAATGAGTAGATTGAAAAATAGCCAAACAACATTTTTACTTTGCTTAATCCTTCTGTTTGAATATAACAAATCCAAATTAATCTTATCTGAGTTTCATGTACAGAATGTTATAAATATGCAACGAAGCTAAAAAGAGACCTCTTTTTACTTCTGCATTCTTTTCTACCTTTTGTCTTGTGTGATCTTTTAGAGAGCTCATCAAGAGTCTATAATTCAGAGAGTTCTCCAGTATTACTCCAAAAGAGAGGGAGCATTCAACAGCCTAAGAAGGGGAAATGAACCCAAAGAAGCATATATAGGAGACTAAGAAAGAAATAGTAGTTTTTATGCCCACAAATAATAGATGAAGTTTGTTGTTTTTGAAGCAGTCTGGACAATTGGCATAATTTATGTAATTTGTATAAAATGACAGCATCCATATAATTGTATAATTATGGCAGGCTTGCACAAGTAACTTAAATGTCATGAATTACAGCAATTTGCATGTGATTCATGCCATTTAACTGTTATAAACTGATATTCAATTGTAATGGACACCTCCTTCCCCCTATTATTTCACAAAACTGAATTTTTACTGTACATCACTTTTATCTCGTCCCTTTCATCTATGTGTGTAAGGATACTAAATGATTACTGCCAGATGTAGCTTGTCTATGGAGATGAGAGGGTAATATCTGCATTTGAATCTATTGTATATCTGTATGTGTATCTATACCTACAGCTATACTCATACAGTATCTGACTATCCTATTTGATATACATCTTATTTCATATACACAGGTAGTCCTCAACTTACAACTCATTTAGTGACCATTCAAAGTTACAATGGCACTGAAAAAAGTTACTTATGATCGTTTTTCACATTTACAAGCATTGTTGCATCCCCATGATCATGTGATCACAATTCTGATGCTTGGCAACTGACTCATATTTATGATGGCTGCAGTGTCTCAGGGTCATGTGATCACCTTTTGCAACCTTCTGGCAAGCAAAGCCAATGGGGAAGCCAGAATAATTTAACAATCATGTTAATAACTTAACAACTGAAGTGATTCTTTTAACATCTGTGGCAAGAAAGGTCCTAAAATGAGGCAAAATTCACTTAATAAGTGTCTGACTTAACAACAGAATTTTTGCACTCAATTGTGGTTGTGAACTACCTGTATATTATTTTAAAAGAATGTAAGAAAAGTATGTTTTCTGACATTTATTCAGCCAGTACACAAAACAAACAGAGTACGGTATTCAAAAGAGGAAAGTCACACAGCTGAAGGTAGGACAAGAAGCAATGAGTGGAAACTAATCAAGGAGAGAACCAACCTAGAACTAAGGAGAAATTTCCTGACAATGAGGACAATTAAATCAGTGGAATGAGTTGGGTGCTCCAACCTTGGAGGGTTTTAAGAAGAGATTGGAAACCATTTGTCTGAAATGGTATAGGGTTTCCTGCTTGAGCAAGGGTTTGAAAACCTTCAAGAACCCTTCCAACTCTTATTCTATTAATTCTGTCTATTAGGGTAAAAATATTCTACAAAGGAAAAATCCCATTCTCCTGGGCTCTACTTCATTTCCCTCAGGTTTCTATAATGGACTTCACTTTGGCTTCACTTATTTGTCAGCTACTTCTTACTTTAATAACTGTTTGTACAATCCAATAATTCCTAGATGATCTGAATGTGTAAAAATCCTATTAGCCATCATTCCATTAATAGTCAATATAGAAGGCCATTACAATTTGCTGAATTTTACTAAATGTTTATAAAGATTTAGCAATCTTCTATTTTGGTAGTTAGCAGAAATAAGAATGGATAGGCACACCACCCACTTATTTCCTTGGGGAGGCAGCATCAAGAACAGAATTAGATTATTTACCTTTTCAGTTCCATGTCAGCCACTGGTTCCTTTTCAGCAATTGTCTCCTTTTCCTCTTCATTTTCCTTATGATCCCCATTCTGCTCTCCTTTTGCTGGTGTGACTCCTTCTGGGCCATTCTCTTGGCTGTTGACTGTTCTATTCTCCTTCGCTTCAGTCCTCACCCTGCGGTGTCGGCTACGCCTCTGACTCTGCCGGAGCCGAGCCCTGTCATCAAAGCTTACGCTTCCTTTGCTTTCCTGATCATTGACATCACAATTCCCGTGAAATGATTTGTGATGCCATTCTTCCCATTCCTTCTTGGCCTGAGGAGATGGGCTTCTCTGGTCATCCCGGATGCTGGGGCAGGGTTTGGACCCTGGGGGTTTTTGTTCCAGACTTTCTCCGTTTGTCTGCTCTGGCCTACCTCCTTGATCACCCTCAATCTTTTCTAGGCCAGAGTTTTCCAGTAACTTCCTTTTCCGAAAAATACTGGCATTTGGATTGAGCAGAGGAGGTTCATCTTTGTTGAGGCCCTCTTGACTGGACATCTGCATATGTCGGCGGAGCTGGCTAGTCCGCTGTTCCCACACAGACATGTGATGTCTCCTTCTCCTGTCCCTCCTGGGAAAGGAAAACAAATGGGTTCAATTCATCTGTGCCCTGTCAGAAACATAAGAACACATACCAGTACATACAGCATGCAACTAAGACCATACAAAATCACATATTGGGACATGATTCTCTCTTTCCTTGAATTTCATGAATGCACAGCAAAATCACAGTATCTCCAGGATAATAAGAGAATCAAGTCCACTTGCATGATGTCAACAAATCACTGGAAGACATTTCATTCCACATTCACTGGGCACATGGCAATAAGCTCGAACAACAGGACAATGAGGCCAAAGACCGAGCACATTCACAACACTGTCTTCGTGAAAGCACCCACCAGATCACTTAAACATATGGCATCAGTCTGCATGTACTGCAATTTTAATACGCTTACAGTACAGTAAAAAAAGTAAGTGTTCATCAACAAGCAGGGGTATGGTAAAGGTGACTTAAAGTATTGCATGCAAGCACAAGGGCTACTCAGGACTGGCCCATTTAGTAGGCAAATGGGACATTTCCTTTACTATTCTGAAAGGGGGGTGATTAGCCAACAGCCTAAAGAGGGAAGATGGACCCAAAGAAGTACATGCACAGGGCTCAGGAAGAAGTAGCAATAGGGGAGGCATGCGGTACCAAGTCCCATTCAGCTCAGTGCCAGGGCGAAGCAAATGCATCCAGGCTGATCCAGTGCCCCACCAACCCCATATTTAGAGCCTGGCAGTGCTTAGGTTCTCCTCTCAATTCTTGGATTCAGTCTGTCACCTGAGCCTGCAGCCCATAACCCACTGTTCTGAAAGTAGGTCCTCTTGGCACATATAGAGGATAACTAAGAAAACTGCTCTTCTCAGTTACTAGGGAAATTGTCTGTTAACATGCAATATTTCTACCCCTGGTGTCATCAAACCTGTACCTCATATAATCTAACAGCTTTAAGGAGCAACTGAAAATTGTAGATGATGCTGTGCAAGTGTTTGTCTGTAGCATTGAATGTTCCAAGGGGTTTTTGCTGATCTTATAAAATTGTATACCATAATTTTATAGACAGACATATGGACACAGGAATAGAAAGACACATGTCTGACATATTGGTAAGCAAACACACAAGATACTGACATACATTCAGGTCGTACATGAACAGTTTGAATACACACTCAATTTAATGGACTGTTTGCACACACACACACCAGTGTAGTTGTCATAATACAGCTTAAGTTGGTTCACAGACTTGTTTCATACATAGAAGCATACTCTGCAAACAAACATAAAACATACTCTCATACTTGTATAATAAATACAGATTATAGACCCACGCTGATTCGGACTATACGCACATAAACACTACTAGATTGAAACATCCATCCATTCTTACAACATAAACATGAAACAACACATACTTGAACTCAATAGCAGGAGTCTATCACATACACACATGTAACCTCTCACAACAAGCAATCACATGCACACATACAGATTACTGGTACGTGGTTCCCACATCGACATGTGGTGTCTTCTCCTTCTGTCTCTTCTGGGGAAGGAAAATGAATGCATTCAGTCCACTGCAATGTCACTGATGGTCCCAGCACTCAGAATCCCATATAATGCACAAGCAGAAAACCAAAGAACTCTTAACACTTGTGCATAAATTCACTTCTGGTGAAATGGGTGGCTATATAAATTTGTTAAATAAACAAACAAAGATCAATCCTAATCCATTACTTTCATAGTGAACATTAAATATAAGCCAATGTTTATGACTTTGGAATACGTATTTTCCACAGCTAAGAAGGTCATTTGTATACAAAAAAATGAAATACATAGATATTTGTTCTGCACTAGATTGAAAGAGTGTTGAAAATGCAGCAAAAGGTCAAAACTTTATGGGAAGCTAGACTATGTGTTTTTCCCTCCTGAAGCAGGATATGTTGTTTTCAGTCTGTGGTGTCTTATTTTATTTTATGTTTTTAATTCCTTTAATTCTTAATTATATTTTGTAAGCCGCCCAGAGTGCATTTGAGTGGATGACTCTATTAAATCTAATAAATAATAATAACAACATGCCATCATTTGGTGCTGAGACAGTAATTGTACAAAGGTTTTTTCTTCAAACTGCAGAGATTTGAGGTCAGTTTCTGGCATTGCATTTACGACTATCAGTATATTAGGAAGAGATACATAATGATAGTAATGATGCCCTTAAGTCAAGTTTGCCTCCTGGTGAGTTATCTTGGCAATAAAATAGAAATGATGTCATTGCTTTTTCTGGGTTGTTTGATCAATCTTCATTACAGCCAACAGCTAACTAGCGGCTGCCATTTGTTGAAGCGTTTTGTTATACAAGAATTATTTAAATATTTCATCAGATTCACCTATCTTGTATCTTGAACACAAAGAAAATGCTTTTTTGATACTTTGCCAATATTTTATAAAAGCATATTCAATCAATGGCACTGTACTGTTTTGCATCTTTTATTTATTTCCACTTGTTGCTACTTCCTAATATGAGCACCTCCAGAAGAAATAGCTCTATATTTCATCTTGAAAATAAGCAACCAATTTTGGGTAATGGGAATATTATAGTGTTGAGTGATTTTCATCAACTTTAAAAAAAAACACAGTAAAAAAAGATAGATTGTACTACTTTTGAACTTCCTCTAAAATATAGTTACAGAGGAGTATTAGGGCATATTGAGAGTATTGAATCTTCAGCAGAATCTTCAACTGTCTGCACAATCAAAAGCAGGAGTTGTCTAATAGAAAAGCTGAAGTAAAAAAATGGAAATAAAAATATATTTAGGCCCATTTTCTACATCATGAAAGTTACATGTCGGATGGTCTCCATCCCACATAATTTTGAGAGCAGTACAACATAAATAGAAAAAAATTCAGTACAACCTCCGAATCAACATTCTTCTTTCTAGACTATGTTATGCCTTCCACATATCTTTTATATTCTTAAAATATTGCAGAAAAATGGAAAGTGGGGGCAGAAATCATAATAGTTTTATGAATGAAAAATAACTCTTAAACATACAGATAAAAATACAGGAAGATTCATCTGCTAGAAATGATTGATGAACTGTGGATATACTATATTTGTGTCTGTTTTGGGATAATACTTTAAATAAAAGGGAACATAGTTTTGTATACAATTCTCTATTTGTACTATCTATAAAATTATTGGTAGTTGATTTAAAATCATATAATTAAAGCAACAAAAAGAATGTTAATCATGTATTAATCAATGAGTTGATGAATTAATGCCAGTGCTCTATCACTAGCACATACTATCAGTAATTATATAATACTATGGCACAAATTGTCAGGCACAAAAGTCCAGATTCACATTTTAAGGTTCAATTAAACTGATTTATTGCTAAAAACCTATGCACAGGAATCTACTTGACTAATGGTCGGCATCTGCTTAGAGATAGATAAGGGTCAATGGCACTCAAGGCAGTTGGGCTTTGTTATTTTGTGTCTACATAAGGATTCTAGGTTTTTCACTGCACTTCTAGGTTCTGTCATCCTTCTCCTATAGACATAAAGGTAATTTATAGCTTTATGCCATGTCTTTCTGTGAATAAACATGCATGGAAAATGGAATGTGTAAGACCCACTCAAAGCAGGTGACAAGGTCAGAAAGGCTTGTTCAAGATAGTCTCCACTGACATAGCATGAAGAAAATAAGAATTGGTTCAAAGGAGGTCCGCCCAGATGTTTCACAAAAAATTGCCCCAGAAGAAAAGAGGTCTCATGGGAATGGAATGAGACTGCGGTGGAAAAGGCCCAAGAGTTATGAGAAAAAGGCCAAAGTAGAAAAGTTGACTCTAATGGACTAGTTAAATCTTGTTGAAAAATATAAAAATATACAGGAATTGTAGCTTAATGGAGCAATTACTGTATACAGAGCTCTTTGGATCTCCTCAGGACAAATCTCTCAGCTGAAATCAATTTTTTAACTGTATGTGCTTCCAAGAATCACATAGGTGAGATGGATGGCTATATATGTTTACTAAAATAAATAAATACATACTGGATGTTCAATATATGTAGCTTAAGACATATGTATATGTCCATGCATATATGTGATGCATTTATACCTATCATAGATCACATATGTGAAGAATATGAGGAAAATATAAATCTTAGTTACCTCAATAATTATTAATTGTCTGCAAAATAAGATATAAGGTTTATAAAATTAACTAATCCCTCATTTGCATATACCAATACTTCTGCTTGTATCATATACAAGGCACTCACACACAGAAGCACTCTACACACAGAGTACATATTTTCCCCACTTTCTTTCAGCAGAAACAGAAGGAAGGAAGGAAGGAAGGAAGGAAGGAAGGAAGGAAGGAAGGAAGGAAGGAAGGAAGGAAGGCGAAGTACTGGGTAGGGAGGGAAATTAAAGAAGTTCAGTGCCTTATGATAGAATGGATTTCATAAAAGGGCCTGGTGGCTTAGCAGACTAAAAGCATTGTGATTAACACCAGCTGTCTGCAATTACTGTAAGTTCGAATCTCACCAGGCTCAAGGTTGACTCAGCCTTCCATCCTTTCTAAGGTAGGTAAAATGAGGATCCAGTTTGTGGGGGCAATAAGCTGACTTTGTATAAATATACAAAAGTATGAAGGCTATTGCTTAACGCATTGTAAGCCGCCCTGAATCTCCGGAGAAGGGCGGCATATAAATCAAATTTTTAAAAAAACAAAAAAAACCCAAGCAATTTCCACTCATTCATTTCTTTTCACAGACCTTCTATTCTTTTCAAGTATGTATAATAGAACCCCAACAAACACCACTCTAATTCCCAGAAAATTATCTGAGAGAAATAACTTCCCCTTGGAGAAATTAGATATTTACTTTTAAAGTTCTGAAACATGGGTGTCCTCTACAACACGTGACTAAATTACTTGATGGACATGCCCCCATCTCTGTATAATCAAGATATAAGATTATCCCCAGAGATTCTGTTTTCTGCCCAAAATTAAGGTCGGTCTGATTGATCTGAAAGTGTGGCTTTATGTGGAGCAAACTGCTAAGTGTGCGGTAACAAAGGGCATAAATTACCATTTTCTGGTTTGGGAAAGGCTGCAATTGTGCTTTAGTAAATTATATTTTACCTGCTATTGGGGGAATCTCCTCCTGGCCCAGAAGTCCATCAATTGTACCAGCTGGAGTCACAAATGTATTTCTGCTTGCTGAACTATAGTGCCCTCTCCCCCTTCAGGAGGTAAAGATGAAGGAAGCTTGGACCCCAAGCCTGTTCCATCCTACTCAGGCCCTCACATTTCTGGGCATTGGGACAACATTTGCACAACTTTCACTGTTCAGTTTGGAGTGTGTTATTAATGATTTCACTCCTTACTGGCACATGAGCTCTCTCAAAAGTGTCATGTAGATATTAAGAACAATGAGGGAGAGGTGAGTCCTGGTGTACCCCACAAGAGAATGCCAATGGTGCAGGCCTCTATTCTCTTCTCTCTCTTCAGTTAGAGTCTACTACTCAGGGAGGAAGAGAAACCCTATAAAACAATATCTCTGCCAATCCTTACAGGTGGTCCAAAGAGATACCTTCATGGTTGAAGATATCAAACTCTGCCACTGGACAAAGAGGGCAGTAGTGGGTTCCACTTACCTTCGCTACCTGTTCGGAACTGTGAGCTCACATGCGGCACTTCTGCACATGCGCAGAACCTTCTGCGCATGTGCAGAGCATCTATGATGATGTCCGGGTGGGTGGGTGGAGCCTCCCGCCACCGCCACTACTGGTTCACCCGAACCGTGGTGAACCAGTAGAAACCCATCACTGAAAGAGGGGTACATTACCTCCATCTAAGCCTACAGCAGGTTATCCATAAGACTGACCAATATAGCTTCTGTCTGTTTTTGACAATTGAATCCACACTGGAATGGATCCAGATATTCCATCCATCTGAAACTCTCTGCCCACCTACCTTCTCAACAACTTTCTTTGAAAAAAGAAGGAGGGAGTCTGGCAATAGTTTTCTAAATTACTAATAGTATTATTAGTATTATTGAGAACCATGAGAAATTTGGTAGATGTTACAGTTGCTTGATAGGAAGAATAAGTCCCTCTCTTTTGTTTTGCATTTTTCTAGCACTTGAGTACAGACTCCATTAGTGTAAGCATTTATAAAAATCTGCTGAAAATATTAATGGAAACAGCATCAGCAGTTTTGATTGACGGGTCTGAAAAAGATTGAATGGTTGAACCATCAACATCAAATAGCTGGAAATATTTTGGTCATCCTTGCCTGGACTTTTAAAAAGTAAAGTTTAATGTCCTTCATGAATAAGATTCACCTAGCCTAGCAATAACTCACATGGTTTTTCTGCTAGAAACTTCTAAAGATTGTCCTTGGAAGCTTCCATATGCCAAGCAAACACTATATCTTATTTTATGTTTTCTCTCAATCTTACAGATTATGTTCTACTCTTTCTTTCTGAGAGTTATGACTGTAGCACGTTTGGGGATGTAAGGTAATGTGGCCTATGATGAATGAGACTGGCAACTCACTCTATAGCAGGCATGTTGGGAGCAGACATTGGACTGACTTCTTTGGCTTTCTGCAGAGCATGCTTTTGATTGAAAGCCTCTTCTTCCTCCTGCTCATCCTAAAGAAAAGGCAAAGGCACTGGTTAAATAGAAGAAAAAGTCACATACTTTGAATGAATGATTTACATAATTATCTCAAGTTGCAACACTAAGGTTTGCACTATCTTTAAATATGCTTGAGATCATGGGTGAGAAAGATACATGGCCTTCGGCCACCTGTATGATAGGCCCAGGTGTACATAAACATTCCTACTAGACAACTACATTGAGATTTCTGCAAGGCTTCAAAGATCTATAAAACATATATCCAATCTACAGGTAGCCCTCAGTTTATAGCCACTCATTAAGCAACTTTTCAAACTTGCAATGGTACAGAACGAGTGGTACTTATGACCGCTCCTTGGAGTTCCAGCCATTACAATGTCCCCGCAGTCTCGTGATTGTGACCTGGGCCCTTAGCATCCAGGTCACAATTAAGACATTGCAGCATCCCGCAGTCATGTTTTCATCATTGGTTATCTTCTTTGCCAGCTTCCCTCAAGCAGATTCAATCAGGAAGCCAGGAGGACATTGCAAAAGGCAAATATGGGATGTTCTTGCTTAATGGTGAAGGCAACCAGAACTGCCAAAATTGCTGTCTCTAAGCAGAATGGCTGTGTTATGCTTTGCTTTATGATCACATTGCTTAGCAATGGCAATTCAGGTCTCAACTGGACAATATATCTATAAAATTATAATCGCTGCTGTTATTCATTTTTACCCTTCCATCCACTTTTCCTGCAATCAACTCAGAGTATTTTAATATTGCTACCCAAGCCAAAAAAATCAAAATGTGCATCATCAAGACTGGTCAAAGACTGTAATAAAGTTATTTGATTTGATTGAATGTACATATAAAATGATGCTTTTCCCATTCAGTTGATTCAAAATTACAGTCTGTTTCCTGGCTTAATGGATCATAGAGTAACCTCAAACTGTGAGATGAAAGGTAAGTAATAACAAAAGTAGCAAAAACAGTTGAAATGGGAAGTGAAAAATGACCTGTAGTCCTTGAATATAAACAAGTAATGCCCTTGCATGTGGATTTCATCTATAAAATTTCTATGCTTAATAACAATAAAATATAGTATTAAATATTATATTCTGCTCATTCTCCAAACTCATCAAAGTAGCTCACATGTAATTTTCTCACATGTCTTATATAGGAGACAGTCAGATTTTGGGCAATACAGAAGACTATGATGTTGTATCATGAGCCCAAGAACAGAAATGCTATATTTACAGCTCATTTCCAATGTACACCAGTTTAAATCACAAAATCATAGAATCATAGGACTGGAAGGGACTTTGGAGGTCTTCTAGTCCAACTCCCTGCCCAAGGTAGGAGACCTTATTGCATCCCAGACAAATGGCTATCCAATCTTCTTTTGAAGATGTTTACTTTATACTTTTTTTTTCTTTTCCTGTTTTAAATATTCACTGATTTTTTTTTAAAGTCTGTGGTGGGGTATAAATTTGAATAATAAACAGAGATGATAAATAATATTTTAATGAATTACCGGTACTTATATAAAACATCACAGGCCTTTTCCATTTAGAGATGCATATTTATCTGACCCCAGAGGCAAATTTAAAAAAATAGATTATTATATTCTGTTTCACTCTTATTGACTGTGACAGAGATTTGTCTGTAATAGAGGGTCTTTTTAACATCCATATACTACAAATGATTAATGCAGCTGGACTAGAAATTAGAGTTATGACATGGTCTATTTCTATTTCTACCAAAACACCATTATGATAGCAGCAGTGGTCGCAGTTTCTTAACTGACTCACTACATATTTTCTAATAACATGGATCATAAGCATACAATTTCTAGTGAAACTCATCTAGGCATGATTCCAATTTATAACTGTAATTTAATAATTGCACAAGTATCAACAGGCAAACTGGAGAAAAATGAGTGAGATTTGTGATACTGAGCTCTTAAAGAGATAACTACAATAAACCCGGATGACTGTAATGAGAAAGAATGATTATATCTGTAAACTAAGTAATCTGAATAGGAAGGATGTAAGCCTAGCTGAAATGAAAAGAGGTTTTGCCTATTTGTGGAAGAAACTCGCAAAAGCTTTTCAAATAAAATCAGTGGGGAAAATAATAAGTAATGGGACTTTAAGAAAGTGAGAAGGCAGATTCTAAGGATATGGTCTCATTTGTGATGGGTACCTGTCCTTTAGAAGTTTAAAACATTTTTGTTGCCAATTTAATTAGCATTGCTTATTCTTTTCTTTTTTTTTGGCTTGCCTCTTTATTGTGCAATTCTCTTCTTTTAGTTAATTGGATTATTTTTATTGTTTTGAAAACCATTAAGGTGATAACTACTACAGAAGGATGAAAGGTCAGGAGAAGGGATGTCTCCTCCCTCTTCTAGAAAAAGGGGTCAACTTATTCTCCAAAGCACCTGAAGACAGGGCAATGGATGGAAATTAAAGTAGGAAAGAACCAACCTAGAACTAAGGAGAAATTTCCTGACAGTTAGAACAGTTAATCAATGGAACAACTTGCCTCCAGAAGTTGTGAGTGCTCCAACATTGGAGGTTTTAAAGAAAAGATTGGACAACCATGTATCTGGAATGGTATAGGGTGTTCTCTTTGAGCAGGGGATTGAACTAGAAGACCTTCAAGGTGCCTTCCAACTCTGTTATTCTGTTATTCTGTTATTCCTAAAGTTATTATTACTAAACTCTGGCTCCTCAATTCCAAATATGCTTGGGCAGAATAGGACTCCTTAATACTGATAAAAAGCTCCTTACATTGGCTGAAAAAGATCTTTTGTTTTATATTAATGCTCTACATGCCAGGTTTAAGCTCTTGACATTCTGTCTCCCTAAAATTTAAGTTTGGTAAATCAGGATTGAAAGTATATCCTATCAAAATGATACAATGATACAATGATTAAGAATACATTGACTTCTGAATTATTAAGATACAGTAGATTGTTAATGCTACAACATTTTATTACCTTTGTCAGTTCCTGTGCATTGGCTAGGTTGTCCACAGCGATGGCCAAGAATACATTAAGTAGGGTATCTAGAATAGTTGAGGGATGAATGAAACTTCACATTAAAGCAGCTAGATGGAAATCATTCAGAATTCTGCCATGTAGAAATTTACTGATTATTCAAGTAGGAAGGGTTTTAGCTTTCTAATCTAAACAATGTCTAAACAATAATTTCATGGGGAAAAGAAAATAGAACATGGATAGACATTTCAATCAAAAAAATGGCCTAAGGAAAAAAGAGTGATGTCCCACTGATTTTTAAGCCCAGATGTACAAAGATGAACATGCCATCTTTTTACCTTCCAAACCCTGTGAAACAGCCTAAAATTAATTGCATGTGTTCTCACTGTGACAACCTTGAAACTTGGAGAACATCATGCAAGTTAATTGGCCAATAAAAGAGTACAAAAAGATAATCCAACCATTATCCCACTTCTCCATCCAAGTATTGAATCTAGTGCTTTTTAAAAGATGAGGGGTTAAGTAACATGCTGACCTATCAAAACCAACGGTGAGGCACTAGTTTGATGTATAGTAACTTAATTTTTTGAGGAGAGTAGGGAGAGCCTAGAAGCCAAGAGGGAGGGCTCCCAAGTTGCATGGAGCACTAATACTTCAACTATAAAAACTATTGAGTACTGAAATTGGAAGTCTGTTGAACGGAGATGATAGTGTGGGAACACAGTGGCATAGAATCAATTCAGGGCTGGCAAAAGTTAAGTGTGGAGATACCCTAATGATGAGCCTTACAGATTTGACAGAAGTGCTCCCATTACTACTTTCTATGGTCAAATGTTATAACTTATATTTCAAAACAATACATTAAGAAGGATACAGTTCCCAAACAATGTGAGGACTATGAAGTAGATGGATGACCACATTCCTGAGCTGACGCCACCTTGAGAGCGAATTCCATTGTACATCACTTCATTCCAATCTTCACCTGTTAATATCTAAACAAAGAGTTGATATGATTTCTATTCTACCTCTCCTCCTAAGTTCAAGGGAGCTTTCAGAGGGATCTCCCTTCATTTTATCTCATAACACCCTTCAAGGTAGGACAGGCCAAAAGAGAGTGAAACACATATAGTTAATTCCATTGGCTAAGGACTCCCATGTGCTAGTCCAATTCCTTCAGCAGGAAGTGCTACTGTTCCAGGCATAGGCAGATTACTAATACTAAATTGTAAACACACACAAAAAAGATTTATTTTCCCCCCAATTCTAGTTTGTTTGTTTATTTGTTGTTTGTTTGTTAATTATATATAAGATAACAGATAAAAGTGTAAACATGGTTTTGAATACAGGAAAAGGATATGAGTTAAAAGAGGTATTAGGACAGGGATGGTAAGCACGGTGATGCTCTTATGCACACCCCTTACAGACCTCTTAGGAATGGGGTGAGGCCAACAGTAGACAGTCTAAGGTTAAAGTTTTGGGGGTTTGGGGAAGAGACCAGAGTCAGGTAGTGCATTCCAGGCATTGACCACTCTGTTGCTGAAGTCATATTTTCTGCAATCGAGTTTGGAGCGGTTTACCTTAAGTTTGTATCTATTGTTTGCTTGTTGTTTGCTAGGTTGTTTGTCTCTAGGTGAAGGGTAATAGATTGGTTAATGATTGATTCCATGACTTTGCAGGTGATGCAACTAGGCCGGGGTTTCCCTTTTTGAAGATAGAGATGACCGTGGCTAGTGACTATTGTCTAAACTAGTGTCTAAACTAGTGAAGAGTTTGTTTCTTTAATTTAACCATAGATACCTTACAATTAATAAGTTAGTTGTTATAGTTACAGTTATAGTTGTTTATAGCTAAAAATACAAGTGGAAACTTTGACAATAGGAACATCCAGTGGTGAGTTCCAACCGGTGTTACCACCAGTTCTCTTTGCGCACACGGTTTGCGCGCGATCGCCGCTTGCATGCTCGCTTCGCTTGCATGCGTGCCAAACTTTTATCAGGTTCGCCTGATACGCCAGTTGCGCCCCTTTCTGGACTGGGACTCCCTACACATGGTCACTCAAGCACTCGTCACCTCTCGTCTGGACTATTGTAACGCTCTCTACATGGGGCTCCCCTTGGGGTACACCCGGAGGCTCCAACTGGTGCAGAATGCGGCCGCGCGGGGGATTATGGGAGCGATGGGGCGCTCCCATGTGACTCCTCTCCTGTGCGAGCTGCATTGGTTTCCAGTGGACTTCCGGGTGCGCTTCAAGGTGTTGGTGATCACCTTTAAAGCGCTCCATGGCTTGGGGCCAGGGTACTTACGGGACCGCCTTCTGCCACCAATAGCCTCCCACCGGCCAGTTCGCTCCCACAGAGAGGGCCTCCTCAGGGTGCCATCGGCCAGACAATGCCGGCTGGCGACCCCCAGGAGGAGAGCCTTCTCTGTGGTGGCACCTACCCCTTGGAACAATCTGCCCCCAGAGATACGAGTGATCTCCGGCCTCAGGACTTTTCGTCGGGCCCTAAAAACTTACTTTTTTCAGTTAGCCGGTCTGTCTTGATTTTAGGGTTGGTTTTTAAAATTTTGATACTGATTTTAAATTGACAAATTTTAAATTATGGGCCAAATTTATTAATTATTTTAAATCTGTTTTTAATTGTAATGTTATGTATAAATGTTTTTATTTTGGCTGTTCACCGCCCTGAGTCCGAAAGGAGAAGGGCGGTATAGAAGTTTGAATAATAAATAAATAAATAAACAAATAAATAAATAAATAAATAAATAAATAAAATAAACTTGCGCTCCACGCAAGCACGTTAGGTTTCTGCCCAGCTGAGGTGCTATCCAATCTGCTGCGCCTATCAGCTGGGCTAAAAAACAAGAAATAAAGGTAGGAATAAAACGGGGGTGGGTGGGACGGCCCAGCTCCCAGTCAAAGAGAACCGGTTTGGTGACATCACATCGTCACCACTACTGGCTCGGCCGAACCGGGCCGAACCAGGAGCAACCCACCACTGGGAACATCTCAAAACTCAAATCTTCATTTCATTTCATTTCTGTGTTGCCCATGCCCAGACTTTATATAAATAAGAAAAGGCTAGGATAGTGTAGTGATGGGGAGTCAAAAAAATCAATTGGTGGATTGTTATTAAGGAATGAAGAATTGTACTGGGTGATTATGGTAACAGATAACTTTGACAATAACTTGAAGAACTTACATATAACTAGGTATGTTGATTCAGTAGAATGTTAAAAGAAATGAGCAATGAAAAGTTTAAAAAACATTTTGTGAAGAGAAATAGTTTGCTAAGCTTCTTCGTTTTCCCTTTTTATTGTATGATGATCGGTAGTTTTAATTGTGTATCAGCTGGTCTGATCAAATTATTCCAATTATAATTTGTTCACATGTGAATTCTAGTTTTTGCCCTTACAATTCAAATTTATTTAACTATTAAATCATGTTGGCATTTTTATTAAATTGCTGTTGTAGAGAGGCTAACTTTTTTAAAAAATGTTATCTTTGCCTGACAGAAAGAAAATGAAACACAAAAAGGAGTTGAACCCATTCTTGGGAGTTGATTTGAGTCCTATGCAATTAGCTTAAGGTCCATACTGCTTTTGTACCCACTCAGTACTGACTGATTGTTGAACTGATTTAATTTCTAAGACATCGCAATCAAATGATGCTCCATGTTGCACAAAGATAATTACAAAATGTATAAGCATACAGTATCTAAAATATAATAAAACAACAATTACAAAGAATAGTATAAAACATATTTATGGTGTTCTTTCAATAAATTAAATTTTAAAAGCCCTCTGGAACAGCTCTGTTTTGACTTGCTTCCAGAAGGGCAATAACATTGGAATTGATGTAGCTTTTTAATATAGTTTTTTTAGGGAAGTGTTCCATAATTGAGGGTTCTTTATTGTATAACTGTAAGCCGCCTGGAGTTGCCGCAGTAAGATTGGTGGCATAGAAGTTTAACAATAAATAAATATTACAAAGAAATATTTCGTACTAGTCTCGTCCCTCCAACTTCACAGTAGCAGGGAACTACAAGTAATTTTTCTGGAGATATTTTTATAAGGAGAATTGATTTTAGTTAGAGTAGGTGGTCTTTAAAGGTAAATTGGTGTCAAACCAGGGGTAAAATCCAGCAGGTTCTGACAGGTTCTGGAGAACCGGTAGCGGAAATTTTGAGTAGTTCGGAGAATTGGCAAATACCACCTCTGGCTGGCCCCAGAGTGGGGTGGGAATGGAGATTTTGCAATATCCTTCTCCTGGAGTGGGGAGGGAATGGGGATTTTTCAGTATCTTCCCCTGCCATGCCCACCAAGCCATACCCACAGAACCGGTAGTAAAAAAATTTGGATTTCACCACTGTGTCAAACTATATAGGGCTTCATAGGTTAAAATTTTCACTTTTAATTGCACCAAATGTGGGGCTTGTTATCTTGCGCCCTCTTATTTAAATATTTTCTTAGCAATTGACCTGGTTCACACATCTTACTAAGCAGTAATGTGATTTGATAGTGGCTTTGCAAAGCATGTGATCTGCAGCTAGGCATTAAGAACTGTTCAACAACCACAATTAAACAAGCCTTAAATTAGCTTGATCTGTAAGCCAGGCCACAATGTTTTATTTCATCCTTCAAAGTAAAATTCCAGTACTATTTATTATTTTTTTCAAGCTGACTGATGGGGAGAAAATCCTTATTTGGATCCATTGTTCAAACATTTCACATCTGTTAATTGACACTTAACTAATCGTGTTATTTTGGATTTGGAAAGGTGGATGATAGTTTGGCTCTAGAGAGAAATTTATATTTCCTCCAAAATGATTTTTTGAAGATATAGTCTCAGATTTCCCAGTTGTTCCAAAATGCCTTTCCATTCTCAGTGGGATCCCCTCTATAGCATCCATACTGCTTATTATCAATAAGGTTAAGGAAAATGCACACAATCAGGACATGCAATGTATTTCATTATACATTACAAAGAGGAAAGGACAGCAGTTTGACATTTAATTATCATTTTTAAGAGCAGAACATTCTTGATATATTATGGCTCCAGCCCCCACCCACCCCCAAAAATAAACTACTGTAGTAAAAACCTGTATGTTGGATTTAATTTCTCTAATACCAGGTTGCAAAGCACAGAGTTATACCTGGAAAACTGTCATGATGGCTGCAGGAAAGGTATCAAAATTTGCCGAAGGAGTGCCATCCATAAAATTAAATCTGTTTACAAAAGAAAACAAATGTGAACATTAATGTTAGGACTTTTCCCCCCCGATTTATCCCACTGAAGAGAGCAAAAAGTTGAATTATCCAACCTTGTGATCTCTTTCTGTAATTCTATATTTCAGAAAGGTGATGGACTTCCTTTTACTGAATTTGCTCACATGAAATCCAGACAGCCATTGTCTGGGATGTTTTAATTTGGATTCCTGCAGGGGGCTGATAGTCTAAAAGGCCCCTGCATGGCAGAAAAAATAGAATCAAGGCAAGAGAATAGAGTGATAATATAGCTGAAAAGATAATTCAGGAATTATCTTTGAAGAGCAATGGAGAGTAATTGCTATTTGTTTTAGATATTTAACTGTATCTCCTTATCATTGAAAGGATGACCTCAATCTTCTGCCGCTTCTCTGGATTCTAACAAATTGCCAATGTGTACAAATTTCCAAACCCAGAAGTAAGAGCTATGAATCTTTGAAACAATTTTTAAAAAACAGATGAAAGACTGTAGAATGCTTATTTCTGTGACAGCTACTGAGTATTATGTTTGTGCAGTAAATCTGCAAAATAGAAGAAAGGCATATCTTCCAAAATCTTTCTTCAGAATCAATTTAACTAGGCCCTCATATCCTGCGTAAGCAATTGCTTCTCCTAGGGCACTTAAGCATTAAGTAGCATTATTGGAAAATGTTATGGAAGCTTTTGGAATAATCTAGCATTTTGGGTGACACATTAAAGAAGCTTTCTTTGGTTATGTACTTACCTGCCACCAAAAAGCTGCATCCCAAGTAGAGCAAAGACTACAATGAAGAGGAAAAGGAGGAAGAGCAGGCTGATAATAGACTTCATAGAACTCATCAGAGAGACCACCAAATTCCTCAAGGAAGCCCAATACCTGGAAAATCCAGATGTGGTTATAGCCTGCTTCCAAAAGCATCACAAAATTGTTTTATTTGGGAGCACCAGGATTTATTTGGGTAACCAGAATTTAGCAGAATTTTGCCATAGTATCATAGCATCCTAGGGTTGGAAGAGACCTTGAAGGTCTTCTAGTCCAACTCCTTGCCCAAAACAGGAGTGTTCATACCATTCTGGCAAATCACTGCCCAGTATTTTCTTGAAAACTTCTAGTGATGGAACATCCATGCTGTAGCAGGCAGGCTGCTCCATTGCTTAATAGTTGTCACAATCAGGAAATTCCTCTTTAGTTCAAATATCTCTCACTGTAAAGCTTCTACCCCTTTGGTTCTTGTCTTATCCTCAGGAGCTAGGGAGAATATATCTAATGCCTCTTCCCTGTGACACCTTCATGTATCAGAAGACTTCTATCATACTTCCCCTTAATCCTCTCATCTTTAAACAAAACATAACAAGATTTAGCCCCCAAGCCAGTGGTGAAATCTAAATTTCTTTCCTACTGGTTCTGTGGGCGTGGCATGGTGGGCGTGGCTTGGTGGTGGGGGTCATGTGACTTGGTGAGCGTGGCTATGCAACTATGTGACTGGGGGATCAAAAGACAGAAACTCACTAAGAATGTCCTGATGGAGCAGGGTTGGAGTAGAAGACCTTCGGGTTTAGTTTTTAGTTTTAGTTTTTATTGAATTTCTATACCGCCCTACTCCCGAAGGACTCAGGGCGGTGCACAGCCATGAAATAAAACACATAGATATACAAAATTTAAAATCAAATAAAATGAATTAAATAAATTTGGCTGAATTAATACCCATAATTTAAGATACCCATATTTTAAAATACAGTAAAAATTTAAAATTTACACTTAAAAGGGAGAAGATTTAGGCGAGGCCAGCTTGATGAAATAAAAGCGTCTTCAGCTCGCGGCGAAGGTGCGCAGGTCCAGAATCCTCCGTATATCTGGGGGGAGCTCATTCCAGATTGTCAGTGCCCCCACAGAGAAGGCTCTCCCCCTAGGGGCCAACAGCCGACATTGTTTGGCCGACGGCACCTGGAGGAGCCCCTCTCTGTGGGAGCGTACTGGTCGGTGGGAGGCTATTGATGGTAGTAGGCGGTCCCGTAAATAACCAGGTCCTAAGACTGACCAGGTCCCTTCCAGCCCTGGATTATCCTCTGAAGCTGCGTCTAGTGCCAGGTTTGTAGTCCTTACTTCCTCTCCTTTTTCTTCCTTCCTTCTTTCTTTCCTTCCCTCCTTCCTTTTTTTTATTTTATTATTCATATTTCTATGCTGCCTACTCTCTGAAGACTCTGGGCGGCTTACACCAAAGACAGTATACTAAATAGCATATTGCCCCCAACAATCTGGGTCCTCATTTTACCCACCTCGGAAGGATGGAAGGCTGAGACAACCTTGAGCCGGTGAGATTTGATCCACTGATCTGCTGAACTAGCAGTCAGCTGAAGTAGCTGCAGTACTGCACTCTAACCACTGTGCCACCTTGGCTCTTCCTTCCTTCCTTCCTTCCTTCCTTCCTTCTTTCCTTCCTTCCTTCCTTCCTTCCTTCCTTCCTTCCTTCCCTCCCTCCCTCCTTTCTTTCTTTCTCTCTCTCTCTATCTCTTTCTTTCAGAAACACCCCCCACCCCGTTTTTGGCCTATACCCCCCGCCCCGTTTTGGCCTAGCAAGCTTCAGGACAGCCTGCTGGGAGCAAAAACGCACTCCCCCACCCCACCCCCATAAAAAAAAGGTTCCAATGATCACGTGCCACAGCTGTGATTCTCGGAGCCTTTTTTTTACCTTTTAAAAGCATTTTTTTACTACTGGCTCAGGCAAATAGGTATTAAAAAATGCTTTAAAAAAGAAAAAAAAAGGCTCCAATTATCGCATGGCCCAGCTGTGATCGTCGGAGCCTTGCTTTTACTTTTTTAAATCATTTTTTTACTACCTATTCGCCCAAGCCGGTAGTAAAAAAATGCCTAAAAAGTTTTTTAAAAAAAGTTCCGACAAATGAATGATGTCGGAACTTTTTTTTTTTTTTAACTTTTTAAAGCATTTTTAACTACCGGTTCTGGCATGGACCCCTGCATGTGCAGAGGATACAAAACAACAAGCGGGTGGGTAGGCGGAGCCTCGCGCCAGGATCGCTACCGGTTCTCTGAACCACTCGCCACGCTCACAACCGGATCGGGCAATTCAGTCCGAACCGGGAGCATTTCAGTCCTGCCCCAAGCTCTTTACCATCTTTGTTGCTCTTCTCTGCACTTTTTCCAGTTCCTCAGCATCTTTTTGTATTATGGATAACTAATAACTGTATACAGTTCCAGATGTGGCCTGATAGGTGTAGCACTCCCTGTGACCTTGACACCAAACCTCTATTGATGCTGCAGTGGCTTTTTTGGCAGCTGCAATACATTGCTGGGACATTCTTAACTTGTAATGTACCAAGAGTCCCAGATCTTTCCTGCAAGTATTATTGCTAAGCCAGATACTACCAATCTTGTATGTGCTCTGTAGATATGGTTTTTCTTACTTAAATGCAGAATTTTACATTTCTCAACAGTGAACAACATTTGTAGGATAGCACCCAATGTTCAAAATTTTCAAGATCCTTTTGAATCTTGAGCCTGCATAGCCTTTCCCCCCACTTTGTATCACCCACATATTTTATCAGCATGACTTCTGTTCCCTCATCTAAGTCATAGATGTTGAACAGTGCTATGTCCAAGGCATAACCTTTGAGGTACATTAAAGATCACATATTGGATATAGTTGTTCAGCCAAGTGGTGAGTCCATCTTATAGCAGGAACATCCAGCCCACATTTTTCCCACTTCATCAAGAAGGAGACTATGATCTGCCTTACCAATTCCCAAAGACTAAATATACTACATTCACAGCATTCTTTTGGTCAACTAATCTAGTCATCTCATCAAAGAAAGCAATAAGATTTGTGTGGCGTGACCTGTTTTTAACAAATCCATACTGGATTCTGATAATTACCCTATTTGTTTCTAAATGCTCAAACGCCCACTGCTTAATTGTTTTTTGTAGAATTTTCCCAGGTATTGATGTCAAGCGAATCGGTCTGTGGTTTCCTTTTTCTGTTTCTTAAATATTGGAACCATGTGAGCTGTTTTCCAGTCTTCTGAAACTTCCACTATGTTCCAAGGAAAACGTATGAGCATGGGTGTGTACGGTATATAAAGGAGAATTATGTGTTATTATATCAGTTTTAGTTTTCTAAATTTTTGCTTAGCTTTTTATAGGTGGATAGCCCAATATTATTAACACTAAGGATGGCAAAGGAAAAGGGGGAAGTTATTATCTGTCAATCAAACAATCAAAAAGGCAGAGAAAAAGGACAGAGGAAACACTGAGAAAACAGGTAGAATAAATCTCACTTTGTGACTTTAAAGATCCGTAGAAGTCGTAGAGCTCGCATGACACTAATCCCAAAAGAGGTCCCAGGTCTAAAGATAGCCCAAACTACTTCGAAGATGCTCCCCACTGTAACCTAAGAGAGAAAACATGTGCAGAAGAAGTCCTGAAATAATACAGTGGTCTCCAAATTGCAGCCCTCTGAGAAAACTATATTCGACTATAATCCCAATAGTCTCTTTCAACCAGTATGAACAATTCTACTTCTCAAAAGGTGCTTCACACATTTGTGCTGTCTTGTGCACACAAGATCAACAAATATATTTATGCTTTGCAATGAAACAAAGCAATAGCAACAATGAACCTGCTATATATTTTATTTCATTTGTTTTAGAGCTACTTTGCATTCCAAATTGTACAAAATCCTGAAAACAATGCAAAGTACTGAATCACTGAACCCTAATAGAAACAACATACTGGCTAGTTTTATGGCAATAAGTAATCAGAGCTTCTTTCAAAGAATCCTAAAAACGGTGGCTTCTTAGCAATGCCAAATAGCTTGTGTTGGACTCTTCTACCTTACAGAATTGTAGTTCCAACTATTTTCTGGAGAGAAATTATTTTTTAACCAATTAGGACTGGATATAGGTATTCCTGGATTTTGCCCATTAAGAGTAAGGACAAGAAAGAAATGTTTAAGAAGCAATGGTTTTGCTATTTTTATGTATGATTATTGCTGCAACATTACTATTTATGCATTAATAGAAAGATCTAAAGCAGAGCAATGGATGATGAATATGACAGAGCTAGCAAAGGTAGCAAAATTGATTGTTTGATTAGAGAAAGATCAACAATTATATTTATTAGTAACTGGAAACCGCTTATGGACGTTTTCCTAAAAAAAGACAAAAATGAAGTTGTAATTGATGATTTGGTGATTCGAAAGGGTAGCATATGTAAAGCAGGAAACTATGATATAACCTTAAAGAGAAGATAAAATATAAATCAATTTATAACCATTGTCAATAAGATCAGAAGCCACTTCCTTATAAACTTTTCTTTTTTCTTTCTTTCTCTTTTTCTGTTTCTTTTCTATTTTCTTTTCTCACTATGCACTGATTTTCTTTATCTGTTCTATTTCTTTTTCAGTTCCACTGGTGGAAATTACCAGTGAGCAAAATCATTGCTTCTTTTATATCCATCCATCCATCCATCCATCCATCCATCCATCCATCCATCCATTCATCCATCCATGATATTCCTGGCTCTATACAATAAAACTATCTCCCACTATATTTTTACCTGTAGCAGTGATATTTTCCCAGAAATCTATTTTTGTAGGAAGAGCTGTACCTTCATAGCCAATTAAAAGATAAGTTTGAAGAAACACCTTCCTTCTGACATACATAGACTACATAGAGGGACTGCACACATAACCATCAGTTTAATCAAATTACTGTAAAACTTTCCTCTGAACCAACTTCCCTTTGCTCATCTATGGCACCGCATTCTCTGCCTTATTCATTTATAAGGGTTTATTCCCATCAGTGCATTTCCTCCAACTAACTTATTTCCTTCATTATCATTTGCCCTGCTTACCCCGCAGTCAAAACAGTTGAAAGAAGAATGGAAATAAAGACGTGGTCCCATTCCATACATCTTCAAGGACATCTCTAGGAGGAACAGGCCCAGAAAGATAAACTCTGCATAGTCTGAAAGAAAGCCATCCAAGTGGGTTAGTTCCAGTTCTACCTTTCTGTCTCATTTATTTTTGAAAGAAAATTTATAAAAATGAACAAAATACCCTCAAATATCAGGCTGACATTGTCAAATTTCTCTACCTGATTGGGCACCCAATCAAACAACATAGGTCAGAAAAGTTAGTTACAATCATCCGGGAGCTAGAAAGAGTCTTTATAACTGCAGCGTATAAAAATGTGGGGAACATGATAAAAATTGCTTTTCTATCCAACTTCCAAGAAAAATTAGAAGGCACATCAGTGGATCATTGCCCAATTTCTGCTGATGAGCTTTTCCCTGCTGGTATTCTTACAAAGTAAGTTGTGTTTTTATATGATCAAACCAGATATTTGAGAGATTTTATTTGAGTCAGCCTCTCAATATCATTAAAACACAGATGTCTGCAATAAAAATAAATGGTAATGTATCCGAAGAAGTTAGAAGTTAGTCAATCTCTGCTCTAACTATCCTTCAAGCATTCTTCTTTCTGGACACCTAATGATGTGAATTATTTTGATTTACTTTAGTTTAGTTTACTTAAGCAAAATCGGTAAGAAGCATGTTTCTTCTTTTGCCCCTTATTTCATGTACAAGCAGTAATATGGGATGTCCAAAAAATATTTTGGAAGCCTTTTCATGTAGTAAGCAAAGAACCTGCTGTAGGGAATTTAGTGGATTGGGTTAGCAGTTGTTCAGAACTCAAGAGTCAAACATTTTTCTCCAGATTTGGCTTGTTGCAAAAGTTTATCAGTAATTTCACAATTTTGTTCTTCTGACTTGCTATTGTTTCCAGGCCTGTTGTTCTTCCAGCTATTATTTATCTGGGGTGCTGTTGTGGCATACACAATTTTGTTTATAAGCACCCATAATGCCATTACCAAATTAAGTCTGTAACATCATCAACAACATAATGTGGGTTGTCCATTTTATTAGTAAGAGTAAAAAGGAATGAGGTCAGTGATAACCAAAACATTACTATTTCAATTTACAATTCTAAAAACTGGTCTGTTTGAAAATGTGAATGCATTTTATATGTTTTCCTAATATATGCATTTTCCTTTTCACTTTCTCCTAATATATTCATTCTGCACACACTAACAGATTGTGAACTACATTACAATATTCAGGAAAATGTAGATATTTTCATATAGCTACTTTTTGGATTGCATTTCTTTTGGGTTATGCATTGAAAAACCTCAATATCATTCTCTTCAGTAAATGCAACTGAGGATTTGCCCTAACTTAATTGTGGAGGTAAGAAGGAGATTTATCGCTGCTCTCATGAATTTACTCAATGAAATATAATTTTGATCTAAACTTCTGTCACAATATGCTTATGCTCCACAATCACCAAAATTCAGTCTCTGTGTGGAGGTGAGACACTTTTACTTAAAATGCAGTTGGTTCTAGGTTACCGTTTCTTGTTCTCTGCTTCAAATCGGTTGCAAGAATGTTGCATGAACAACACAGAACTCCATCACTTACTTAGCAGGTGTGTAAGCCACCCAGGCTGTTTGTGATGGACGATAGCCACACAAGCAGTGTTGAGGGCCACTATGCCCAGGACAAGCCAATAGAACACCTGGGATTTCACCATGTGACGAACAGAGATCCGTAGGAGGCGTTCCTTGTGTCGGAAGTATGAGGCCCCATCCAATTTTGCACTTTTGATGCTGGATCGAGCAAGTGGGGTTCCTACAATGGAATGAAGAAGAGAGATAAGAAGTGCTGAGAGCTAGTAGAATTCACTATAGGCTTTAATTATTAAAAAGCTTACAGTTATTCTGTCATTGTCTCTTCCATCATGAGGCCTTTCCTTACCAGTTTGGAAAATTTTCTTCCTACCTTCTGTCACAAAACTTTACAGGGAGCAACAATGGAAAAAGGTACAAGTGTAGCATCTCCAGTTGACTGTATAGCAGCTGTAGTATAGCAAATATACAATTGTCCACTTTACTTACTGTATTTTTTGGAGTATAAGATGCACCGGACTATAAGACGCACCTACCTTTTTTGGTGAGGAAAACAAGAAAAAGAAATCTGCTTCTGCCTCCCAGCGATTTTGCCTCATTGCAGCAAACAGCAAACAGCCTGCTTTACTTTCATTTTGTTTTCAGCAAAGCTCGATTAGCACAAGAAAAAAAATCTGCTCCCAGCAATTTACCTCCTTGCAGCAAGCAGAAGAGGCCCGCACAGCAATAGGCAATGGTAGTCCCTTCAGCCTGAAACAGCTGAGAGTCGGGGACAATCAATTTGTGCTAATTAGGCTGTGCTGAAGCTGAAATGGGCTGTTTCTTCTTGCTGCTTGCTGCAGGGAGGTAAATTGCTGGGAGGCAGAGGCCAAAGGGTGGGGGGCAGTGGGTGGGAGGGGCTACATTCGGTGTATAAGACACACTCAAATTTTCACCCCCTTTTAGGGGGGAAAAAGGTACATCTTATACTCTGAAAAATATGGTACTATAGGTCTGATCTGTTTCTTCACTTCTGTTTGAATGTGGCTGTTTCATGATTTGGGACAAATATTATACTATAGTAGAATGAAGTACCTTAACTAGCTGAAGGACATACATTGTTAGTTTCATCTTACCCACAGACGAGATATCCACACGCTCATCACTAGAATCACGATTCATGGCTTCTGTCCGGTTCCTTTTAATAGTTGCTCTCCTAAGTACTAAAAAAGGAGAAGAAAAAGCACATCAGTAAATATTACCTCTGTTATGAAGTAACAGTGGGCAGTTCCTAACTTTGACTTTATAATAACTGAGCAGAAACTCAATTATTCCTGGAGGTACATTATAATAAGAGCCAATAATGGTAGGCATTTCACTGGGTATATACACTATACCTTGCCTTATGATATAATACATATCACTTAACTCCATATACTTTTATTATTTTAGTGTATGAATTCTTTGTTATATATCTCCTAAAATTAAAGTTGGACATTTTGCTTTAGATATAATTTCTAGATCACTATGAGGGTTAAACTAGGAACCAGTTGTTCCCAGGGCAGAGATGAATGCTATGTAAGCATACAAGAATTGCTTACTTCCAAAACCATTAAGTGTTGTACCATGTATCCATTCATTTGGAAGGGGAGGAGGTGGAAGACATGGCCCCAGGGCTGTAAAACCCTGTTATCATTGTTCACTGAGACAACATTATCCATGTCTCAGTACAATTTCTAATCGAGCTGACTCATATCTGAGTCTTCTAAAATCCAGCTGAAGAGTGGAATAAAATAATGAAGTATTCAGAGATCTGTGATTTACTGCCAAGCCATAATCTGGGGAGCATGATGATCAGGACAGGGGATATCTATCAGTAGTGGGTTTCTACTGGTTTGCCCCGATTCAGGCGAACTGGCAGCGGCGGCGCTGGGAGGCTCCACCCACCCACCTGGACATCATCACGGACACAGAAAGTTCTACGCATGCACAGAAGCGCCACGCGGGAGTAAAGCGAGCGCATGCACGAGCACGCTCACAGTTCCAATCCAGTAGCAAAGGTAAGTCAAACCCACTACTGATATGTATATGTGTGCTTGTATATTTGTTATGGCTGACATCAACTATAGATAAACTAAAGCTGAGAGGATATTTATAATTTGGGTTTATTCTACAATTACTCTGTATGGTCTGATATCCAAAGTATTATTAATAACATTTTTCAAAGAGAAATATGGCTTAAAGATACTCAACTATATACTGAAAACTTGGAATACATTTGTCTAAGAAAAGTGTTAGATTTATTGAACTTGGAGTGTTGCCAAGAAGATAGCACTTTGTTTTGTTGGAAAAAACTGTCATACTTCATACTGGATTGATATAGGCTCACTTTTTAGCCTTTCAATGGACTCCTTACAAAAATAATGGAAAAACCAATCAGTTAGATCCTGTATGGACACATATTAATTCGCTCTTAAAAAACAAAGTCACCATTGCATACAGTATCTTGCTTTGTTAGTTCTATTTTAACTATTTTCTCTATGTATTTATTCAAGATTTTTTTTCTTTTCCATATTCAGGTAGTTTTCATTTAGCTACCATAATTGAGACCAGAGATTTGGTTGCTATGCAAGGCAGTCACAAAATGAAACCACAACTGTGCTTATGATCTTATTCCATCTTTCAGCTTTACAGATTTGTAAAGGTTGTGGAATTATCATCTGATATGGAAACCCTATGCTACTCTTGCTTATTAATAGGTTGAACGGACCCAAATTTCTGTATCTGGGATGTTTGAGTATGCCAGCACCTGGATCACTTGACAAACCTGCCATGTGATGCTTTCCTGGCTGCTAGACTTTTTTATTCCTCTTACCTGATCAAGTAGCACAATTCGGGAACAATCACAAAGAAAAAACAACTTATAGAAGACACAGATTCATGCCCTGCTGCTTTTCCATTGCAAATCCCCTTCTTTCTCCACTTTTGGCTGTCTCCATAAATAGACAGAAAGGTAGAAAAACCTGGATGTGTGGCATGGAGGCAGTTTCACCCCATCTTCTACTGACAAACATGCATGGGCTGTGCATAAGGAGTTACTGACGTACGACTGTGACAGCAACTGTACTGTGAATCAATTAGAGAAGTGAATAGTTATTTTATGAGAGAGAAGGAGCCTTACCTTCTAAGGCTGATGTGCCAGAATTTTTGTTCTCTTCAGCCAGCATTACTTCCTCTAGAGAAAGATTTATAATTGATTTAGTTATTCAGTTGCCTAGCTTTCTTGAACTTTAGTGAAGCAAACAGTTCTCAGTTCTCATATCCATTGAAATAGGGGGAAGAGGATTAATACAAAGGGGGAGGTAAGAAAATAAAGCAGCACAAAATAAGCTTAAAATAAAATTATTCCAATGGAACAATTTAAACATCTAAGGTTCCAAGGACAGCTTTAAAGAATCAAAAATTTAGTCTTTTTCAAAGGGTTTCTAAGCAGTGGTTAGAATGCAGTACTGCAGGCTATTTCTGCTGACTCTGGCTGTCTGCAATTTGGCAGGCCGAATCTCAACAGGCTCAAGATTGACTCAGCCTTCCATCCTTCCGAAGTGGGTAAAATGAGGACCGAGATTGTTGGGGGCAATATGCTGATTTTGTAAAATTGCTTAGAGAGGGCTGTAAAAACACTGTGAAGTAGTATATCAGTCTAAAAGTGCTATTGCTATTGCTCTCTTAGGCTGAAGCATCACAATCAAGGGAGAAGAAAGCTTAAAGCTTAGAGCTATATCTTTTTGCCTTGAGTTCTAACATCAGAAACTTTAAAGTGGCTTCCAAAACAAAATATAAATAATAGTTTCATTGGTAATAAGAGCATGAAAATATTGGAGGCACAAAATACAATTATTGTACAATTGTACAGTTAGAGTACGAAAGGAATGTCATTCCATAGCATAACCCTATGCAAAATTTCTGAAAACACATACTTTGGGGGACTTGGTAAGGAAAACAGCCTGGTTCAAAATGGTTCACAGAGTTTTAAAAATTAGCAATTACTAATATACATAAAGCATGATTCTGATTTCAATAGCTGAAACTGCAAATTATGTTTTGGTCTGGTTTGGTCCAATGGTTATGAGATGTTTCGGCCTAGTTTGGGGTAGTGGTTAAAGTCCCCAGACTATAAACTAGAATTCCTGTTGCAACCAATGGATCAATTGATAAAAAAAAAAGTGGTTTCTGCACTCGTAAGAAGAAGAAGAAAAATATATTTCAACAATCTATCTTTTTCAGGTACAGAAAGAGGAATGGGACATGATAACAAACTCTTAACATTTTCTCTTTCACTGTCTGCTTAAAATTATTTTATGTCAGCTCTTTTTTCCTTGCTGAACAAAGCATAAGAATACCATTCATTGGAAGGGATTGCTCTGCTCACTTTTGTTTGTTTGTTTCCTTGTGTCAGGGATGGGGGTGGGGACAACAGATTAGCCAGTTTTTGAATAAATTAACCCCTTCATCCCTGAACAATAATAGTATGATTTATAACTGTGAGATCAAAGTAAAGAAAACTTTTATGAAACCAACTTATGTAGAAGTACAGTAAATCAATGAGTCAGTGGATTCAAAGATGTAATGCAGAGATCCTCAAACTATTTAAATAGGGGGCCAATTCACAGTCCCTCAGAGTCTTGGGGGTGTGGACCAGCTGGGGGGCATGGCTAGGTGGTCATGTGACTAGATGGGCATGGTCAATTTAGCAGTCCATTAAACAATGCACACAAATTAAACTTTAATTGGTTTTGCTCCTGGGGGTGTTTTATTTGCTTTTGTTCACATGTTGCTCTTTTGGTTGACTTCTTTTTACAAGATCATTTTTTCAGTTGTTTAGGAGTCTAGTGGTCCACTTCAGGAAACTCAGTTTTGCAGCAATTTTTCTCTGCCCAAGGAACTTACAATCAACAAGTCTCTGTCTCTCTGTCTCTCTCTCTCTCTTTACCTCCCCCTCTCTGACTCTCTCTCTCATTTTCTGTCTGTCTTTCTTTGTCTCCCTCTGTCTCTTGTCTGTCTCTCTCTCTCTCTTTCCCGCCTCTCTCTATGTCTCTCTCTGTGTCTTGTCTCTCTCTCTCTCTTTCCCTCCCTCCCTCTCCCTCCCTTTCCCTCTCTTTCTCTCTCTGTCTACCTTCTGAAGACAGGGGAGGTCAAAAATGGGGCATGCGGACCTCAGGAGGCCTCAGTGTGCCCTGTTTTTGGCCTGCCGAGTGCTACTGGAGGCAGGGGAAGCACTCTGCAGTCAAAAAATAGGCTAAAAAGGGCCGATTTTTGGCCTCCTGGGATGTCCACATGTTCTGTTTTTTACCTCCCCACCTCCAGAAGACTTTTCAGGCCAAAACTAGGCTAAAACAGGCCCGTTTTTGGCCTCCCAGGGCATCCACATGTCCCATTTTTCATCTTCCCTACCTCCAGAAGCACTCTGCAGGCCAAAAATGTTGGCCTTACCTTCCAATTCCAGCCCATGGGGCTCGCGAAGGTAAGTCTTGTGCTTGGCCAAAGGGTAGGGGCCAGCAAGTGGGTGGGGCAATAGGGCGGGGCAGCTTCATAATCCTGCGCGGGCTAGATTAATGGCTTCAGCGGGCCATATGCGGCCAGCAGGCCGTAGTTTGAGACCCCTGATGTAATGTCAAATACCTTTGCTCCGTTCAAAACATGTCTCTAATAAGAAATATCTGACTGGCAAAATATCATTTAATGGGCTAATTGTGCTTGACAGAAAACAATTCCCAGCTATTTTGCCAGTATCAGTTTCAGTTATTGCTTTCTATTTTACAAATAAACATCTTTAGAAATATAAACATTAAAATGGCAGCCTAATTCTCTAAAATAAGATTTTGGATCATAATGAAGATGGTGCAGTTTGTCCACAAATAGGCCTCCATCATAGAATAATCAAATTTGGCAGTCAATATTAAATGTACTGAAATGAACACTTTGAATTGTGCTTGGAAAACAACCAGCAACTAATATAGATATTTCAGCATGGTAGTGATGGAGCTATCCTGAGAGATGTCATTCCCTACCTGTTCAACCAATTTCAGGGCCAGCTGTAATGTTGAAACTATCTTCAACAGCTGCTCTGCAAAGAAAATATAATCTAACCTTGTATAATTGCTCCTTATGTCACTCTCTTCCAGGTAAGATAATTTGTAAAACTCATAATTCTACTCCTATACACTATGAAATTTCATTTGAAATTGAAGTTCAAAATTATGTTAAAGCATATCTACTTTATACTTGCTGACTTTGCTATTGAAATTTCCAGGAATGTAGCAAGTTTTGCACTATTGCAATTGTTATTACAAGACATTGAGTTTGACTCATGCTGATTAAGGGCACTGAATCTTCCTGTGTATAAATGTGTGCCAGTTTGGTTTAGCGGTTAAGACAACAGCCCAGAAATGGGGAGACTGTGAGTTCTACTCCCACCATAAACATGAAAGCTGGATGGGTGACTTTGGGTCAGTCAATCTCAGCCCAACCCACTGCACAGGGTTGTTATTGTGGAGAAAATAGGAGGAAAGAGTATGTTTGCTTCCCTGAATTATTTATAAAAAAAATAATACTGGGATAAAAATAAATAAATAAGTAACCATCTGTCTTTATTTCTGTTTTTAATTAATTTATTTTTAGAGGTGTTATCACTAATATCCTTCTGTACCCTGTTTTTTTTTTTGGTGTTTTTGGAAGATGGGTTTTCCTATATATTAATGAAATTAAAGTTAAGTCAGACATGTTGACTGAATAGTCCAACAGCCATGACATATCCAGGTAGAGTCCCAGATTACAAACTTCTTTTTTCATAAGAAATGCAATCTTATTCAGAACAAGCAGATATTCTAAATCCTGAAGTCACGTCTTTGGATTTAGCAATTATATCTTTTCCAAATTCAGTTTCAAATTGTATTCATCCATCCATCCATCCATCCATCCATCCATCCATCCATCCATTTATTTCCTGGAGTTATATGGGTGCCTATCTCATATATGTGATTCTGGGTGGCTAATTCAATAAAAAATCAGTGCAATAAACAATGGAATTAAATAAAACACATAAAACATAAAATGGCTACCAGGAATAAACCTTTCATCTCATCCCTTTTCTTAGAGAAAAGCCAGATCTTAAGAACTTTATGAAAGGCCAGAAGGGTTGGGGCAAATCAATTCGTGGTGTTCCAGAAGGCAGATACTGAAAATGCATTGTTTCCCTGGTCCTGACTGATGATAATCTAATAATCAGTTCTTGAAACATGCCCTTTCTGCGAGACCTGATGGGATGGGGTAGAGACAATCTCTTATAACCTGAAGATATGCAAGAAGTTTTGAGGTGTCCAATCCTGAAGCCACTGTCAACTCTGAAGCAAACCTGGCTGGGGCCATTTTGAAGGCTTCAGGGTTTCCACAATGCAAAGTTAGGATAGGGAGGAGGAACATAGTTAGATGCGGGTTTTGTAGCCAAAACAAAATAGTTTTCTGTGAGAACCAAGGACATTCCAACATGTGGCTGCAGAGAGAAGTCCGGTTACCAGGTGACCTTGATTGGACAATGTGACTGATTGTTGGGAAAAGGGGAACTTTCACTTTTTAATCAGGTGAAAACCGCGGGAATTTTCAGAATCAGTTTTCACCAATTTGTGCCAATATGATATATCCAATAAAATTGTTCTTTGAGGAAGCTGCCTGCCTCGGAGTTCTGACACCCACAGAAGAACTGCTCAGTATCATCAGTGTATGCTCCAAAAATGCATGAGTTTCTTCAAACTCATGTATGATTCTCCAAAGCAACTTTACATAAATGGTAAATAGCATCAAATATGGAACAGGAATTCCCCTATTTTGATGAGGTAACAGTGGATCCACCAGAATCTGCACTCTTTCTAGAGTCTCAACATCTTTTTTACATTGTGGCAACCAAAACAGTAATCACAAACAAAAATAATTCAGAGAAATCATCAGCAAAATTATTTGAATACACTCTAGTTGCTTTTTTAAGTAAAAAGGTCTCTCCTTGAACTACTGTGTCAATTTCACTTATTTTTCATGAAACAACTTTCTCCCCAGCTCTCTTATGACATCACAACAATGTTATATGACATTATTCATCTATATTGTTGTGTAGGAACAAGGAATACATTCTACTGGGATTTATAAGGGCACTGTGATGGTCCTATGTAGATTCCTAACCCGTTTAAGCTAAAAAAAATATATGCCTTTTAAAAAACAGCATGGAATATTTTAGCAAATTTAAAAAAAAAAACTCACCAGATGCTCACACCTACACAAGAGGTGTGCAGCAGAACACTTCATTTACAAATAAGATAACAATAAAACTTTATGAAAAGGAACTTAAAAAAAAGAAAGCATATTTTTAGAAACAAATGGAACAAGACTGAATATAGGAAAAAGTAATTTCATTGTCTCGCCAACAGTATTGGTGCAAAGACTAGGACAGGTATCTTTTCCAGTAATGTTTCTAGTGGTTCTCTGAGGGAGGAGCTCAACAGCTCCGCTGATTTAATTGGCCTTGGAATTGCTTCAGCACAACTTGTATTACCTGCTTTGTCTATCCAGGCCCGGTAGCCATTCAGCTCCCGCTCAATCTGCTGCTGTCTCCTCAGCTTCATGAAAGCCCGGCGATTTTCCACTCGCTCTCTCTCTTTGGCAAATTCTCTGTAAAAAGGAAAGGCCAAGAACTGATCAGTTTGGACTGTATTCTGACATAGTCAGGTCAGGAAGGAAAAGGGCTGTTTTAAGTGGCTAACAGAATGGAGGATTTTCACCAGCTACTTTCATCATCTCTTTAAAATACCGTAAGTTTGATTTGAGCTGCACTAGAAATTGCAGAGCTATTCAGAAACCAAGAGATTAGAACTTTGTCTATATGTTTCACATTTCATAAAGAATTAGCAGCCAATCCATGTCAATCCTTCCAGCCAAATGCAGAGAGAAAAATGGCAGACAATCAGAGCTTTCTTGCTACCATTTCAAGCTGGCCAATAGTTGTATGCCTTTTCTTTCCATTCTCTGATTCCACTGGGTCCTTGCAAAAAATGATAGATGGATGGATGGATGGATGGATGATTGGATGGATGGATACATAGATGATAGATAGATAGATAGATAGATAGATAGATAGATAGAGTAGATAGATAGTATGCATCATCTCCCATGCTCTACATATTTATTTGCATGCATCTGTTGCATCTGTGTCTATTTTTCTAAATCCCAAAAGTAATTTGAGGAGGAAACAGCAAATGGGTGTCAGTTGCTAAAAAATATCAGACATGTATGTTGAAACTATCAAAGTCTTCTTGTGACAGCAAATCTAGAACAGATAATCCAGGAAAAATGAGAATCCTCTCCAATGGGAGGATAGACTATTCTTGAGTACAAGCCATTTTATACTTTTTTAAAGCAGTATCTGCTGTCCTAAAACAGCATTTCCTTGTCCACAGTTACCCACTAAGCATCACAGCTAAAAAGAGATATCCATAAACCAGTAGTCCAATAATTACAAATTAATGGATCAAATTCAAAGGGAAAAAGGACCTATTCCTTCTTCTCTAACCAATTGTGAGTGACCATTTGAGTAAACTACACCTAGAGAATGGTCAGCAGACTGTTGGTTTTCTCTATGAACTAATCTATATGTCACTGCCAACATACTGTATAAACTACTTCTCACTCTCAAGATAATAAACAGTGAACTATGTACTAAATATATATCCTCTAATTTTGCAATCTGAATTACAAAAGTAGAGGAAGTGGTTGGGGACAGGTCATTCCAAAAAAGCCCTGTCTACGTGGTCACTAAAAATCAACCCTAATTTGATAGCCCATAATCATAAATTTTGGAATACTGTTGCTGGTGAACTTACTTGACACCCTCCAACTTCTTCCCAAGTATATCTTGAGCAGTGGTGAAATCCAAATGTTTTTATTACCGATTCTGTGGGCGTGGCTTGGTGGGCGTGGTGTGGCTTGATGGACATGGCTTGGTGGGCATGGCAGGGAAAGATACTGCAAAATCTCCATTCCCACCCCACTCCAGAGGAAGGATACTGCAAAATCCCCATTCCCTTCCCACTCCTGGGGAAGGATATTGCAAAATCTCCATTTCCACCCCACTCTGGGGCCAGCCAGAGGTGGTATTTGCTGGTTCTATGAACTGCTCAAAATTTCTGCTACCTGTTCTCCAGAACCTGTCAGAACCTGCTGGATTTCACCCCTGATCTTGAGCTATCTACAGGCTGAACTTAGCTTCTAAAACTGCTCCTTGTTGAAGTTATTAAATGTTTTTAATATCATCCTTTTAAATCATCCTCAGTCTTTGTTGAGTGTTGTGTTCCTAATACAACTTTTTGGATTATGCAATTGAGAGAATGATAGCTTTCTTTCCTCTTACCTTTGTAAGAGAAAAGTAGAGGATTTTGTATGGCATGCTTGAAAGCAGAAAAACATAGTTTATGAGCCAGAGGATTTGACAGACTGTAGCAGATAAAAAGTAGATCCTGTACATAATTCAGAAAAGAAGGCTATTGCTATTGCCCACTGCTCAAACAGTGCCTCTTCAATAGGCAGTTATGATTCTACACATTCCTTATGCATTAGCTTTCATAAACAAATTATTTTCTGTCTCTCCTACAACTGAAATGTTGTTGATAGGCTGGGGGCGTGGATGCATTATTCAAAAGAAATATACATTGGCACAGCTTTGCTATATAGTCTCAGGATCTGCTGAAGGTGTGAAAAGGGTAGGTGAAGAAAAGATTGAAGAAAATGCAGGAACACTAGCAAGGTCCCTCTAGTAATACTCTAATCTCCTGGGTAAACACAATCCTTGCATGAATTAAGCTCTAGGGAGTCCACTCAATACTGTGGAAATTTTTCCTCATTACATCTCCGAAAGCTAACATTCCAACATAGAAACAATCAGAAGTACGAAATAAAACACTGTTGGCACAAATACAATTAGAATATTCTGGGTCATAATCTCTTGTTGTACAGTTCTAGTATCACTCAGATAGGTTCCAATAAAAGTTAGAGTTTGTATAGATCCACCTCTGCAGAAGGATAGTACTGCCAATGCCCACAGCCATAGCTTCAGTTTAAAGGTATGTCAAGTAGCCCAAGGATAATCCACTAGCAAGGTGTGAATTTGATCAGATTATTGGATAGGAGACCACTACACTACACTAATATAGGTAGTCCTTGACTATTTGTTTGACGATGGTTTGAAGTTACAACAGTGCTGAAAGTGATTTATGTACAGTCCTCTCATTTACAACTGTTACAACTGTTACAACTGTTGCAGCATCCCTGCAGTCATGTGACTATGATTTGGGAACTTGGTAACTGTCATGCATTTATGACAATTGCAGTATCCCACAATCATTTAATCATCATTTGTGATCTTCCTAGCCATTTCCAACAAGCAAAATTGGAAATTGGTAGGAAAGGTCATAAGTGCCAGTCCTATGATGTCTCGCTTAACAATCATGGTGATTTTCTTAATGTCATAAAATCGGAAACACTCACATGATGCCTCATTTAACGACCACACCATTTAATAAGAAATTTTCCATCCCTGCTGCAGTAAGTCAAAGACTACCTGTAACATGCCAGGATATCTGTGCTAGGAAGGATCTATGAAAATTAGAGTCCCTCTGGCAGGAACAAATTCATGTTTATATGATAAAAAAACCTGTAACAAAGATATTTTATTGAACAAATAAATAAATAAAATAAAGATAGCTGCAGGTTGCAATACTTATTAATATATCAGGAAACATGCCATTATATCACAGACACTGTTTTGCTATTCCTTCCCAAATAAACCAGGATAATTTTGATCACCCATCTATCCACAGAAATTGATACACTACTAGAAATATATCTATCACCAAAGGTTGTGCGGTAGATATGATAGACTGATTGGAAAACTGCATGTTTGGTTTTCATGTTTACATTTGCTTTGGGCTCTACTATTGGACTTTCATTATGTTTTATAACAATTTGTATACTACTGATGTTGTATATAATTTATAACCTTCATTGAGAAGGCTTCTTGTTTTATCGGTGATCTAAAAACCATGTTTTAAGAAATAAATAATATTAAGGAAAGACATAGATCTTAAAATTAGATGTTGATCAATATTGATCATTTGATATATATATTTTAAAGATAGACCATAACAAGATAAAATAGAACTGCACCAGTGCTGAGGAGAGGAAACATGGTACCAGAGATATTTTCCTTATATTTTGCCTGTTTTTATACTCTTATAACAATATTCAGGTACTTTTAAAATAATAATAAATCGGAAGTTAGCAAGTTATAATGTAAGGCACCAGCCTTCAGAATTTATTTTTATATTTCTGCATTTCACATTAACCCATGCATTCTTAATATAAGAATAGGCATTCTTAAGAAATAAAAACAAATGTGATTACAACGCAGTGTCTATAGAGATTCTCAGTCATCCAAGCCATGGTTGTCCCAAAGGTGCTTTTTCAAGAGGCAACTGGACTTTCTGGTTTTTCCTTGAAGATGTTTCGCTTCTCATCCAAGAAGCTTCTTCAAGTGAAACGTCTTCAAAGAAAAACCAGAAAGTCCTGTGGCTTCTTGAAAAACCACCTTTACAAAGCAGTGGTTTGTGCAGAAGCATGCCCACCTGACTAGGAAAGAGAAATCAGTAAACTAAGGTTGTCGAAAACAGCCTAGAGGCAGATAGGAATAAGTCAGTTTTCCTTTATGAGACTTCTATATGCATTTAAAATTAAAAATATGTCAACCAGATCTACCATAATAGTTCTTTTTCCTGATGTAAAATTGGCTAATATGTCAAAATATAAGAAATTCTTATATTCTCATCTAATATAAGAAAATTTAACTTTCATACTGTGTTTTCAGGTTTTGGTAAACAATCCATTTAGATGTCAGCTTTCTAAATGTGTCTTCTGCAGTGAAGACAAATACAAAGAACAGAAACTGGAGATGATGCCAGGATCACACTGATTTGACAAGAGATAGGAAAGCAGATTGATTCATGTTTATGAAACTGTGTTACAAATGCAGCTTCATGATAAAGCATGACACAAATTAATCCATGTTCACATAGATAGCATTTTGCTTAACCCACACACTTTTATAGAGAGGTATATTTTCTTGTCAGTAATAGAAAAGGTATATCCTATCTCAAGAACAATAAGCTGTTCAGTGAGAACTTGTCAGAGGCAGTAGTAGACATCTGTTTGACAAAGTCAAGGCCTTCATATTTTCCCAATGAAAAGTAAAAAGTTGTAAAAGAAAACCAAGAGATGTATAATCAACATATGTACTGTAGTGGGAAGAACATTCAATTTACAGGCATGCTTAGAAATAAAGGTGATTATGAAATATGGTGCTTTCTTTGCAGTAGCTCAACTTTTGGTCTTTAAAAAAAAAGAGTGGAAGAAGCACCCAGTGAATATCCATGATCACATTAGGGTCCATAAATATCATGCTGGAAATACCAGATCTACAGTGGGTGTAGTCATATAAATCACAAGTAGTATTTAATCACCTGTCCTTCTTCCTACTTCAAAAGGGCCCACATATTTAGACTTCACTTGTAGGAAAAGGCTCCAACTTCTCAGTATTTATGACTGTCCTTTTCCGCATTTGTTCT